TGTTGACTTGTGCTGTTGACTTGTGCTGTTGACTTGTGCTGTTGACTTGTGCTGTTGACTTGTGCTGTTGACTTGTGCTGTCGTCATGTTCTGTTGTTACCACTCTTCATTTTCACTGCGGTACAAGAGCAAGAAGAGAAACAAAAAAGAAGCAGTTTTATGTAAGTCTATAGCCGTGTACCAGTCAGTACCAGTCCATCCATCCCCACGTCCTACCCACCCACCCACCAACCACCACCTTCCCCAGCCCTTCCCCTACATTTCAACAACTCCACACCAAAACCCCTCCCACTTCACCTCCACGCCCTCTCCACATTCACCACCCGACACCCTTCCTCCCCACCATCCCCATCCACCCCATCCCCCCTCCCCTCCAACCACCCAACCACAAAAACCCTCTCCCCCTCCCCCTCCAACACCCTCACCGCCTCCCGCACATTCCCCTCCTTAACAACAACCACCATGCCCAACCCCGTATTCCACACCCGCGCAAACTCCCCATCCGCCACATTCCCCGCCTTCTTCAACCACCTAAACACCGGCGGCACAGGGTACGCAGATGCATCGACGACGGCACGCAGATGCGGCGGGAGCATGCGTGGGATGTTTTCTACGAGCCCGCCGCCGGTGATGTGGGCTATGCCTTCGAGGAGGTTGCGCTGGGTGGCGGCGAGGATGGCGTGGACGTAGATGCGGGTTGGGGTTAGGAGGGCTTGGCCTAGGGTTTGTGCTGGGTTGGTGTTTGTGTCGAAGGGTGCAGGGTCGGAGTATGCGAGGCCTGCGCGCTCGACGATGGCGCGCACGAGGCTGAAGCCGTTGCTGTGTACGCCGCTGGCCGCGAGCCCGAGGAGGACGTCGCCGGCTTGCATGTTTGCCGTGTCGGGGAGGACGCGCTGGTCGCGGTCGAGCGCGCCGATGGCGGCGCCACCGGCATCGTATTCGCCTCGCGCATAGAGACCGGGCATTTCGGCTGTTTCGCCGCCGATGAGGGCGCAGCCTGCGGCGCGACAGCCTGCTGCGACGCCCTCGATGAAGGAGGCTGTGGCGTCGAGGTCGAGGGTGGCGCAGGCGTAGTAGTCGAGGAAGAAGAGGGGGCGGGCGGACAGGGCGACGATGTCGTTTACGTTCATTGCTACGAGGTCGATGCCGACGGTGGAGTGGGTGTTGGTTGCGAAGGCGAGTTTGACTTTGGTGCCGATGCCGTCTATGCCGGCGATGAGGATTGGGGGCTGGGTGTAGCCTGCGGCGGAGAGGTCGAAGGTGCCGCCGAAGGAGCCGATGAGGGCGTCGGTGCCGGGGCGGCGGGTTGAGGAGACGGCGGATTTGATGCGGGTTATGAGGGCGTTGCCGGTGGTGATGGAGACGCCGGTTGAGGCGTAGGTTAGGGGGGGTTGTGAGGGGGGGGAATGGGGATGGGGATGGGGTTGTGAGGGGGTGTTGGTGTGGGTGACGGTGGTGCCTTCTTCGGCGGGCGCGAGGAGTTTCCAGGAGCAGGCGATGTTGTTCTTTGCGAATTCGGCGGTGATGTGGTGCGCGATGCTGTCAAAGTTGTGGGTTGCGAGGGCGAGGATGGTCGGGCCCGCGCCGGAGAGGCAGATACCCAGCAGGCCTGGGTGGGAGCTGGGCGTGACGCTCTGGAGGATCTCCGTGAGGCCGGGGATGAGGGTTTGGCGGTAGGGCTGGTGGATCTTGTCCTGCATCGCGCGGTAGATCATGTCGGCGTCGGGCGGGCTCTGGCCCAGCGCGGTGGTGAGGAGGGCGAGGCGCTGGAGGTTGAAGATGATGTCGGGCCGGGTGTAGGACTGCGGGAGCACCTCGCGGGCCTTGGCCGTGGCGACTTCGAATTCGGGGATGATGGCGATGCATTTGATTTCGGGCGCCCATTTGAAGCGCATGTAGTGCCCGATGTCGAGCGGTGGTTCGGGCGGCTGGAGGCCGGTGTCGATGCCGCCGGCTGGTTCGGGGAGTACCTGTTTTTCGTGGTGTGAGTATAGTATGTGTGGATAGATGGATACAGATGTGTGGATTTCTTGGCATGGTGTTTTGTGTTGTGGATATGCGATGACTCGATTGACTTGACCACGTGTGTGATTGGATGCACCTTACCTCTGCTAGTGGAATCTCCTTGCGCTCCAAGTCCTCCTTGGACAGTTCGTTGAGATAGGTGCCGATGAAGCCGCCGTACAGCGCCGCAGCAACATTGTCCGGATGCCGCTCAATCATCAAACAGTAGTCCAACATCCGCGCTCTTGACAGTTTGAGGTTCCCGACTTCATTCGCCAGGGCGACGCCGCCGACAACAGCGCACGCGCTCGACCCCAGTCCTCGTCCTAACGGCACGGGATTGTGGACATGGACGTGAGTAGTCGCTGGAAACGCGCGCTGGCCAGCACATCGCAGGACATACAGCGCCACCCGAGTGATCAGGTTCTTCTCCGGGTCCAGACTGATGTCCTCCTTGCCCACGCCGGAATACTCAAGCACACAATTCAGCGGCTGCCCCGACACGGATGCGTCAATGGTAACGTGCAGCTCGAGGTAGACGCTGAGCGCGAGTCCGATAACATCGAACCCGGGGCCGATGTTTGCGGACGAGCACGGGACCTTGATGATGGTCGTCATGCTTTTGTGATACGCGGTGTGTGCTTTGTGGTGTTTGTTTGTTGTGACCGCTGCGCGTGGAAAGCCATCTACGAAACTTTTTTTTTTTGGTGGTTTATGTCGCTCACACTTTTTCACGCCCGACAATCGCGGGGTGCCAAGCCGTCCTGCAAGTTTGATACCTTATTCATGGGACCCATGACTGCTCGGCGTACCATGCGCGAGTCATGGCAAAGTGTGTGTGTTGACATGTTTGCGGATGTTTGGACTACATCAAATATTCACGTCGTCTTCATCTACGCCTCTCATCAAACCTTCGGATTTGCGAATGGCGCTGGGACGAAAAGGAGTCCTTGATGTTTCCTGTCGCGTGGCTTGTTTGCTAGGACCAGTCGAGACTAGCGCTCATCAGGCTTCAAACATCACCACCCAAGCCTCTTGTTGTTTTCTTTCTTTTCCTCCCATTCCCTTCATCGTCCACGTATATAAGACGGGCAACATGTCCCTCAATCTGTGCTGCCAACATTCTCAGCCATGAGCGACGCGTCGTGGAGCGCCCTGCCGCTTCTCAAGGCCACGAAAGACATTCCAGACTTGCTTGTCAAGGCCATCTTTACCCAAGACAGCTATCATGTGTCGCTAACAGACATGAACGGCCATTTCTGGTCGCAGTCCAAAGACCGCAAGGGTGTCCGACGCGAGAGTATGGAGCAAGAGACTGCTATCGATGCATGCGAGAGCTTGACCAATCTGCGCCAGCTCCTCGAAAAGCTCGAGGGTGCGCTCAACGGTGCGGACGGGTGCACATGCAAAGTTGCCAGAGATGGAGAATCCCTCTCCTTGCAAGTCCAAGTCTCTCTGCCCAGACCCTTGGGCGTGCTGAGTTACGTCTTCCAGCTTGAATCTAAGCACCAGGACTTCTACACCCAGATGGTGCTTCCCTTGGTCCTGACGGCGCATCATCAACAGCAAGACACTGCAGACCTTGTTGATCGTCTCAGCCATAAAGACCACATCATCGAAGTGCTCTTGTCGCGTATGAAGGCTACAGGCATAGATATATCGGCCGTGTTTCCTGCTGCCAAGAAAGGTGATCTGAAGCAGGCGGGAAAGCAGGTGAGAGGTTTAGATCCATTCGACCAGCGCACATGGGAGAAGTCTCGAGCTGTGCAGCGGGGAGTGCATACGTCGATAACCAGTATGCTGAGGGATCTCTCGCCTCGACTAGATTCAGCCTCGGAGCAAATCAGAGCTCAAGAAGCCCTGGGATTGTGGGAGGTCAGACACAGTGTGATACCTGGTAGTTCTGCAGAATCAAAGACAGAAGTCGAGATTTCCAGTTCTCCGGTGCCGGAGCAGGAGCAGGAGCAGGCTGAGACAGGCGATGATGAATTTCAGGTTAGTCAATGTGAATCACATGCTTCTTATAGGGTGCTTATTGTGGCGTCAGAGACAAGCGACTCCACCGGCCTTGAAACAAGTTCATTCTAGATCATCACCTGACGCTCTAAGATCACCTCGCACGTCGAATGCTGTAGTAGCCAGGCCGGCCGCCGACGACGACGAAACTACAGACGATGAAGATGACGACCTTGATGTTCCTACGAGCTCGAACATCACCAAGCCAAAGTGTCCAACACCCGAGCCTGAGCCAGTCGTCCCAGCCGTGAGGCCGAAAGGCAAGCTAGGCATGATTGGCAAACGCAAGCCGTCACCGGCTATGGACGTGGCTCTCCCTGAGCAAGAAGACACGGCCACGCTGCAACCTCAATCCGAAGCCATGGATATCAAAAATGACGAGCCAGCGACGAAAGTCATAGAATCGTCCGAGTCGGCCACATCAGCAGCGCCGAAAAAGGGGAAGCTGGGCGTTATCGGAGGCAGAAAGAAAGTCGCGACTAACGGGCCTGCTCACAGTCGTGAGATCCCAGACGACAGTATGGACATTGATGTGAAGGGTAAGTCAAGCGTGACAGCGACTAGGGTAAAGCGTGAGGCCACCAGTCCGACGAGACACAGCGCCGCTCCGCAGTCATCGCAGGAGAAGGCAGATGAGAAAAGGGCCGAACTCAAACGTCAACTGGAGGAGGCCAAGAACAAGGCACCAGCGAAGAAGAAACGAAGATTCTAACGCTGCAATAATCAGGCCATGTAGAAGGCGCATACACGCAAGCTGGTGTCCAGTATACATGGCGCCTCATGATGGCGCAGTAGGTATATTTAGCTTTATATCCATTTCATGAAATGCCTTTCGGCAGTTGTTTCAGTAAAACTTTTTCTCAATCAAGTAAGACATGGTGTGTTGTCATTGTCTCTTCTTCTCATTTTCTCCAAAATATCCCTTTCACACATTGCCTCAACGTCGTCGATAAAGCGCCTTTCTCTCAGCTTCACTCCTGATTTCAACGGCGATCTGTCATGTCACTTGCCAGGCCGCTTAGCTGCACAACAACAGAAAAGGAGTGGAGGACGCGACCGCTTGGAGGCTTGAAGCATGGGCAAAGTGAATCAACGCGCGGTGAGACGTCGAAAACAGCTCTTTGTTGTTTGCACTAGCTCTGTCTGCTCTCCTGTCCTACCCACAGCGCATCCAACCAATTCTCTCGCAGAAAGTGACCATACATTCTACACCTCTACACTCTACATTCCCGCATCTGAAAGAAACGCAACTCCAGGTCAGTCCAGGGTCAAACGCCTGTTTCTGTGTTTGTCCCTGCCGTCAGTAACTGTTACTATTACTGTTACTGCCACGGATCGCGTTCCTACCTGCTGCTCGTTCTCGACACGCGCCTTCCCCCAGATCTTCATCGGCAGCTCCACCTGCGTTATCCAGATATCTCTGTCTCTATCGCTATTGCCTCTGCTCCTCCTAGCAAACATATCTTCTTCGCCATGTGCACATATCAGTATCTCTATTATTCCGCATGTTGTCATCAGACTTTCATCTTACTGGATTATTGCGACAAATACAAGGCTCTGAATCCGCAGAGCTTCAAAGCTCCTGTGCCTTCTGATGTCACTTCGCAGGATACCTCAAACGTAACACAGGTAGACTCGGATTCAGCGCGCGAAGACACTTCGCAGGTGTCCCGGCTTCGAAGAACTCAGTCGGTCTCTCAAGGTACTACGTCGACTGATACTCGCAGACGGAGAGCGTCGTTTCCAGACTCTTGTCTTAGTCGCTTGTACATGTGTAAGTCCCTTCATTTGTTTCCTCACGCTCAAAACTGACTGTTGGATCCAGATCGAGAGCGTATCCCTTTAGCTGCATCAATGGATCTTCATATGTCACTGGAACGTCCGGGAGACGCTACAATGCTGCCAGATGCCAGCCCGGAGCATCACATACTCCAAGAAGGACACATGAGACATGTGCTGTCGCGAGAAGAGCTCAACGTAAACGTTAGCAAGGGTCTGATCCGTCGAACACAGACACCCGATGGCAGGGAGAAGTTACACGTCTCTCATGATTGCAAAGTTCCAGGTGTCAATGCGAGCCTCGAAAATCATGGGCCTTCACCAACAAGCTACTCTTCTCGCAATGTCTCTGGATGCAGCTTGAAGGACGCTGCTACCCTCACCATGTTTCCTCCGCTACAGGATACTACAAACAGCAGTGTCCAGTGCACGGTGTCGGTCCGCAGCAGCAGCAATACCCTGTCTCAAGTATCGTGGGCTCAGGTCGCTGGTGGCTCCTCTTCAAACCGCCCAGAGCAGAACACTGCAACTTCATCAACACTCTGCACACGTGCTGGTACCTCTGGATCCGATGCTTTGACGTCGTCGAGTACCCCGACTCGTACTACTGTTGCATCAGATCTACAGTCCCCGGCTGCCAGATCTACGGCCTCACCAAGTGGTAAGGCGTATCAATCCATCATTCCTATCCTTATCCTGCCTGACAGCCTCTTCACTCCTCCTTTATCTGATTCCGACTCCGACTCAGATAGAACAATCATACCAGATGCTAACACATCAGGAGTGCGCCGAAACACACAGCAGGCTATGACCTACGCGTCCGTGCTGTCAAAGCCAAGAGCAGCTCATGCAAGCCCAAAGACTTCAGGAGAAACATCAGCAGTGGAAAAGTCATATACCACACCCGAGAAGCATAATGCGGCAGACAACAAGCAAGAGAGTCCGGCAGATGGATCTGGTAAGGCGAAGAGCAGAGCACCAACTCTGCAGACCGCTCAACGAGCTGCCATGCGTGAGCTGAGGCGCAAGGAGTCGATCATTGGACAGGAACCAAAGTCACCCGCTGAGAAACGACTGCTTCGACCCGCTGCAAGCTGTGGTAATCTACGCAAGCCGGACAACTCAGGAAGTCCTGGCGCTGGAGATGCGCTTTCTCCTACGGTGAAGCTCAGTCCCAGTAAGGCTGGCTCCTTGAGATCAAAGTCCCCGATTCGATTTGGCATGGATAATCAAAGTTATTCCAGGGTCGGCCCCTTGTCAAAGAGTCCAACGCGTAGAGTTCCCGCGGGTCTGAGCCCTTCCACCCGCCGTCACATCCAGCACACGCCACACTCGTCCATAACTTCGTCGAGTGACGCAAATTTTGTCTCAGCTCAGCATTCTCCCCATGACGATGGCTCGCCAAACAGCTTTGTCACCGCTATTGAAATGCCCGAGCCTGAGGATACTTCAATCTTATCGAGCAGTCCAACTAAAACAAGCCAAACACGACGGGACACTAGAGCAGATGAGCGCCTTGATGTTGACCCGGGACGAACCATTCGAGTGGCAAGAATGATGCCCGCAATTCCAGATATAAAGTCTCACCAGGTTCTGAGAAATATGGACAAGGAGATGACCTCTAATCCTGGAGTGAAGTCTACGGAGCCGAAATGCACCACAGCAGAGTCAAGACTGTCGAATAGTAGTATGCCCATTAGAGACGTGCATCTTGCATCTATTTCTGCAGGTTCACATATACCTCTCCCAATAGCAGTCGCGAGGTCTCGTAAGAACTCAGTCGCCAGTAATGCAAGCATCAGCACCACGAAATGGAGACCGGAGCTGGGTCGGCTAGAGAGTGAACGCTCGACAGGGCTAGATGCGACAGAAAAGGCTTCTGTAGCATCCTCTGACACCATCCCGTTCCCTGCTTTCGAACCTGTTACATCTGACACAGGAGAGGTGGCAGAAGCGTGGTCGTCCGTAGACGAAGCCAAGATGGGATCATACATCGCGCCGGACAGGCTGAGCTATCAAGAGTCTCGGAAGTCTTCTTACGCCAAAGGCGGGAGCCAGATACCGGCAAGTCTCTCAGGTTCAACGGAAGTATCGGAAGGTCCAGGCCCGCTCTCTCGTGCCAATTCTCTAGCCAAGAGAAGAGAGTCGATCGAAGAAATCAAGAGAGCGACACTCCGTCGCGGTAGCAGCGCTGCCAAAGCCCGGGAAATGATCCCCTCATCACCAATCGAGGAGATCACGTCCCCCAGGCTCACTGGACTTGGTCCACTCGCAGACAAGGCGGTACCCCCAATCAACGAGGGCATTCATGAGGGCTATGTCCAGGAGCGAAACTATCGAACTGAACCTAGCACTCGTATGTCCCAGGCAGATATGTTCAATTCGATGTCACGACATACGGCCACCTGGGATCAGCCAGCTCTTGTTCATAAAGGGAACTTCGCAAATAATCCAGCCGTAAACAGCAGCGGTCCGGTACTGTCGATCGCGGAGATGGCTGATCAACATAGGACACAGAGATTACTGAAACTTGCACAAAAGCGCGAGGCCCTGGCAAAGTCTACAAACTCGTCTGATTTGCGACCTGATGCGCCCGTATTTGTTCCAGGACAGGGCTTCAGCCGTCCTCCACTACCAATGGACTGGCAGTTTCCAAGTAGTGCTGTTACCACGGTCAATTCTATTAACGCAGCTCCCACGTTTGCAACAACCACCCCCGTAGAAGACATGGACCCGAACGAGTCACCTTTACACGGCAAGGGTAAGAAGAAAAAGACCAGGACCAACAAAAAGCGCAGCGACACTGTAAATTCATATCCTGGGCAAGCGCCCATATCGGCGTCGGAATCTTTGGCTGGGGCCTTGCAGCCACAAGACCAGCGGTCAGGTTGGAAGCCCAGCTTCACTAAATGGAAGCCATCGTCCTTCGAAGAATCCAGCAACGCTGCCCTCAGTCCTCGCACGTACTCACAATCGTATGGAGGATTTCGCAAGCGGCCTTTTTATGACTGCTACAATACAGGCAAGCGGTATGACCAAAATGGCGTACCAGTGCAGCAATATCGGAACGATCAGTTCGCTGGTAATCCATGGGCCCAACCACATATCCAGCAGAGCTCGATGCAACCATATGAGCAGATTCCCAATCCAGGATTTCGTGTAGCAGCACCATACAACCAAGCAGGCAACATGCTTCCTGGAGGGTTTGCCACTGCACACCCAGCAGGGCGTAGCTATCGACCAAGCGGACCGGGATATGGCGGTCAGTGCCTTTCGTTGGCTCCGGCAAATTATTCAGGGATGGCTAGTGGATCACCAATCTCGCTGCGAGGAGGAGGCGGACGAGGCGGAGGCGGAGGCGGAGGCGGAGTAGGTCGAAGTGTCCGGCCAGGACCTGATGTCCCGGCTGTGCGTCGAGAGTATGTCGGATATTCGCAAAGCATCAAGCCGCGTGCCCTCAAGAATTGTGGACACTACGAAGTGATCACCGCGATAGAGATCATCGGCGGTCCTAAGTGTCCGAGATGCGCTCCTGATGAGCATAATCGCGGAAGATAAGTGTGGAGAAGCAAACGGTGCGAACAGAGAAAAAGGACTAGTGGCACGAGGGATACTATATCGAATTACAGGTGGAAGCAAGGGGCACTGAGAATGGAATGAAGGGCGTTGGAAAAGCGACATCAAGTGGAAAAGCATGTTTCTTACTCCTGCAAAAAAGGTCAGATACCCTTGTCTTATTGGTGAAAGGCTAGCAGCGGAGGCGACATTTGGGTATCTATCTGTATTCCAAAATGTGGTCACAAGGGGCTGGAATGGAAGGCTCAGGGACGCATGTCAGCACAAGCATGGATAGTTCGCACAGCGATTGGCGGTATGATAGCGATACCGCAAGTATGATAGGTCTCGAATCAGAAGTATGAATATGCAAAGGACGAGACGATGATTTATAGAGACAACAAAAGTGGGATGGTAAAGACAGGGCCCTTGAAGGGTTATTTATGGACCCTACTACTGTCAGTCGACTCTATCCTATCTATAACTAATGACTGATAGCGTATCATGCCTTCCTTACTCAGACAGATCACTCGGTATACTCGTCTAACCCAACAAGCCATGCAGTAATGCTACTCAGCAGCGTCATAATCACCCCTTGTTCGGCCCAGAAATGACCTGCCCCGGCAACTGTGCGGCTCTGCAGCACGGCATGAGAGTCATGCTGCAGCCTGGCCGTCCACTGATCCAATCGCTTCGCAGACGTGAAGAAGTCCTGGTCGCCATACACGATCAAGGCTGGGTGGTTCTCTAGCACACTGCCATTACCACTGCCATTACCACTGCCATTACTGCTACCACCACCACCACTACCACCACCACCAGGCTGACTCCTAGATCCGCGCAGACCAAATGCCAGCGCGACAGAGAGCGGCGCAAGGAGCGGCGAGACGAGCAAGAAGGCCGTTTGCGCGACATCGATATGTAGATGCAGCGGCGCTTGTTGCCCCTCTTTGTGCCCCTCCTCCTCGTCCTCGTCCTCCTCCTTCTCCCGTGTCATCGCCTCACTTCCATGCTCTCGCTGCTGTCTCCTCGTCGTCGTCGTCGTCGTCGTACTCCTCCTCTTCCTCCGCCCCGAAATCTCGCGCAACTTGCCAGGCAGGGAGTCTATACTGACGCGATGATGCGACTCGCGACTAATCCTCCTCGTTCTCCCGTGACTCTGGCGCTCGCTGCTGGGCGTTTCCTCGCCGCCCATGCTGATGGAGAGGGTCTGTGCGTAGGGTGGTGGTGGTGGTGGTGCGCTGCTGTGTGTTGTCTTCTTTTGCTTCTTTTTGACTGGGGAGGCGCGCGGTGTGAGGGCGGCGGCTTCGTGCGCGAGGTGGCGGGCGCGCAGTCGGATTTCGGAGGCGGTGGTGCCGGGCTCCGGGCTTGTGAAGCGTGTTGTTATGCTGGTTGGGGCGGGGAGGTGGGAGACGATTAGGGAGCCGTAGGAGTAGCCGCCGAGGAGGAGGCGGATGCGCGGGGGTGAGCGCCCACGGGGGCTTCCGGAGGAGGAGGAAGAGTCGTCGTCTGAGTCTGGTCTTGCGGAACTGGTTCTGCTGCTGTCGCTGCTGCCGAGGAGGGTGAGGAAGACGGCGAGGAAGCCCGCGTAGGAGATGTAGTCCTCGAGCTCAGCTCTGCCGCTCCACGTCGTCTTGCGCTTCGACGCGCCCGCGCCGCGGAAGTTGAATGTGCCGACGGTCCAGCCGTGGGCGAGCAGCGTGCTGCCGATGGAGGAGATGACGGCGTCGTCGTAGCTGCCGCCGAGGGGCGCGTAAGGGTGTGCGAGGACGGCGCCTTTGGGGCGAGGTTTGGGATGCGATGGGTGGTCGGCGTCGTCGTCGTCATAGTCGTCGTCGTGTGCGCTGTTGAAGGGGATGTACAGGTGGCAATCTAGGGGAGTGTCGTCGTGGAGGGAGGGGATTGTGAAAGCGAATGTTGGTTTAGGCAGGCCCATGGTTGAGGCCTGGTGGTTGGGTCACTCCGGGCATGATGGAGCGGGGAGAGATCGAATGAGCGCAATGAGGCACGAATTGTTAGTCGCGCATTGCAGGATGAGATCGGAGGAATGGGATTGAAGGCAGTGAAGAACTTGCTACGTTGGGGGTTGGAGGAGGAATATCAATAGTTCTTAACTAGTTGAAGACTCGAAGTTATGGTTCGAAGTATGTCATTGCCAAGAGATGGGCCCCACATGGCCATAGCTTCAAGTGTGTACTCATGGCCAGGCATCAACTGCCCTCGTGAGCATTCAAGAGACATCTGGCTGCTACACCAGGTGACACTACCAACATCCACAAAATGACAGTTCCAGGACACTCATTGTCTGCAGCAGCAATGCGGTAGGCATAATGCAGCCCTTTTCACCTCCTCGACAGTTGCGTTCAACACCTCCTCGACCCCAGCTAGAGACGCTCGAGCACGAACTTGCAACACTCCCAAGCAATATGTCTACTCGCCGCTCATCGTCAACCCGTTCCTCGAACTTCTCCCCTCCTCCGCCTGTCACGGCAAGTATTTATAGACCCTCTGCATCCATCAGGATAGATAGCAATACCCAAATCCACCGAGAGCCAGACAATGTGCTTGCACTTCGGAGACAAGAGAAGGCGTTGGAGGACGAGCTCCAGGAGCTACTAGACGCACAGTCAGAAGGCCTCTTCAAAGTCCTGGGCGGTGGCACGGCCGAGGAAGATGCGTCTTCGACAGGCACAAGCACTCCGACACTAGCAAGCGGCCTGAGAGGAAGAGACATGTCTCCAGCGGAGCGGTACAAACCTAAGAAGAAGAAGCCAGGCTTAGCAGGTGCACGTAGAGGGATATACAAGTCTATACAACGTCTGGCAGCGGTCAAGACTGAAGAGGCCTCCTTGGTCGCGAACGACTTGCGAGTGAACGAGAGTGTGCTCGAGCGCATCGGCACCTGGGAGCTGAAACGCGAGCGGCTCAGCCAAAAGACCAATAGAATAGAACACGCCAGCTCAGGCCAGAGAGCACAAGACATCCAGCACGAGGCCCAGCGTCTCGAGGCCGAGATCCAAGAACTCGAAGAGAAGCTTCGGGACATGCGAGCACGACACCGCCAGCTGCTCGACGACGCCGCAGCGACTGAAAACGCCGTACAGTCAAAACTGTCGTCTTACAAGGCCGCCTTGTCCATGCTCGAATCAGATATAGATTCCTTCCTCAAGCGTCCCCCGCTACTCAAGTCCACCAGCAGTGCCTCGCGCGAATCGACATTCCTCAAACTCCCCTCAAACAGACGCACGCTAGGCCTGGCGCGCGATCACTGGAACGAAGAGCACGCCTCGCTGGAAGCAAAGTCGCAGCAAATCACCTCTGTCCACGAAACCCTCTCCGAAGGCGCCGCGGTCTGGAAAGACGTCATCTCGCTCGTCGACAACTTCGAGTCTGACCTGGCCGCCTGGCTACAACACGCATCATCATCACCTCCTACACCAGTCACAAGTAAAGGCAAAGGCAGAGCCAACGACGACGTCGATGAAACCTCCGCTAGCAGGTCTGATATCGTGCACAGAATGGACGAGGTCACCGACCAGCTTGAGTACTGGGTCGCGCTCGCAGAGAGCAAGAACTGGAAGCTGCTGGTCTGCTGTATTGGCGCTGAGCTCGAGGCGTTCAAGCAGGCCATGAGCGTGTTGCGCGAGTCCATCCTGGGTGTCCAAGATGGTGCTGACGAGCCTGCGTCTGCCGCCGACACTCATGATAGTAAGAATAGTCATATCATTAATAACTCTCCGCATTTGCTCGACTCGCCAGAGCTGGAGTCGTCGAAACCGTTTGAAGAAGAAGAGGGAGATGCAAGGGAAGTCTCGCACAGCCACTACAGTCACAGCCAAACTCCTAATCATAATCCCACCCTCTTCGATGCAGAAGATGAGCCGGATCCAGACTTGATGCTTGAGAAAAAGGATAGCACAGAGTCTGACTCTGAGCATCATCATCATCATCATTCGGGCAGTGTCTGGCACACCATGTGAGACTGGCCCCCTCCCCCTTTTTTTCTTTCATCGGCATAGCGTTCGACCAAATTGTGCCTGTGTGTATGTCTGGGATGGAGTTCTGGGCTGGTGTTGGACTTTGAGCTTACTTCCTGGATAGGAATACGTACATATAGAATATAATATTTCAGAGCAAGAGTATTTTCTGTGCAGTACTACCTAGCTTTGCCCGCTGAATATCATCGCATCCCAAGCCATCCCAACAGAGTCTCCATATCGCTAACAATACCATTATTTGCGCCGGCGCCCTTTTTCCCGTTTTGCACGGGCGGGGCTCTACTTCTTCACCTCCTCACTTGATCCTTCCTATGCATACATACATACATACACGCTGAGGTTTGTTTGTTTGTTTGTTCGACTGTCTGTCTGTTTACCTTGTGACCGATGGCTTTGCTCTACTGTGCTCCACTGTGCTCTACTGCGCTGCGCTGCGCTGTGTGCTATGTGCTGTGCTATGTGTACGGTAATCAAGACTTCCTTGCCCCCCGTGACCTTTTTGTGCCCATCTACCCATCCATCCATCCACCCGACCACCCATCCACCCATCCACCCATCCAAGCATCTACCCATCCACCCGACCACCTTCCCATTCCCCCCCAAAAAAACTCTTGCCCAAAACCAGAAATGCGCATACAAGACAAGAGAACTGCACATCGTACTACCCTGTTCTTCAATCTCGGCATGCAGTATCAGCATTTCAGCATCTCAGCATCTCAGCATGCAGCATCAGCATCAGCATAACAATCATCCGAATATCTGAAATCAATTCATTCTCTTTCCCCTCACGAACAGTCCCCCCCCCAAAAAAAAAAAATCATGCATGCATTCAACGCACCCACCCACGCACTCTCATCTATCCATCCATCCATCCATCCATCAAGTCAAAAAAAAAATCTATATCTTAACCCCCCAGATCCCGCGCCCGCCTCCAACACCAAGCCACTCCCCACCCTGCCCAGTCAACGCACTACTCGGCGCCCAACTCAGATTGCCTACTTCGTAGTCACATCTCCAACTCGCATAAGGGCCCTTTTGACTCGGAGTCTGTTGCTGGCCGGCCTGAGTAGTCTGACTGGCGTGATGCTGCTGCTGTGTCTGCGGATGTTGTTGTTGCGTCTGTGTTTGCTGCTGTTGTTGCTGTTGTTGCTGTTGGGGAGCGCCCATCATGGGCCCGCCCCCGGGCGCGGCGCCGCCGTTCAAGGAGGCGCTGTTCTCGTTGTTCATGAGGTCCCAGATGAGGACTAGGCTGTCGTCTGCGCCGGAGGCGAGGAGGCCGCGGCGGGTGGGCGACCATTCGATGCTGTTTAGGGGGGCGGAGTGGCCTTTGAGTTCGAGGAAGGCTTGGCCTGGTTGGCGGATGTCGAGGATGCGGATGAGGTTTGAGTCGGCTGCGAAGGTGGCGAGGAGGTGTGATTCGTGGGGGGATGCTGGAGGGGGGGAGGTGGTTAGTGTTTTGGAATGACAGTTGTTAGGGAAGGGAGGGAGAAGAAGGGGTACGGACCTGCTAGGCGGAGGAGAGGGGGCGCGTAGGACATTGTTTGCTGGGCTTTGGTTGGAGACATGCGACCGGCCGGAGAGCCTTTCCCGTCTTTGTCGGCGGTCTTGTCGGAGGGCTCGTAGATGATTGTGCTGTGTTCGAGACTGCGCAGATCGAACATTCGCACGCTGCCATCTGCACCGCAGCTGACGAAGACATCGGTGCTCTGGGCACAGAATCGTACGTCAAACACCTCTTTGTCGTGGGCGATGAGTTGCGTCTTTGCAGTCAGGGTGGGTATGTCCCATATCGTGCACGTGGTGTCAATGCTGGAGGTGATGATGAGCTTTGGCGACAAGACGTTCCAGTCGAGTGAGGTCAGAGGAGCGGTGTGTTCGGGAGATTTTGAATTCGAGAGAAGGGCTAGGGGCGTGAGCTTTTGGACTGGTGGGTCGCGTTGATTCACCGCTGATGATCGAGTGATGGTATTGCTTATGGGAGAGGCGACGTTTTGTGGCAACGACCAAAGTCGAAGATGGTCACCAGATGTGGCAAGGAGGTCTGTCGATTGTTTTTGGGAAGACGGTGGTTCCCACAGGACACGAGTGACTGGGTACGAGCACGTTGCTTCTGCGACCTTGGTGTACTCGATACCGTAACCTGATCCTCCATGAGGGGCGTTGTCTTGCGGTACTATTTGGGTGTCCAAGATTTGAATCTGAGTTTGTTAGCACCTTCGATGCTACCCTCCTTGGAGTCTGCTTACGAAGTTATGAGGATCCTCAAGATAACTCCCAACCGCCATCTTCCCGGCACTGTCGCCATTACGTATAGGCCACTTACACCAATCGAACGCATATACGCCCCATGGCGCGAGATAGCTGCTGTTTGAGGGGGTTTGATCCGAAGACAGTGCTGCTGCAGGTCCTACGGTATCTTCCAGGCTAGACCCTGCCCTGGGTCTAATATCTGCCAACCCTAGCGGGGACTGTGATAGTGCACCAGATGGCGTTTGCGGGTAGTATCTCGACGGAGTGGATGCCAATTTCGCGTTCTCGGGCGTGTTCGAGAAAGGTATGTACTTCTGTTCGAGGCCGGCAGGACTCGATCTGGAATATGTATGAGACGAACTCCCTCCTCCACCACCACCACCGGCACCACCACTCTGGTTTATGGTGTTCGAGCGAGTAGGCAGTGTGTATTGCTGTGCATTCGTTTGTACTTGCGGCATTGTTGGGACAGTCGTGGGCGCGGTGTATGCGGAGGAAGGGCCTGGTCTTTGATTTCCACCTGCTGGCTGGAGACTACCTGGAACGCCACCTGGAGAAGGTTGGCTCGGGACGTACTGATTGCCCTGAGGCGTGGCTTGCTGTAGGCTGATATTCGGAGCCCCGCCAGCAAACTGCTGCGGTGAGTCGAATGCCTGACCGTGTTGTTGAGGCGTGTGTAGACCTTGCTGTGCCGAGTGATGCTGACCCATTGAGCCCGGGCCGGTGGAGATGTGCAGTTCCTCTCCTCCTCTTCCAATAGTATTTGTCCGCCGTGGAGTCTCGAAGGGTTGCGGATTGTTCGCAGGGGCAGAAGCGCTTGGGCCGGGCACCTGTGACGAGCCCAGCGCAGGCGTCGAGCCGCCGCTGAATGGACCAAGACCTGGAGCGTTCCCACTGCTTGGAAGAAGGGAGTCTGTACCAGCAGCAGTCTGGCCTGAGGTTGCGCTTCTGAGATTTCCGGTTGGTGCGCCTATCGAGCCCAGCGCTCGGGCTGCTTGATAGATCCCCGCGGCGGGCGTGTTGCTTGAGGGGCCATGCTGCTGCTGCTGCTGTTGCTGCTGATGGTGGTGGAACGGCATGATGGCCGGACGAGGGCCGATGGCGAGTCCAGCGTAGGGGACTATGAATATCGCTAGAGGGAGAGAGGCTGGTGCTGTGAAGGATTGTGAACACTCAAAAGTGCCAGGGTGACTTCGCGCTGGTCATTCGACGATACCTTACCGCCCGCATCGAGCTTGAACGGAGGTGACTAAGCGAAAGCTCACTTTCCACCCACCCACTCTCACTCCACCCTGAAAGTTCTCCGAGTCGAGCTTCGCCATAACCGCGTCCGGTGCGGGGGGATTCCAAATGGGAGAAGCAATCATGCCGACATCATCCACTGAACATATAACTCCAAATATCATCCGGCTCTGCGATCGCTTGTGAATATATATATATCAAAGATGCCGCCCATCAAACCTCAGTCGTCATTGGTTCTCTTACCGCCGGCGCCAAGCTCCCCGACATATGAGAACCTGAAGGCCGCTTACAACACGACATTACTCACTATTCTACGTGATGCATCTCTCAAACTTGATGGCACGGGCGGTGGAGCTGTGTTGGAGATAGCCCTGCCTTGTCCTCATTTGTATGGTCAAGAAGACGCGCCTCGCAGCACCCTGTACGAACCTACACAACGACTGCTCGCAAATCTGTATAAGCTGATCTGCGTCGTCTGCGCGAGGGGCTCAATCAACATAGAAGATGTAGATGGCGTCGACGTACGCTTGATTCTCGTAGCTTACCCCCGCAATGGCAAGCTACACCATGCACAGTCAGGATCGCCCGAGGCAGACGCGGAGGGTCCAGTTGTCACTATTCAGACTTTAGCACGCAGTGGTCGGGTATGGAACATGGTATACGCCGTAGAGACTGAAGCAGGCGAGCAGATCCTACGGCATTTCACCACATTTCATCGCTCAGTGGCCCAGGTCACAAAAGTACGAGGAGGAATTGTGCAAGTGCTTCCGAAAGATGAACTCAACGCATCATCAGTGGCAGCATCAGATGGCCAGAAGAAGCGCAAGCATGCCTCGGTGGCCGTCGGAGGGACGTTCGATCATCTTCATATTGGTCACAAGCTACTTCTGAGCATGACAGCCTTCATGGTCGATCGCGCAGCCGACACGCTAGACGCGACGGAGCAAGAACAGGATCGAACGATTATCATTGGCATCACAGGAGACGAGTTGCTTCAAAACAAGAAATACGCCGAGCATCTGGAGAGTTGGTCTGCCCGCCAGCAATTCGTGGACGCGTACATGCGCTCCATCCTGGACTTCTCGGCGCATGGCCAGCACTTGATCAGAGTAGACGAGCGGACGGAACCTGGTCCGAACGGCCATGTTGTCCATGTTACATTGCCGTCTGGCCTGGTGCTTCAGTACGTGGAGATCTGGGATCCGTTTGGCCCGACGATCACGGACCAAGCGATCAGTGCGTTGGTGCTCTCAGGTGAGACCAGGCGAGGGGGAGCGGCAGTGAATTCGAAGCGGGAGGAGAAGGCGTGGCTTCCGCTCGAGGTGTTTGAGGTAGATGTACTCGACGCTGAAGAGGAATTTGCAGCAGAGGCAGCAGCAGCACATGGGTCGCCGAAGGGTGGACAAGACACGTTTCAGAGTAAGCTTAGTAGCACAGAGATTCGCAAGAAGTTGAGCGAGAAGGGTGCAGGAAGGAATAAGATGTAATAGTAGAACATATACCTCGTACCATCTGCAGCATAAATCTAAATGACAGGCAGCCCTGGAGTGGGTCTGGAAGGCTTGGCCTGTTAAAAAATGGTGCACCTTACCGGGACTTTTTTTATCTGATATTCTCCGACATGCAGATATGCACGATGTATGTAAAGCAAAATGACGGGGCTGTAAGGTGATAATAAGAGCACAGATATGGACATTCGACATGAAAGACGATGCACGTTATATTCACGGGAGCAGAAGAAACATGTGGGTCTGATCCTTGTCAAAGAAAGTGTAGTTTCTACGTGGCGTACTGATGAGGGATAATTAGCATGTTTCGGCTTGACAGGTGTAGCCAGAGGCGTGTTGCGATCTATGTGGCTCGATACCACTGAGCAGGATTGAGATGCTGCAATAAAAATGAGATGCTGCAGGGGGAGGGTACGGACAGGTAATGCATGCAAGGAGTTGCAAACGTCACCCGCATAGCGTGTTGTTCATGTGAGCTGCAAGTGAAGCTGCGGTGAGCGAAATGGATGCATGTGGTTTGCAAGAGGATTTCCATATCGGCGATCGGTGCGAGGAAGCAGATGAAGAAGCCGTAAAGGCTAAAAGGGAATGCGGTCAAGCTATTCCGATGGTGGTGCGCTGTACGCTGTCCCCATGTGGAGAATGTAGTGTGTGTGTATGTACGTACTAAGACGAGCTAGTAAAGTCTAAGTTCTCCAACATGGTCCACCTTGCTGACTCCCGAGCCTTGTTTTGCATCATAGTCTGTGCAAAAAGACGGTTCGTCTCGACGGGACGGAGAAGAGCCGTGCCGTTGTCTGTCTCAATGGCTTCCGAGTTTCATTGAACGATCAACGACAACGTCTGTTCTTTCAATGATGCCAAGTGGCAGAAGACATGTATTGCAAACCAGGTAGCTGTGAACAGCGAAGCAGCGAGAGTACAGTATCAGCATGTCTCTTTTTGACTCTTTGAGTATTGTTGGACACATGCGGTGGGGTATTACTGCATGATACACGGCAGAAAAGTTTGATGGAAGCTTCTGGGCTGGTCGATTGTGCATATTTCTGCAGGCATGCAAGATCAAGTAATGAAGCAGTGCAGTGCAAGTGCAGTACAGTGCTTGGGATATTATGTATTTGGGTTCTGCAGCTGATCCGAAAAGTGCCGGTATGGACCGGGCCTTGCAACCGACGAGTAATTTTCTTCTTGTTTGCACGATTTTGCACGACTTTATCATGTCGACGACGCCCAGTACAGCAGCGGGTACATTTATTAATTGCATGATGGCAGCGATGGAAAATTGAGTGTGACGCCGGCGATATGGTCCGGAAAACGGCAAGACCAGTCCAGGACAGCTAGATTGAAGCCAGCTTGGGACAGACGACAGACGACAGACTTGACATCCCAGCAACAGTTAGGTTCCTCGGCCTTGTGCAAGTCCCGGGCTCCTGGCGCACAAGGAGCCGAACATGTCAGGCGGCTCGCGTGGACTGATGATATGGCAAGCTTCGTCTAGCACGATCCATCCATGTAGTATTGAGCGAGACATGCATCAGCAGAGGATATGGAGGGATGGAGCGAGGGAGGAGGGGTCGCGTCGCAGCTTGATATCGCTGTTGGGGAGCTGTTGGAGCTGGGTATTGTGGTAGAGAGAGAGAGAGAGAGAGAGAGAGCAACTGGCGGCGGCGGCAGTGGACGCGCACGTCATGAGCGCTTATTGTGGCTGCATGATTGCCAGCGAAGCCTGCATGACAGGCATGAGGTAGTATCGTGTATTCTAGAGGAAGAGGAGGGAGGGTGTTGCTCGTTGTGGAGGTTAAGGTGGAGGTGGAGGTAAAGGATGAGGAGGAGGGTTGTGGTGGTTGGTGGTGGTTAGTGGTGGAGAGAGATGGAATTGAGGGAATGGGCGATTGGGATTGGTGGTAGAGGGGCTAGCAATTAGTCCATTTGGGACCAGTAAGGACCAGTAGGCAGCTTAATAGCTTGACTAGCTAGTCGGCTAGTAGACATACCATACCATACCATACCATACATACATACAGTACCCATCCATACAGTACCCATACAGTCAGTACCCATATATGGCTAGGGAGGGAGGTTTGTAGCAGAGGTGAGAGGTGTAGGTAATAGAGAGCGAGCAGTGAGAGGCAGTAGGCTGCTGGTCCATTTGGCGCGAGACGGGCCTATACCCAGCTAATTCTGCCCCACCAACACCGCCAACTCTCGCTCTCGTTTCCCTCTCTGTCGCTCCCACCTGTCTTTTTATTGCCCTCTCTCCTCTCTCTCTCTCGACAGCCAACAGCCAACAGCTCCCCCCCCCCTCTTCATCCCCCCTCTGTTCCCCCTCATTGCTCGCCCCCTACACCCCCCTCCCCCCCTGTTTCCTCCCTCTGTGGTCCAAATAACTCTGCGCCTACACCCGCAGACCCGTTCCCGTTGTCTAAACACTGCTGAGGTGCATCAGATGTCGGTCATGTGACTCGCTAGCAAGGGTGCAAAATCCGCTCTTAGCCAACCACAGCCTGCCCTGGCCTCTGCGCTGGTGCTCTGCCCTATCTCCACCACAATTGTCTTGGTGTTGTCGCCTCTATTACTCTACATAATACTACATCAATCAGATGAACCTGATCACTCATGTCTCCATCCATTTCTAGCTGACACCCACCACCCCCTTTCTCTCACTTCTCTCACTCTTTTCACACACGTACACACACGCACACACACACACACATACACATACATACATACACGATACTATCTATTACTTACTCTCTGTACCTCCGTCTTGCTGCAAATATCTTCTTCTCGTCTCTTCATCCTCCTCCGACATGTGCTGTTGTCATGCTGCAGCCGCTTCCGACCAGTATTAGCTTCTCTTCTCATGTGGCCCCGTAGCGCTATCGCTTCTGCATGCCCTCTTCACAATCTCTGCTTGCATTCTGCTCTGACTTCTCCAAAGTCTTTTCCACTCCTCCACTACCGCTACTGTTGCTCTTCACTTACGCTCGTTCCTGTCCGTTGTCACTCTATCTGCGCCGCGCTGCCTGCTGTTTGCCGCTCCACTCGCGAAACAGGCCATTTATCCGGTAGATGATTGAGTTACCCCGCCTAGACCGCCGCAGACATGGCTTCCAGTACTTTCATCTTGAAGCTGTCAAACGAACTACTGCGCGATGTCCTGGACCATATCGAGGCCGATCCCGAGAAGCTGGTTGGACTCGACCGTCGGGCGTACCTATCACAGGAGAGCTTTAGCATCAGACCGCCACCCATCCCAGAACGGAGCCAGGCACAGGACATTGGCAACTTTCGACTAGCTTGTAGGCGCTTCTCCGAGCTGGGCGCCATACATCAGTTCTCACGCGTCACCACGCGTTTTTCTCGAGGGGGTTTGAGGAGGTTAGAGAATATAGCGGGGCGGGAACACCTTGCCAAGCATGTTAAGAAATTTAGTTACATGGTACCGTATTTTTACGTCAAAGGTCCTCCTACCCATTCAACCCAACACCTCCAAATAGACTCCACTGACTTTGCACCACCTGCAGGCCGAGAAAGACTTAATGAACTGCTTCCCAATTTGCCCGAAAGTCTCGGTGCACTGGATGTGAGTCACTTTGTCACAAAAGCAACAGAACAGAGAGAGATCGTTGAGACCGAAGAAGATGTACGCGTTCTCAAGAAGGCATTACTAGCATTCACATCCCTCCAACATGTGCAGATTCTCAGAGTTCAGGACCATGAGGATCAAATGCTCATCTCTTACATTCGACAACACGAGCACAGCCATCAGCTAGTAGAGCTCAACTGGGCGCCAGCATGCTCGCACAGTACAAAGACTCTCGTCGTCGCTCTCCTTGCCTCCAGGTCACCATGCTCGCGCTTTTCCTCACCTATGCTAAGCCCGCAATCTGCCGTCGTGCTTGTGGAGCGGCCGTTGCAGTCGTTTTCGACTCTTGCAGAGCGGCTGACGTGTCTGGAGCTCCACTTCGACGATGGCAACGATCTTGACAACAAGATGCGCGAGCTATCGTCAGTCTTCAAGACTGTTTTCACTGCTGCAAAGAACATGCAAGCAGTCCATGTCGGCTTCCCATCGCACCGACCACTAGGCCTGAAACTCGAGGAGCTTTTCCATAATGTTCGGTGGGAGAAGCTAGTAGCTTTCGGCATTCAGTCCTGGAGACTGGATGCAAGCGAAATAATTGCCATGGCTAAGCGGCATCGAGAGCGACTAAAAGGCCTGAGGCTGCGCGACGTGCAGCTGAAGGAGGGCAGCATGTGGAAAGACGTGCTAGGCTATCTGCACGACGACATGCTTCGCCTAGACTGGGTGAGTCTTCGTCGCATCGGCTACGAAAAGACCTTTGATGCACAGTGGTCCATGGGTGCCGAGGTGCCAGATGACCCGCCAGGTGGCGGGAGTGACAGCGACGACGAGAGCGACACCTGGGATCCGCATGCTGACCTTGACGACGATGATGATAATTATGATGACATGGCTGATGACCAGCCACAGAGTCAGACAAACTTCGACAACGCAGATCAGGATGGAGACAGTGATTCCGACACCTCGACCTGGGAATCAGAAGATGGCACCGAGGCTGAAGAAGGTGCGTCTGGCGACGCTGGCATGGGCTTTCCACCGCTATCGCCAGACACTCCTTCAAGCCTACGCTGGTGCAACTGCAATGGCCACAATACGTACCCAAGCTCAGCCGAGGAGCTTGATGACGACGGTGAGATAGTCAGCAATGTCAAGAGGAAGATGTGGGAGAAGTGGGTCGTCAGAAGGTGCTTCCAACACAGCTTCAAATGAAGTTAGGTCACTGACCATTCCTGTCAATTCGCACTCGCGATGTACTTGTACGGCACAGCAAACACACTTTCGGCATCACTCAGAGACTGCCTATCTTGGTATACTTCTTGTACATGACATTACACACCAATCGCGCCAGCTTTTCGGTATACGACATCGCTCGCCCTTCATTTCACACACATACATACACACACATATACACACACACACATACACGCCTTCGTGCCGATGATCCTGGGAGGCTGTACTCACTCACCATTACGCTGATCAACGTCTTTTCAGAGACTTTTTTTTTATTTGGATACTATTTACACGCATGAGAGACGAGCAACGAAGTCACGTATGAGCACCATTTGAGAGAAAAAGTTGAACATGAATGAGTCCGGCGGCCAAACATCGATTATCAATCTGACTTTTTGTCAACCGTCCATTTAGACAGAGTTTTTGAGAACTTATCAGGATTGTTTGAATCTGGGGCTCAGTTCGGGGCACGCACCTTTTTTCCAATCACTGTTTCTATGGAACTCGAATCTACCTCAGGATTGCTATATATACATACATATATATATATCCCTTTATACACTACTTTCCCCAAGAAGTCTCAACATATAACGTGCAGGCAGCTACAATGGCCACACCACCTCAGCGGAAAGCCGCCACTCCTCTTCATTAGGAAGATTAGCTATGAATAGATATCTATTGTGACTTGGTCTTTTATGGTAGAGAAGAACCCGAGGCTCTTCCGGCTGAATCCCGGCGATATGGGTTTGTGTACGTCCTGTCCTGCCTGCCAAGCGTATCCGGGTAGGGCTGATCGTGCTTTCTCCATGCGAGAGATAAAAAAGTGAGGCCTGCTAGATGACGTTTCTAGTGGACATCCCGTGCTCGTAGTGGTTGTAGATCCATGCGACCTGTCGGTGGCTGTGGCAGAGCGGATGGCATGCATCTATCACAGGTCTTAAATACACATATCTTTGTTTATATCTCCATGATTTGGACAGACAGAAACAGAATAGACGTACAGTGATTTTCCATATTTTCAAGCTCTAGAAAAACGTCTACCATCTAATGTCCTACACCGAAAAGAAACCCTCCCCGGGGAAAAAAAATGCATTTCCTCCAAACCACCCCGTTTTTTCCCCTCTCTTCCTTTCTCACAACCGCTTCACAATATCCTCCACAATCTCCTCCGTCCCGGCCTTCCCGCCCATATCAGGACTCAAAAGCACACCATCCTCCAAATTCGCATCCACAGCCTCATAAATCCGCGCCGCCGCCCGCTCCTCGCCCAAAAACTCCAGCATCAACCCAACACTCCGAATAGTGGCAATCGGATTCGCAATCCCCAACCCTTCAATATCCGGCGCACTCCCATGGCACGGCTCCCCAATCACAAACCCCTCGCCCACATTCGCACTCGGCACCAAGCCCAGACTGCCCACCAGCGCCGCCGCCCCATCAGACAGAATATCGCCGTACAGATTCGGCGCAACAATCACGTCGTACGCCCCCGGCTGCCGAAACAGCTTGTACACCATACTATCCACTATCTGCTCCTCCACGCCCACCATCTGGAACCGGTCCTGCGCCAGCGCCGCCCGCGCCGTCTCCCGGAACAACCCGTCCGTCTGGCTCAGCACATTACTCTTATGCGTAATCGTCACGAGCGGAGCACCATGCATGCTCGCCGTGCCCGCATCCCGCACCCGCTGGCGCCGCAGCGCAATCTCGCCCGCCATCGCAGCTATATTCCAACTAGCAGTCTGGGAGATGCGCTTGATCGCCTCGGCAACCTTGCTTCCGTCCGGCGCCGTGTACGTCTTCTCCTCCTTGACGTACAGGTCCTCTGTGTTTTCACGCACAATGACCAGATCGACGGGGGTTTTGGCGGAGAGGGTGCTCTTGACCGGGCGCACGTTTGCGTACAGCTTCATGCGTTTGCGCAGGGCGACGATGGGGCTGGAGTAGCCCTTTGTTGCGACGGTGGGGCTGCTGACGGCGCCGAAGAGCGCGGCGTCGCATTCGTGCTCGAGGGTCTCGACGGTCTTGTCTGGGAGCGCAACGCCGGTTTGTTGGAAGGTGGTGAAGCCGGCGGGCAGTGTGGTGAAGGTGAATTTGAGGTTGTGCGAGGAGGGCAGGGCTTCGAGGATGCGGCGGCCGGCGGGGATGACTTCGCGGCCGATGCCATCGCCTGGGATGAGGCCTGGTTTTTTGTTCTGTGTTAGTATCTCGTTTCGCTGGAGGGCAAATTGGATAGAGAGGGGAGACTTGTGTACCTATTCGGAGTGTGCGTGAGGCCATTGGTGCTTGCGTGTCGAGATGGGAGAGGTGGTGGTTCAGGCTGTGAAGCTCCTTTCGCGCCTGTGCAGAGAAATAATTTATCGGCGGCCGCATCATCCGTACGTCCCGATGTCGGCTGGAACGTGGCCGAGCCAATAGCGGCAGAGCAGCAAACGCTTGTCAACAGTGTATGTATATGCAGGAGCAGGACTGCTGTCTGTAATAATGTTGGTGTTCTGGCTTCAAAACTTTATTTCTTGTACATGCAAGATACGTGAAGCATATATCTGCCACATAGTCATCAATGTCAGCCCTGCTATGTATGGTTGAACGTCGAGTAAGGCCCCGAGTTCCCCGGATCCTCAACAACCTCCCCGTCCCGGCACGGCGTCACGAGTATCACGCATTATTATTCAAGGCATCCGGAGCTTTTTGCAATCGATAGTATAAATACTTTGTTCGACTATTATCCTCCCTACAAAAACCCCGATCATCTCTCCTTCCAACTTTCCCTGACGTGTCTTCTTGCTTTGCCAAACTGATACAAGCGAGTGAGTCCAGATTTTGGCCAGCACTAGAGCTTGTCTGCCAACCCTCCATTCCGGTCTCATTCGACGATACAAATGAGTAGTGGTGGTAATAGAATTCATACTGTGCATCGCATCTCCTTGAGCGAACAATGTGCGCTGTGATAACTAGGGAGCAAGCGCTCTACAGAGCCTCTGACAAGCCACCGCACTTGTTACCAATCCAAGCCCGTCGTGCATAACTCGTTGGCCTGGCCGCTCCTTGAGACACGATAGAAAGACAATTGGGTATTCAACTTGTACTCGAGAAATAGGCTTAGCGAATGGTGGCTCCTTCGAAATTCGGTGTTTCCGCTGTCAGATCGTTGCTCGTAACGTCTGGTGTAGCTTCACCGGTATTTTCAGTCGTGTTTCCTTCTTTTGAATTCGTTGCCGACTCTTCGTGTACTCCATTGCCATTAGATGTTACAGCCTCCTTCACCTTTGAAACGCCTTCATCGACTTTAGCCTTGACCTTTGATGCCGTACTCGCGCCTGTGCCAGACTTTGGCTTGCTCGACGCAGGCGCTGGAGCTGGGGCGCGGCGAGGAGGAGACTTGACTTCCACCTTTTCATGTGTTTTACTAGCCGAACTTGCCGTTGGTCGCATCATGCGTGCTAAGAATCCGCTATCAGGCGCGGCTGTGCTAGTCCTTGATTCGGATCGACTGGACGGTTGAGGTGGGAGAGATGCACGAGGCGCTTTCTTGACTGGCGCAGGAGGTTTGAAGCTCGAGGTGCGATCACGACCAGCAGGTTTGCGTGCTACTGAGGCTTCGGCCTCGTGTTTAGCGGCGGAGGAAGCAGTAGGCTGTGTCAAATGCGAGGGCAACTGGACCGGTCGAGTGGGTGACTTAGGCTTAGGTTTGACGAAACTACCTGTGGATGTCGAACCAGAAAGTCTTTCCTTGGCTGATGAGGACGTAGAAGATGACATTGAGGCTCTTGGGGCTTTGGAAGTAGAGGGAGCTGGCTTCACAGGAGCTGTCTTGCTTGTGGCTGATGTCGGAGTCTTTGTTGGTGATTTGACAGCTGGTTTCACCGAGGTAGCTTTTGTTTGAATGGGAGCTGGCTTGCTAGTGGTGGTCGCCTTCAACTTTGCTTTTGCCTCTGCGATAATAGAAGAGCCTCCATTGCTCTTGGCTGGCTCGGGCTTCTTTTCGGGCTTCTTCTCAGGCTCTGCAACTGGAGCTGGGGCTGCAGCTGGGGTGTCATCGGCTTTGGGCTTTGCAGTCGGAGGTTCAACGGTGGCATCAGGGACGGTGCTCGACGTGGACTTGGTCACCTGCTCGACTGGCTCTTGCGTCGCACGAGAAGCTTCTCCCGCGGAGACTGCAGGCGTGTCTGTGGAGTCCGATGGCTTCGTCACTGCCGGTGTTTCTTCTTTTACCGAATTGGGTTTGTCTGGGTTGATCAAAGGTGCTTCCACCTCGGTAGCTGGCCCGGACGAATTGGTCTTTTCCGTCAAAGGCTCTGTAGTGGGTGCATCTGGTGATGTTGGCAGAGCTTCAGCCTCAATTGCTGCAGTACTGTGCGGTGCGGTCTCTGGCGGCTGCGTATCAATGGCTCCGACAGTCTTGTCCGTTGGCTCGAGAATTGGTGTAGCTGTAGAGCCAGATCCAATGGCCGACTCTGGCACCACCTCGTCCACAACACCCATGTCCACGCTCATCTTACGTTGTTCGATTTCGTTGCTCATTGTTTTCTTAAGCTCTTCAATTTGTGCTATATCTCTGCTCTGTCTCAAGCTGAAACTCTCTCTTCGTTGGGCGAGAGGACTTGTGGCGTCGTAGTGACGACTTGTACTGCGCGCGGCGCTCGTTTCTCTTGGGAAGAAACCTGAAGATTCGACGGAGACAAAGCTGGCGCGTATCTTGGAGGTAGGACGACTGAGAGAAGTATCGCTTGTTATGGAAGCAGCGGGAGAGCGGCCACGGGGCTCTGGAGAGGTAGTCACGTCGGAGGTTTGCTCAAAGATTGCACGGAGGTTCCGAACGCCACTGGATCGATTTGTGGACATGGCTACGGAAAAGCAAGAAGCGTCAGTACTCGAAGCGAGAGAAGATGCGTGTTGGGTATGATTGTGGGTTGCTGGTCAGGAACAGGTACGACGAGGGGCCGATCGAAATCGTCGACCAGGATGATGCAGAGGCGCATGAAACGCGTCCATACGTGTTTGACATTTAGGCGCTGGAGCGTCCTTCATTAGTGATGGCGGAAAGGGTGTTACTTACAATTCAGCAACAGTACAGGGGCATCGTCAGCAGTGAGAATGCGTGCAAAGATGGCGATGGAAGGATATCTTTGCGTAGCAATTACAGGAAAAGGGGGGTTGTTTGGGGATGGTGGACCGTAGAACGAAAGGGAACCTGGAGCCTGCGCACGGAAATACTAACCTTAGGTCAGACCCCTTTTTTGCGCGCTTTTTCGCTACGTCACTTCGTCTTGACGATATTATCAAGCCATCTGCACTATTTACTCGTTTCTTACGCATCACATCTTGACTCGTGCCCAAAGTAAGAGAGATTACTAGAGCATTGTCGTTTCAGATACAAGTCCGCGCCCAATGATCACGCTGTCTGAAAGCTTTGCAAGGGCGTGCAACGCATTAAACATTTCCGGCAAGCTCCGTCATACCTCGAAAGATATCTGCATGGATCACCCGTCGCTCAACGAGCGCAACATGTCTCTGTTGTACTACTGATTTCTGCTTTTTGTTACGTCAACGATGCAATGTGTTTCGAGTTTCAACCACATAGACGACCGTTGATAGCCCAAACGGGCTAGCTTCGGTGTGTCATCGGATCCATATTCTTGTCAACATCAAGGCTCACTTTCAGGACTCTGTTGAATCAACCAAACACTAATTCATGCAGAAAGTGTGTGATATGTGTGGAACGAACTACTTAAAGGCATGAGCTGCCAAAGAAACTAGTAATGATACCAAAGGACTCCTCCCTCAGGCCTTCGCCTTATTGATGGCATAAGTTGCGCCCGCTTGCGCGTACTTCTGTACAACACCAGTGTGCGGGCTCAAGCTGCTCCCACTATCACAGAACAGATCATTCGAATCGCAGATATCAAGGAGCCTGGCAGAGTATGTGTCTAGCGTCGTGGTAACACTCCTCTTATAGATGCCACTCCTAGTGCTGGTCCCGCTGTTATACGACTTCCCAGCAACATGCGCTGGACTCGCAAAGCTGACTGTGGCCACAATGTTCTTCGTGTACGTGGAGGATAGCGGTGCTTCGGAGCTGAAGCTGGCCCCACCGAGCGCGTCGCCGATGACTTGTCCGCCCTGCGAGTATCCCAGCAAGACGATCTTGGAGGAAGGACAGGAGGTGGCGTAGGCTGTTATGGCTTTCTTGAGGTTTACCACGCCCGTGTTCTCTGAGGACTCGTAGTTGTCGAGTGTGGCTGGATAGTCGAGGCCGACTGAAACAGAGCCGGGCAGAGAGTTCTTGATAAGAGTAGAAACCTGGGAAAGGGAACCTTCACCCACAGCCTGGGTAGAGCCACGGGCAGAGATGATGTAGACGGCGGTTCCGCTGACGCAAGTCGCCTGACGGCTTTGGAGAAAAGAAGGAAGTGTCGGCCATGCTGAGGCGAGGGAGGCGAGGCCAAGGGCGAGGAGAGCAGTAGAGTGCATAGTGAGTGTGTTGAAGACGAGCTCTTGGTGCTTACAATCGATGTAGTGGAGCCCTCTATTTATACAAACACGACCACATCCTCGTATTCTTCAAACGGGCATGTAGGACAAGACAATATGTACCTGGCTCAGCGCTATAATACACTCTAAAGCCATACTACCGGCCAGCAAGCCCAAAGTGGAAGGAAACGAACTACGCACTCAGACTATCATCATAAGCGTTGCTCGAACTACTTGTTTAGTAACAAAGTTTAGCAACGTGATGGCTATACAATCCAGGAGAGGCTCCAGCCATATTGCTTGGCATATTCATAATAGCAACAGGGGAGAACACGCTAGGCAATTCGTCGAAATGGGATGTTTACTCCGGCTTGACAACCTTCCTTGACACTCCCCGCAAAAGCATCTAGTCGCAAATCACCCACCCGTTCTTCAAAAACCTAGCAACCCCGCACTCTTCACACAAGCGATCTTAACGAGCTGCCTGGTTAGGACTAAGGTCGCTACGTGATCGCCTTCCCGTATCCCGGCTGGGCGTCCGGATATGGCTGGACTCGGACCAATATCCGACGCCGAGACACCTCGTACTACGTACGCATCGCGGGTTCCTGACCATGATGAAACACACACAAAATGCCAAAGCACTTTATATGACATTGGGATTGCTTACCATCTAGTTCTTAGTATAGTCTGACCTAACCACTGGAGACCTACGACATGGGGCTCTGCGGCTGCGCCGCAATAGACGCTACATCGCCAGCTGTAGCCGCCTACGTACGACAGCGCACCCAAAAAAAGATAATGTTTCTTGCCATCAACACCAATGATGAATGTAGTACATGCGCTTTACCCGTGCCACATAGAAGAGGGAGCCGTGCAATATAATGCTCCAGAGTAGGCTGAAGACGCTATAGTGAAATTCTGACTCTGCTGCCTTTTACCTCATCTTTATCATTGTAGCGAAAACACCAGAATTTTCATGATTTCACATTATCGAATAGAAAACAGTTTTGGTCTTGTTTCTTCTTATCTCCCTCACACACACAAACACATAATGAAGTTCCTGGACTCGAGCAGGCAGCATTGGAAATTCTCAAAACGCCAGGACGTCGAGGCTCAAGCTCTGGTGTCGGCAACGTCGATATGCGGCTACAAGGACGGCAACGCCCTGTCCAGCCGGACTGCAGAACCAGGGTACAGATGCAGGTACGATGGCGCTGCGCAGGTCTGGGGCTTCTGCACAGAAAGCATCGACGACATAGCCGGGTGTCGACTGAACAGTGCGTGCTTCGACCTCAACTCCTGCACATCGGGATGCGGCTGGTTGAATGACCCATCTGGACATACGGTGAAATGGTTAGATGATCCCCGTAAACACACGTATATTTGGTTACTGATTGTAGTATGGTGTATATATAGTACGAAATCGAGCCGCGGCTTCTGCTCTGCCGCACTGCTTACGGCGAATATCGATCAGACGTATACCTATCTCGACTGCGCCGACAGCGCGACCATCGATCATCTACAGGTTACACCGACGGACACCCCCGAGACTACGAGCTCGACGTTCAGCAGTACGGTGATGCCAGCTGTGGCTTCCTTCACATCGAGTCTCCCTTCTGCGACGACCGGCGTCGTTCCCATCACCACTCCAGCGCCGGCAGCACTCACGGCGACGCCCTCTACGGCCACAGACACTGAGGCATCGAATAGAGCTCCACTTCCGGCAATTATTGGCGGTGTCCTGGGCGGGCTTGTGCTCACCTGCTGTACGCTGCTGGTCTTGCTCCTGGTCTTCCGACGGCGTAGTAAACCTCATGTATGCAAGGATATAAAGCCTACAATCAAGGGCCCGTATCCGGTGTCAAATGATACGAATGACATGGATGTCAAGTATTATATCAGCGATATCAAGGGGTCATTGAAGGGTAGTCGGGCTACGTTGAGGGTGAATCGCAGTCCGGTCGAGATTTCCGAGAGTAATTACTGGTCAAGGAGCCCAGTAGAATTAGCCGGTTGAGTGTGAGTATAAGAACGCATAGCATTCTTTCACAATTCAAACTCAGTTTACAACCTGCCAATACCCCTCCAACACATTCTGGCAATCGTTGCACGTGTAGAGGTTCCTGGACAAGCCAGGGATCCAGAGCCCAACTCCTCGACTTCAATTGATCAATCACCGCCCAGCAGCCCAGCCGCATTCCACACCGTCGTCCCAAACTGATCCAGATTGAAGCACCACAGCCCCAGATTTCTCAACAGCGCATCGTCCTCGACAACGCCATTCCTCACGCTGCGCAAGTGTCCGATTGTCATGACTTCACGCCCGCTCTTCGCACGCAGATACTCCTGATACTTGCGCTCCCACTCGATGCGCGTGCGCGCTTCCCACAGATCCTTGGTCGCGGGCAAGGGCACGGCGTCGAGCCCTTCTGGCTGTGTGGACGGAGACGGAGATGAGGTGGAGGTGGGCGTGATGCGCATGTCGAGAAGGCGACCTAGGATGAACAGCAGGATAGTAGTGCGACGCACGCTCTCGGCGTAGATCCATTCTTCCCATGAGGGGAAGCCGCCGGACTTTTCCTTGTCGCAGAGCAGGCCGTACCGTTGGAGGACGCGGTTGGCGACGATCTGTAGATGAGAAGCATTAGCATTAGCGCCATAGGCATGTGCACGTCATAGACGACGACAAAAGACAAGAACGTAATGAGAAGACAGACTTACACCGAGCGCAACGACAATCGAACCATCGCACTGCACCTTCTGCTCGTCCGTAAGCAGACTATACATCAGCGTATACAGCGCCATCGTCTGGAAGCACTCGAGCAGCATCCACTTGCCATAGCCCTCAAACTACACAGAAAAAATTTCCATCAGCAAACTCTTCAATCTCGAACAAAAAAAAGAGAATCCCACTGCCCCCCCCCCCCTTTCCTTCTCACTCAGACACACGCAACCACGTGACCCACCTCGCTCAGCATCCTCTTCTGCTCATAATGCCCCGTCGTGCTCAGCAGCCCGAAATTGTTCACCGTCGTCGCAAGACTCATCTGCACCACCCCACACGCATTGTCCAGCGGGCCGTGCCAGCACACATGCTTGCCCTTGCCCTCACACTCGCGCGTGCCCGTCCGCAGACACGTCGCGTGGACGTACGGCGGCAACGCCAGACCCTCTACCAGCATGCGTGGCCACGTCGCCAGCGAGCCATGTACGACGCGGGATAGCAGTGCGGCTGAGGCCGTAGATGGGGTGCGCGCGAGCGTGAAGCGCGGGTTTGCGGACGTGGGGTCTGGGTCGAATAGGTGTGGGCGGTCGGACGTAGATCCGGATCCAGATCCAGAGCCGGTGGTGGATGAGGAGGAGGGACCGGACGGGGAGAAGGTGTCGAGGTCGAGCGGGCTGCCGAAGAGGGAGTCGAAGGGGGCTTCGGTGGTTTGGTAGTTGTTGTATGCTCCGGGGGCGTGCTCGGTGGGTATTGTGGATGTGTGGGATGGTGGCACTTGGGCTGTGGTGGTGAAGGAGAAGCCGTTGTAGTCTGATGATGAGGGAGCTGCTGCTGTGGATAGGGTTTCGTCTCGTTCGCGCAGAGGTTGTATGTTTGGGAGTGTGACGTCCTTGTATATGCATGTCGAGCCGCGAGAGGTACAGCGGGTGCACGTGGGGAAGGTTAGACTGCAGCGGGTTTTTGCGGCGCGACATTGCTCGCAGGACTTTTTGCGCGAGTAGGACATGCTTTGTCTGTGGGATTGTGTATACCGGCTGTTTATAGACATCCTTGAAGGGGTTGCTGGGTTGGGGTGCTTGTATAGCGAGATTGGGGAAGGTCGTAGTATCAAGAAACCAGGGACTGGGATGTTGTCATATAGTGCCCTAGTAAGCCTAGTGTGTGTATAAGGTACATACCGATCTGCGGACAAGAATAGTCTGTGTAAATAATTAATTATTCCCGCATCAACCACGTCTTCTGAGATTTATTTTTCGATCTATCCGAAGAAGGACAAGATAGAGCAAAGGAATATAAATTATACCAGTAGGCTAATCGTTCGTGGGGGCTGTGTATTTATACTTTGATATGAAGTCTTCGAGATTAATTAGTCCGCGATAACTCCCCCGGATGGCAGCCAAAAAGGCCCCCAAAAGGCCCCCAAAAGGCCCCCAAATCGGCTGCCAGACCCGCTGTCTGGGGCTGCCAAAGGTGCAAATATTGCGACTACGTTCCATGATGTTGTTCACTTGACATTGCCATTCCAAGCCAGCACGAGCCAATCAGAGCTCGTGGTTTGCTTCGTACCGACAGTACCGACATGCCAACAGTGCCGATGGTAATAGCATGTCTGACACACATCTACACTAGTAAATTCCAATACTATTATAGATCGTCTCACTCCTGGATACTTAGGAAGCTCTTCTACAGATCTCATCGTTTCAGATCTTAATATACTTTCTCTATGTCCTTAGAACGAGCAGAGCACTGATCTGTAGGCCTGATGATGACAACCTCAAGGACTTACGATTCAAATCAAGTGAAGAGTAGCGCCATGTCACACGTATAGTTGAGCACATGAGTGGATCACAGAAACACTTCAATAAAGAGCAGTGATGAACATTTTCAACTATCATATTGTCTACTCTACAAGTCAAGCAAGTTCAGAAGCCAACAGAGCAACGAAAACGGACACAAAGTCCCACACAAACAACAAAGACTACGCAATGATACACTATCGCCCAAACGACTTGCTCTTCCCTAGTACGCATATGGCCGAACCGTGAACCTCAAAGCGTCATACAGCTCCGCACTCAGCCAGTCCTGACCCTCCCCAAGAACCATCTCTCCTCCCAATATGATATTCCCATAGAAATCCTGCTCCACTTGCACACGAGGCCCAAAAGTCGCCCACTGCGTGGCGTCCAAGCCCGCCGTGCAGAACACCTGGAGCATAAGATAGTGACGCACCATGTTCCCAGCATGACGCCTAAACGCCTGGCCCTCCATGATAATCTGCATATATGGATACTCAACCCGCACCTGTCTCAGTTTTTCTGCGTCTTCGAGCCGCATGCCGAGCTCCGGCAGCCGGCGCACTACCATATCGTATAATTCGGCCAAGATGCTGATCTCGCGGATGTACTCAATCGGCGTCGTGAATGCGTCGAGGAAGGCGAGGAGCGAGTTGAGGTTGCCCAAGCGCAGGGTGCGGCCGTTGTACAGGCTTGCGGCGGCTTCGTTGTAGAGGGTGCGGCTGGCGGAGAGCAGGGAGGCGGTCGTGGTGACGAGGGTGGTTTTGGGAATCGGGTCGAGCTTGCGGTTGTAGCTGGCTGTGACGGGGAAGAGGTGGTAGAGCACGCCTGAGGAGAAGAGCGAGGTGAAGAGGAATTCGTAGATCATGTCGCGGAGCTCAGGGGGCAGGTCGAAGAGGCGGAAGTGTGTTGGAGGAACGCAATCGTGGGGAATTGGGGGAAGCCTGTACTGGACCTTGAAGTTGAGACTGATCTCGTCTGTCACAACAGGGGACTCATCGGGAATAGCTGGGACGAGTTCTGTCCATGCACGATCGCGTGTGTACTGGCCTTGTATCAATCTGAACTTCTCTGCGTCGTCCAAGGGCATCAGGAATCTCCAATAGACGGTAGATGGATCAACATTATTCGCTATCAGCACCTTCAAACCGTCGACAATCAGGGAAGTTCCAACAATCTTGTGATATTCGGCAGTCTTGGTAATATCGATGGCGTCGGTTGACTCTTTGTCTTCGGGGCATTGTTTCCAAGGAAGCAACCATCTCCGTAGCGAAGCAATGCCGAAAGGCCTGGTGTGAATGCTGGCCATGTTCTCCAGAATGGGTGCTTATCGGACGTGGTGGATTGTCGATGGTAGAAGATAAGTTGACAGAAAATGAAGGGCTGTAGAAAACTTTTAAGTAAGCGAGCGTGGACGCGTTCGATAGAACACAACACATAAACAAACATAACCCAGGTCACACGTGCTAAATAAGTGAAAAATACACGACAAGTAGATACCATCACTAACGGAGCGGTATTCAGCTGGAACAACATATAAAATTTGCAACCAGCAACAGCAAGATATCAAGATAGGTATTACTCCAAATGCCGACAATGTACGATAACAATCAATAGAACTACTTCTCCTTCCCACTGCAAGCGAGTAAAGCACGAGAGACGACTCTGAAGTGAAAATTTCATTACAGCCCACAAAAAACACGCCCACGCACCTATGAAAGGCCATTCATTGAACAGATTTTCAATAACAAGACAGCATTCTGCGAACCACCCCTGCATAACCCCTATCTCCCCTCGACATTCGCGTGTCCAAAGAGCTCAACCCTTGGAATTAGGCCACGCAAGTGAAAAGAAAGTATACATAGCAAGAAGTAATCAGAATACGCCAACACCCACCCCCTATCTCAAATAATGAGTGTGTTCTACAACGAGTGTGCGTGGGTATTGATATCTACCTCCTTCGTCAGACACAAATATTAACAGTGACTCCTCAATATCATCCGGACAGTGGGCTCACAACTGAAAAGGGGGTGTGCTTCTCATCCGTCACGCACTATAAGAGGGAATGTGTTATGTTTACTTTGTTTGCTAGTCTACTTCAACCGCATGGCACGTCTCAACCAACACCAACAATCTCATCGCGCTCATACCATCCGTTCCGTAATCCGATTCCGACTCCAACGCAAAAAATGTATCCAGCCTCAGTTTCCAACTAGGCTGCTTCAAACACGTACTCAAGTCTACCGTCACGATATCGAGATTTCTGTGTGGATTGACACAGTCTGAAGTTTCACTCAGCCGGCCCTTTCACCGCTGTGTCGGCTGTGGTCTTGCTGGTGGTTGAGCCTACGCCTGCTCTGCCTGTATTCCCAAACCCATTGTATCAACACTGGTCCCCGGACGTCCCGTTGCATCGGGTCCGGACGCACTCCCACCTCGCATTTCTCGCATCCTACGCCCTTCCATCAGCCCTCTCAGCCCTCGCTTCTGTAGTCCAACCACGGCACTGAGTTCGCCAGCCCAAATCTCGCGCTCGGTGCCGGGGCCCGAGAGCTCGGAGCCAAGTTCGCTTGCACTGGTACTTGTGCTGGTACTGCTCAGCTCGTCTTCACTGCGATTTCCATCGCCAGGGGCCCGCAGATCCGTGTTTATTCTCGCGAGGCCTTGGGCCATGGCTGTTGTGCCCATCGCGTTGGCCGAAGCTAATTTCGCTGCGGATAGGCTTGTATCGTCGTGAAGCTCGAGGTCGAGCTCGACGTCTTCATCAAGCTCTCGGAGTGCGGATGCGGAAAGGGCTTCGCCTTGGGAGAGGACTTGAGCTGGAGTCGACGTGAATGCAACACCGGCGCCGCCACCAGCAGCCATGGCAGCGGCGTTGAATATGGCGGCTGTGTTGCGGCCGTCGAGGACAGCGTGTTGACGCTCGATGATGGCTTCGAGAAGGCCGTCGATCTGGTACGGGCGTGCTATTTGTAGCAGAGAGCAAAGAATTTGTGGGGTGCATAGCGGACTGGACGGGGGAGGTAAAGCGGAAGTGTAGAGGAAGTGCACGAGCGCTTGTACGGTAAGTTTGGTATGAGGGAGGTAAAGGGCACGTGAGCGAGAAATAGCAGGAGGGCCAGAACGCAAGTCAGGTAGTGCCCATGGTGGTGATCCTGTGGTTTCTGAATATGTACTATTGTTGAGGGTGGTTGCAGACGAGTAGGTAGTTTTGATAGAAGGAGTGATCGTGATGGACGAGTTGCGAGATGGGTGGGTGGATAGACCGGAGGGACGAAGGGTAGCAGTGTCAGCGTTTTCAGCAGTGAGGTCAACTGAGAGAGTGCCCTCTCGAAGGAGTGTGTTGAAATACGGGCCCCACCTTCGAGCGGCGATGTGAGAATTAATAGGTATTCTATCATTTTCGATAGTAATGATTTCCATGTCGTTAAGTTCTCTGAGCCCCATGGCCAGGTGTCCGAGGTCCTCCGCCGCTGCAGATAGCTGCCGGCCACCGGCATTATGGTCCAAATCAGCTGTTTGTAGCGGCGCACTGACTGACTGGTATCTCGATAGCGGTGACGTCTTTCTCGGGTTCTCATATAGACCGAATGCCTCCAGCTCTACCATTATGACGTTTGTAAAGTTGATGCGTCGGTGGTTGTAGTCGTCTACTAGGCTCCTCTTACGATTTCCTAGAACCACGAAGGTGTTTCTTCTTGACCAAAGAACACCGCGATTCCAGCTCCCGGTGGTAAAGATGGTTCCTCCAGCATCGATCTTGCTCCACGTCATATTTCTCAGATCCAGTGCCCAGAGAGCGTACTCCTGCTTGGAGGATGTTAGAAATGTGCCACTGACAACGAAGTGATTGTTGATCACTCCGCCGTTGGGGAACCTGAGCCCTGGCGGGGATGGAGATCCTTCCATTTGCTTTTCTTGAAGATTACCGGCCGGATCTCGGATCTGGAGCTCTAGTTTTACATCGAGGAAGTTGTAGTTTGAATATAACAGCATTGATGAAGCGCCATGTGCTTGGCTTGTTGATTTCCGTTCCGGAGTCTGCCGTTCATTACTTTGAGAACCTACATCCTCAGCAGATATTGTTGTGAGAGGCGCAACGACACTTCTATAGGCACCACATGCCTTGCCTAGTCTGTTTGATGGTTGCCACTTTAGACTTCGTAGATTGAAAATGCTTATTTCTTCAATGTAATGATTCCCGCTGTCTTGGCCGCCAACGACTATCATTTCCGCGCCACCTGTGCCATCTATCTCGGTACCAAGCTTTCCCTGGTTTGGATTTTCAGAGGACGGATTGTGTTGTATCGCAGACGTGGTCGCACTGTTAGAGGTGAAAACCGCGGATGAAGGTAGAATTGCAGCGCAATGGGCATAACGTCCTTGCGGTGAATCTGGCGATTGTATGTTTACCCAGGTTCGGCTTGGGACGTCGTAGATATGTATGTCGGACATGACGACAACCTCCGGCTGTTCTTGAGCTGATTGTGGTTGTGTACTTTGGCCAGGAGGTGACCGGGCAGGCGACATTCCCCCGTAGCATACCATTTTCTTATCTCCCAGTGGACAAACACTGTGAAAATATCTAGGTGGCGGAATGTCTCCTTTAGCATCGATTTTGGTCCAATGTCTCTTGATGAGATCCAGTTCGTACAAGTCCGAGGTCAACGGTGGTTTCGTGCGGGATAGCCTACGTCCTCCAAAGACATACACCTTGTCCCCTAAGACAGTAGTTGTGGCCCCAACCAAAGGATGCGGTTCCCTCCCAGTTGTGCGGTGCACATTGCATACCAGTCCAGATAAGCCAGAGGTGGAATTTGCTGTTGAACCTACGCCTGCTGTCTGGCCCATCGCGGGCGAAGGTCCACCAGAAGCTACCGATCCCGGTGTGTGAGAGGTGGCGCTGTTAGGCTCCACGTCCTGGCCCATCCGATTGAGGCTCGTGGAACTCGCATTATTATTCATGTTGATATGGTTTCCGTTCAATCCGTTACGCAGGCCTAATTGTGAAGGTGAGGGCGCAGAAGTGGCAGAATCCAATGTACTCGTTCTACTTTTACTTGACTCTCGCCTTGCCATACTACCAAGTCTATCAACAAAGGTAGTGGGCAGTTCGGTAACGCCCTTCCCGTCCCGAGGACCAATTGAGACTGGATTGGTGGACGAACACGAGGACGAAGGAGGTACCAGAGAATCTATCCTCGGCCGTTCAGGAACAGATTGATCGATTATTTCATGCGGTCGTGCCCCGTTCGTGTGTTCTGCAAGACCCTTTGGACCCGGGGAATTCGGGATGGGAAAGTCTGATAATGAGATATCGTCAAGACTGGATATAAATGGAAGCTGCAGATGAAGGTACGGAGACGAACTAATTTGTTCTGCAGATTTGACCAGTGGGGAATCCTCGTGAGCCGGTTCTAAATCAGGACCCTCGACAGTAGATTGAAGCCTTTCTTCGCTCGAAGTGGACGGATGCGCTTCGGTCGTTGGTGATAGCTCAAGAGACACACTCGACTTGGTTGAAGGAGACAATACGTTACGCGTTCTCTGTCGTAAGTGGAGGCCTGTGACAGAGGGAGAACGGAGCCCAGCAGACCCAATATCTCGAGGCTTCTTACTCTTCTTGGAGCTTTTTGACTTTGTCCACAGGTACGAGTCTTGCGCTATACCACACGCTGGATCGACCACTGCAGTTGGACGACTGCCGACTCCTAGAGGCAGCATCGTCAGCGACTTTCCAAGCATAGCAGCCTCGTTCATGATGATTATGATATGATGAGAGCAGCAGAGCGAAAAGATTGAGGACAAAGAAAGATTGAGCAAGTACAAGAAGTCGATTAAGGATGATGTGGCGGCGGAATGTCAGAAAATGCGCTTGGGCACGACGGCGCAGAGTATTGAGCATGGTTTGTGTTATCGAAGATAATTGTTAAGCCAGGACACTGATCGAGTCGCGCATATACATGTACTCATGTGCATGGTGGAGGTACAAACGACAGGGAGGGAGGTTGTACCAATGGCACGCCTCGTCCCACGCAAGGCCTGCAACTTGCCCAGAGAGCACACCAAGGAGGATTGCAGGCTGCTTTCTCCAGGCCATAAGAGGCAGCGGTAGTGAATCAAGACACGCCAGGGAGAACCGGGGCTTGCTGAGGATGTGAAAAGGGAATAGGTGGAGATGTCGTACCTTTCACCACAAGGCCGCAATGCCCAACACGACCAAACCTATTACTGGCGTGCTTCGAGCGGGCTTAGACGACAAGCCAGAGATGCGAGCGAGAGTCCTGAGGTGATGAGGATGTTTCACTGGCCTCTCGGCTTGTTTCTGTTCTTCAGATGGTGCGCACGAGAGGCATGGGAGAGTGGGCATGAGTGAAAAGAGAGCAGGCTCTTGTTCTCGTATGGAGAGGTCACTGTCCAGTCAGCGTCGTGGTAACTTTAACTTAATTTACCGGGGGACCTATGCAGCTTTGGCCTGTAAGATATAAATAATAATCTCCGTTCTTTCGTTTTGTTTCTTCTGTAACCAATCGCTGTGGGAGGCGCTTGGCCGAAGCGAGTATGGCGCAGCCTCTCACCAGATGCGGGCAGACTTTTGTCACAATTCATTCCCGGGTCTCATCATTAAGGGGGATTGAAGTCTAAACAGCATCATCAAGGGAATCGCAGGATATTGGTGCTACAGGTTTTCTGCTCTATCAGGCGCGACACGACAACAAGTTATTTTGATCCCTTTCTGTGCACCATTGCATCATCTCATGCACTAATACATAAATAGCAGTGCCATCCAAGCTTATCCTATTTGTCTCATTATCATGCGTCTAAGCTTCAAATAAAGGTGGTGGCATTCGCAAACCTACCTACACCGTTATAAAATGGAATGAAAGGGGAAAGCTTATTGTCCAAACCTGTTCTGCTCACATCGTGTCACCTCCGGCATTTAATATTCCATTTGTGCTCACTGTCCAATAATAATAATACCACAGGCCTGTCGCCCATAGTGCCGCGCGTTATTTTTATCTAGTGCTCGGGACCTCACTCGTGCTCATCACCATGCAAAGTTGGACACAAAGTTTGAAGTATTCATCAATTACTAATCCACTAGGCTATTGAAATTTTGCCCAGGGTTGAATTTGTCGCATCATCGACCAGTCCATTTTATTCCTCCTCCGTGGTATCATGTCAACATCGTCTGATTTATGCGGCGCTGGTCTTCTCTTTGGGGAGAGGAGTGAATCGTAGGTATGGCTTCACAATGCGGAAGTTGGGGAAAAGGGTCTTGGCCTCGTCATTCTTAACCGAGGGGTGCACAATCACATCGTCACCAGGGACCCAGTTGATGGGAGTGGTGATGCGGTTTTTGTCACCAGTCTGCAGAGAATCGAGAATGCGGAGAACCTCAGCAGTGTTGCGACCGGTAGAGGCAGGGTAGGAGAGGATGGTTCGGATGGTCTTCTTGGGGTCGATGAAGAAGACCGAGCGTATAGTGAAGGCAATTCCCTTGGAATCGACGTTGGTGGCATCTTGGTGGTCAATCCTGCGCCGGGCCTCGTCAGATCTCCGTTCATCGGCATTGATATTCTGCTACTTACATGTCGTAGGCGAGTGCAACCTGGCGCTCCTTGTCGCCGATGATAGGGAAGCTCAGGCTTGAACCAGAGATCTCGTCAATGTCTGCAATCCACTTGCCATGGCTGTCGATTGTGTTGGCTGAGAGGCCAATGAGCTTCGCACCGCGCTTGGTAAATTCTGGCTCGAGTTTGGCGAACGCGCCGAGCTCTGTAGTGCAGACAGGAGTGAAGTCCTCAGGGTGAGAGAACAAGATGACCCAGTTGTCGCCGATGAACTCGTGGAAATTGATCTTTCCCTTGGTCGTATCAGCATCAAAGTTGGGAGCAGTGCTTCCAAGGCGTAGAGGTGCAGTAGACATCCTGAAGAGCTAGAACGGCATTAGCACCAATGAATGTCATTACGCCATCGTCCTCTGCCGAGACGTTCACGAACGGGCTTGGCAACGTACTAGGGCTTGGAGTTTAGAGTGTTTCGTGTGATTGAAGCTTTCTTTTGTCTTGGATTTAAGAGAAAGAAAATGGCGAGGACGTGAGGCGGGGGAAGTCGCAGGTTTATAAGACGACACCGGCCACCAGAATGTGGTTATTAATGGGCGTCTTGCAAGCAGCACCTCAGTGATTTGTATGAACACACTCCTATTTCGGCTTGGTAGCTATTGCGTGATCGCTGTGCCCAGCAACAGTCGATCCATCTGGGTTGCAGGTAGCGGGCGGCATTACTCAATGCCTACGGTACCTTATGTTCGCTGCCCCGCCACGGCTTCGTGTGCCCCGCTGATGCCCCTCCATCATAGGTGCTATTCACAGGTAATTAGTCAGACTCAGGCTATCGATGCTTCGAATGTGGTGGAATCAGGAATTATTGGACCTGAAATTGTTTACATTCACTCTCCACATGCTGTGAACCACACTGGCCACCATATTCTAGCCCCAAGGTCTTGCTAGACTTGTCACAGTGGTTAATTCACCGCGGAGTCCAACACGTACTACTTGTAAATATAACAACAACAACAACAACAACAACAGCAGTTCTAACATACACGCATTCGAAATGTACAACTTCAAGTCTAAGCTGAAACGCCAAGATAACCTTTTCAATCACGATTTTCTAGGTACTTCCCTATCTATCAGATTATCCAGTCGATCGTTACAGCCATATCGTGTTTTGAGAATAATCGCTCCGCGGATGCTCGTTCATTATGCACTATGCCAGCCAGGCACATATATGTCCCTTGTTGCAGTGTAAATTTATTTTTTGGAAAGCAACGCAAATCGCCTGTGCTCGCCTCGGCATATTCATGTCGATCGACGGGCACGCAAATGCTCAAATTGCGTCAAATCGTCAAAAATTCGTCACAACGTAAGGTACAGATTCCGTGAAAGATGGAGGGGTCTCGAAGATGTAGTACATGGAGCATTCCAACATGAGGCTATCCATTGTCCTCAAAATCGGAGTCGAGATTAAGACTGAAGTCACACAACGCATCGAATTTCCGTTGGTCGAGAACTCTCATGTGTCAGTGTGTGCAGGAGCACGATTGAGCTTTGCACTCTCAGATGTGTAGACGATGCTTAAATGAGCACAATGGTGCCTTGTCACCTCGGCGAATCATTCACTGCACTCTTCTCGTCCGTTTCATGATGACTCCGGACGAGGTCGTCCTGGTGTCTCTTAAACTGGTCTTCGTCGGTCATGGTAGGCGTACTTTGCTGGCTCTCGCGCAAGTGTTGTGGGTAAGGGTGGAAGTCCTTTGAGCTGGTACTGAAAGTCGAGACTACAGGTGTATAGAATACACCATTGCTTGCGGAGTCGTCCCGGTGCTCTGCTTGTGTGGGTGTCTTTGCTTCCGGGCCTGCCGATATGGGACTCAGAAGCGTGTCCTGAGCGGTAACCTGGCCGTTCATGAGACCATTCCATCCACCTTCGATATCCCGGAGCAGCCGAACATATTCTTCAGGGACAAGACCGCTTTCCCCACTCTTCGGGTCCTGAGCTACCAGCCAGCCTTGTCCATGTCGGTAGGACACTAATATAACTTGACCTTCGATCAAAGGTAGCTCGTTATCATTCTCGCGTGCGAAGTCGAAAAGAGCCACAGCCTTGCCGGCCATTTCTTCGTCTGGGTCTGCAATCGTGAATTGATAGTCTCGAGAGTACCGGTTCTCGTCCCGAATATCAGCATTGGATGATGTGTCCGACATGTCCTCGTCATCTGAGCCGTATGCTCTCCTGGGAAGCGTTTTCGGAAAGTGAGAATCGCGCCGGACCGTCGCAGAATCTAGCGTCTGTTCCATGTCTTCTGCCAATTGTGTTGCGATTTCTCTAGGTCCATGTACCTGGTTGTCGAGTTCGTTGGCAAAGTATACGTCTTCGCCATCCCCATTGGTGCCCAAATGTGATCCTCGGCGGCCGCGATCATCGAGACCCCGTAGCGACCCTACGCGGTCGAAATCGACGAGATTCGATTTGTGCTTCTTATGTATCCTTGAACTCACCACTGGGCTTTGTATATCTTCGTCTTCACTCCATGGCGGCCCATCTTGGCCGTTGTCGAATGAGGTTTGCGGCAGCCGCTCACCAGTCTCCAAAGGAGGAATAGGCCATCCACCTCTTAACGATTCGTAAGACAGCTGTGGATCCGAGAGCCGACGGTTGAATTCACTTGCTGGTGTAGATATCTCAGATGGACCATCTGGTAAGGGGCCATAAAAGAGAGGATGGGTAGGTCCATACGCGAAATCCCTTACCAACGTGTATGGTAGACTTGAATGGAAGACTGGAAACACTGTCGACTGTGGTCTTGAGCCTCTTTGAGGATTCGAAGATGTCGAGTACGTAGACAACCGGTTCTTGGCGTAGGAGGATGCTCTCTGTAGACGTGCTGACGAATTCGTGGTGACGATAGGTGGTAGTGGTGGGATGCCTGAGTTGGAAGGGGTCGAGCGGGCCGATGGTGAGGATGTTGGGTTCGTGTTTGTGTTCGACATGACAGCGGCCATGCTTGAGGTGATGCGAAGGTTACTAAGACGTTACGGCAATGATCAATTTCAGCGTCTTCCTAGTACTGCGGACTGTGGAAGTATGATTGTACGCGCGCCTTATACCTTCACGGCTCCTTAGGCCAGTGTGGAGAGGTATAATATAAAGGCGAGAGTCGTCTTGTTGAGGTCGACGCTATTTGCCAGCAGACAGCGTATAGTGCAAAAGTGAAGTCTAAGAATCCCCAAAGGACCGTAAATGTCGAAAAGACTGAGCAACAAATGTTTATACGAAAGCGAAGTAATGAACCACCAATTAGTGCAGCGCAAGCGCGTACAGAGCCCCACGGAGCCTTACGAGTGGCTCGAAACTCGCAGAGACAGGGCTGTGACTTGTGTGTTTATGTTCGGTTTCTCGAATAGACGCCCAAGGAGGCAGCGTGGAGGGGATGATTCGAAGAAACGACGTCGGCGCTAAGTGAGAGGAGGATGTTTTAAGGACGAGGTTGAAGATAGGTAAGCGGGCGAGCGATGGCGGGGGAAAGGCTAGGCGATGGCAGTGGGCACTAAGTAGGCAGCGCAGTCGCGAATGACTGGAAATGGCGGGAGAAGAGGAGGTAGCCAATGTGCGTTTCGGCGAGGTTGTGTAGGTGGTATAGGTATAGGTGGTGGAGGTGGTGGAGGTAGGTTACAGATTACAAGCAGGTAGTGTCGTGGGTAGTGGTTCTTGTGGAATGTTTTCTGTACGGAGGGCTATTAATAGGTCAGCACCAGGCGGCCGGCTGGACCGTTACTCGAGACGAAGAACGAAGACAAGAGTGTGTGCGCGCGCGCAAAAGGGAACGATATGAGAATAAGAATGATAATAATAATGGAGAAGGGCGTACGATGAGAGGAGAGATACCAGTAACAAGTAAAAAGGACCCAAGTCAGTAGGTGGTAATGAGTAAGTAGTCGGCAAGGAAACGGGGCGGCGTCGCGAGACAGAGCAGGGCAGAGCAGGGCAGAGCAGGGCACAGCACAGGACAGACACAAGCGCAGACGCAGAACAGACAGAACAGACACACCACACACACACACACGCACACACACATATGCACACACACACGCACACGCACACACGCAGGACCTGGTGGTGTAAAATGTTCATCAGGCGAGCGAGTCGAAGTGTTCTGTTTCTTCCAAGGTTGTTTCAGAAAGACGCTAACATGTTCGATTCCCCACCCGCGCGAGTCCTTGGGATTCGCTGCCTAGACCCGCCACTGCTTCAATCAAATTGCTGCCCCGCGATCCCGGCCAACCATAACTCGCCGTCTCTGCCGTTTTCCACTCCAGTCCTGCACGTCAACACTACTACTGTACTATTATTTATTAAACATCACTGCCCTCGCCCGTTGCCAACGTGGAAAGACTTGCGGCATTGTCAGTCCAAGCTCTGGCGCAAGTGGAGCCTCTCTAGCTATGCACGTTGGCTCATTCTCGGTCGCATACTTTGCAGGGGAAGAGAGAGAGAGAGCAAGAAGAAAACCAGATGAATTACAGATCGCCCACTCTTCTTCGTCGGAACACTGTTAATTCTCACACCTCTGATAGATAGTGCGAAAAGAGAGGCTTCTGTGAGACTGTACGGCATCCATCTCCAGCAGGGCGGTGAGGGAGCTCTCCACCTTGCCACCGACCATTGGGGAGGTTTCACGTGAGGGGATACTGCAGTACCTGTGGGATTCCTATTAGGTAATCCCCGTTACTCAGATCTTATTCAGCGTTAGGCTGGTATATATAGCACTTAGATAGACTTAGTAGACACGTTAATCAATTTTACCACGTCTAATTTACCAAAGTTCCCACATCTAGTAGCTGAAATCTGGTTTTTATCCTCCTAGGGAGGCTATCGCTTTAGCGATACCTCCTAAGGGGTAGTTATCTTACCCCTTATATAAGGGAACTCGTTAAAAACATTTAATGCTCACGATAAACTATATAACTTACTAGATAATAATAAGAACGAACCTAGAGTCTAACACGAAAACCCTTCTCTAAAGCGATACATCCTAATTTTAGAGATGGAAATTACGGTAATAAAGCTTAACGACTAAATTCGATAGTCCTAGCGGATAGTAATATATTATAAAATAAGCTAAAAGAGTCACGTAAGAAAAATATATATTAACTCCCCCTATGTCCGCGATAGATATCCTAGCTACTCGTTAATATAAATTAACGCCGTAATTCTAACTCGGAAGATAATTATTACCCTAGGAAACGCCTTCCTTACCTAAGCTATATTAAGATGTCTTCCTTATAGAACCCTAATTATAATAGCGATGTCTCTATAGGAGGAGCTAATACTCTCTAAAATATAGGACGCGCCCGTAATGAGCCGTTAAACACTATTAACGCGCTTACCGCGCTCCTTAATACCAACCCGGCTATAAGGGACCTTACTAGAGACGCTCGTACGTTAGTACTAATTAATATATATACTAATCGACTCGAGTCATAAATAAGGAACGACTATGTTACTCGAGAAGAACTAGTAAGAGACTTTAATAACCTCCTCCTTAATAACCCTAACTAGGCGAGCCTAGCTATACTAGTAAGAAGAGGCCGTATCCTACTCCGAGCACCCGATATATACTTAGAAGAAACTAGAGATAACGCCTACGAAGAATAGTGCTTATTAATCTAGGAATAGATTTATACTATAGAATTAGTAGAGCGCTAGGAAGCTATACCTAAGTTCGAGAAACTATAAATCTACGGGATATATATATTAAAGTATATCCGCACCCTTTAGCGTAGCCTTATAGAAGCCCGTGGACGTAATAACCTAGGTAGTCCTTAAATACTAGACGGCTTCCTAGACGTTATACGTTAAATATATATCTCTACTAATCGCCCCGAATAGCGTAGAAAGGAATAGGAGAACCTTACTTAATATCGTTTTAGATCTACCTCGAAGCTTATTAACGCTATCGTTAAAAAGGCACGACTCCTACGACCTATACCTTCTAAATATAAGATATAGCGTAGAATTCTAGGCGCCCTTAAGTCTAAGGTTTAACGTAAGATCGAAAAGTAGCCCTTTCCTCCTATAGGATTAGGAGAGTAGTACCTATAGATGAAGAGGCTAGAGGAAGCCTTATATACCTACTCTAGAAACGAATACTATAGGCGGGAGGCTACTTATTATATTAATACTATATATTACTAAGACGAAGAGGAGGAACCGGAAGAATTCGAACCTTCTAAGGACTTATACATATGCGAAGATAAATTAGGCGACTACTCTAGAGACAAGGGTAAGCTCCACGCGTTCGTGAAGCGTTAATAGAGTAACCGAGGCCGCGGTAGAGGCTAGAACCGAGGCCGAGGCTATAGTAAATACTAAGGGGGCTCGTTAAGAGCTCTTAACGAAACCCAAGAATACTTTAACTATAAGAAGTTAGGATATATCTCGAGATTCTACCCCGAAAATCCGACTCTAGGTAAGCTAGCCTACGTTACTACCGAGGACGACGCGTTAAGCGTCTTTAACGAAGAGGCCCTAAAAGCTAGTCGCCCGTAGTAGATATAGAAGACACCACGAGCGACTATAAGAGCTTCTATACTAATAATACTAATGAAAATAAGATAAATATATAGGACTACGAACATATTAACGCGCTTTATAAATCGCTAGAGAGTGCCTACTATTATTAAGAGGAGTTAACGGACGTTATTAACGATCGCCTCTATTAACTAAACTCCATTAGTAGATAGTTACTAGAACTTAAGGCTTACGTAGGGGAAGTCCACCCCTAGAGGGTTTTAGTCCTTATTGACTATGGGGCTAATAGAACATATACGTTAACGAAGGTTACTAGGCGTCTAAAGCTAGTGCCGTAACCTGCCCCCGTAATACGTGTTAAGCTTCCGTTAGGAGCCCTAATAATAAGTCGAGAAGTTATAAAAATCCCTCTTTATATAGAAAGCTTTACTTACGAAGTCTCCGCGAGAGTACTCGACCTTAAGGGCTACGATCTAATTCTAGGTTATAAATGGCTTTACGAATAGGATCCCGATATATCGTAGAGATCCTATTCCCTAGTAATTAGGAGGCTAGTAGCTCGAGGAAGGACTAAGGAGTATCTCCTTAAGGGGATTCCCGCGTTAATCGATATTAACTTATAAGGAGAATAAGTACTAAACGTCCTTACCGCTAGCTAAGCACGGAAATAATATCTAAATGGCTATAAGTAAGGTGTAATATGGTTTATTAGGAAAGACAACCCTCCTATACTATAGGCACCCGACCTAATACTATAAACGGTTTTAACGGAGTACTAGGACGTCTTTAAAGAGAAGCTACCTAAAGGACTACTACCTTCGAGATAATAGGACTATAAGATAGATATAGGAGACGGCCGACCCGTTAATAACGCCGCCTACCGTCTCTCCCTAGAATAAATCGCTAAATAGTAGAAGTAGATATAGGAGCTTATCGAGCGAGGGCTTATCTAAGAATTAGAAAGTGCCTAGGGTAGCCTAGTACTTTTCGTACCCAAACCCGGAGGCAAATAGCGAATATATATTAATTATTAAGTACTTAATACACTTACGTGTAAGGATACGACCCCTCTTCCGCGTATAGACGAATGCCTACGTGCCTTCGGCTAGTTAATAGTATTTAGTAAGATGGACTTAACCTTAGGGTTTTAGTAAGTACGAGTAGCCGACGAAGACGTCCCTAAGACCGCCTTTAATACGATTCACGGTAAATACGAGTTTAAGGTAATACCGTTCGGTCTATTAAACGCACCTACCATATTCTAAAAGATAATAAATCGAGTCCTTTAACCCCTACTATATAAATCCGTGGTTATATACCTTAACGATATTATTATCTTTTCCGAAGATATAGAAGAACACGCTAGAGTACTATTAAAAGTACTTACTCTACTCCGTAAATACCGCTTACTTACTAATCCGGAGAAATATAGTTTTAGCTAGACCGAAGTTAACTTCTATAGATACCACGTCTTATAAGGATAACTTCGCCCGATAAAGGATAAGATTAAGGTAATTCGCGAATGGCTAGAGCCCACGAACGTTAGCGAAGTCCGATAGTTCCTCGGCCTAGCGAATTATTATTAGAGGTATATCCGGGGATTCGCGAGTATCGCCGTACCCCTAATAGACCTCCTTAAGGAAGTAGACCCTCTTATCTATAAATAGAAATATAGGTCTATTCGATAGACGCTATTAACGGCGTTTACCTTTAAGACTCTAAAGAATGCCCTATGTTCCGAACCGGTTCTAGCTTAACCTAATAAGACTAAGCCCTTCTATATTAAAACGGATATAAGTAACTATGCGATCGGTATAGTAATCTACTAGGAGGATCCTAGTAAGTAGTATTAGCCAATCGCGTTTAACGGACGAAAGCTTAATAGCGCCGAGCTTAACTATCCGGTTCATGAAAAAGAACTCCTTACTATTAAACACGCCCTACGCACTTAGGGATACCTACTAGAAACAAAGAAGACGACGATCCTAACCGATTACCATAGCCTATAGTTCCTTAAGTCTATAAAGGAATAAGGAGACCGTGTAGATAGATAGATCGATGAGTTCGGAAGCTTCGATCTCGATATAAAATATCACCTAGAATCTAAGGCGGTAGTACCTAACGCCATTAGTAGAAGGCTAGACTTCTAAGGCGAGATCTCCGCGATACTATTAAGTAAAGTTAACGAACACGTTCTTATAGCCTAAATCATCGAGTTCCTAAAAGGAGCCGACCCGATAGAGTATATACTAAAAGTCTCTCCTAAAATCCTATCTCGACTACGCCTTGACGCCGAGAGTAAACTTTAATATAAGCTATGGGATTTTAATAATAGTTAAGAAGATTTAGCGGAAAATTCAGCACCTTATATCCCGGAATAATACCGTAAGTCGCTAGTAGAAACTATATATTAATAATTCGGTTACTTTATATGGCCCGGACTACTAGGAGCCCTAGAAAAATAAGGCTAGTAGTTTAAAATGAAGAAAGACGTAGAGGTAGTCGCTTATAATTACCGTTAATGCTAATTAGCGTAACGAGTACTACCAAATCCATAACACGAGAGATAGTTTTATAGGGTTACACGCCGAGCACCCTTTAAAGAATAGGGTATCAACTTTATAGGCGTACTCCCCACTACGTATAACGGTAATAGTTAGGTGATAATAGTAATTAACTACGTAACGGGATGGTCTATTATATAGGCAGTCCCTGAGGCGACCGTAGAGTCCGTCGCGAGGTTCATTTACGAATAAATCTTTATAGATTTTAGACCCCCCGCCGCACTAACCTTAGATAACGGTTAATAGTTCCTATTAAGAGTGGTTGGCGTACTACTACGCATCCTTAAGACGGAATATAAACTTACCACGCCTTATTACCCTCGTATAAACGGAAAGGTCGAACGCCTTAATAGAACCTTAGGAGGCATCCTTACCTATATATATATAGGCGAACTAGTAACCAACTAGGACATATACTTACCAGCCGCTGTTTTCGCCATAAGGATCCGACGACATAGGAGTATAGGAGTTAGTCTATATTATCTAGTATATAGATAGTACCCTAACTTACTAGGGAACATTCCTAGAGAAAAGGATAAGTTAATATCCTTTAATAAACTTATTAAGCGAGTTAAGAAAGTGTAACACGCTAGGACGCTAGCGCTAAATAAACTACTTATGGAAGCCGCTCGCCGAGACCTTATAGATCCGACTCGGCTTAAACCTAAAGACTAGGCGCGACTACCTATCGGTCAAATCGTTTTACTAAAGAATGAATAGAAAACGAAGTTTAAAACGAACTACTTAGATCCCTATAAGGTTTATATATAACACCCCTTAGGTATATACGCGCTAGAAACACCTAACGGACGTATCCTACGATACCTTATATATAGTAATAGACTAATTACGGTAAGAGGTATTAATAAGCTAGATAACTTCTAGACGAGATAGGAGATTAACTTATAAATATCTAAGGAAATTAGGAATTAAGTAGTACCTTACTTACTAGACATCGAGAAGGTTTTAGAGAAAGAGAAACCTACCCTATATTAGACGACTCTATCCTCCCTTCCTAAGAAGGAGTAGAACCGGCTATAGTAGCTACGGAGTTAATAAGAGTTAACGTACGAGGGCGTACGTTCGTTCGTAGTAGGGGAGAGCTCGATAGACATAGATATTACACGTTAAATTAGGCTTACTAATATAAGAAATCGATATAAACGGAGAGCTACCGTAACTACGTTAATCGTACTAGTGCTAAACGTTATTAACGAACTAAGAAATATACTAGAAGAATAACACGAGAATAGCGGAGCGATATAACCGCCGATAATAAACATTAAAGAGAGCTATGATGCTCCAAGGGTAGAGGAAGCCTAAACGATAACTAAGAAACCGATAGATAACCCGTTAAATAAGATTAATACGATAGAGGAAGCCACGATAGAAGTAAGACAGAAAGAATTACCTAAAGAAATAAGCTTAGGAGACGAGTTTAATGATACACGAATGGACTTAGATAAGGATATCCAACTAGAATATAAGAATCCTATAAGTATAGATATAGACTCGGATATAGAAGAAGTGTTAAAGGAGGTTAACGAAGTAAATAAACAACCCCTAACCGACTCGGACGTCCCTATACGGGATCTTATAGAAAGCGAACCTTACACGCGAAAGAGAAAGTAATCCTATATAGATGAACGTAGTAGAGAAACCTAAGCGGCTATAGCTAGCGCGTTAAGATAAGTTAATAGATTAGAGGGAGAGAGGTACTCTCTACGGAAAAAGATATTACCTTTAAAGCTATTATAGGAAAGCTTAGAATATAACTAACTTTAGTCTTTCCCTAATTATCTCCTTTATATATAGTACTACTAACCCCCCATTTACTTATTTAGAATATATACGGCCGTTAAAGAAGATTAACGAGCCTTAGAAATTACTAGGAGGTTAAAGAAAGAAGACGTGGACTTATAATGACATTATATAAGTCTAAAATCGCTATTTAAGAACCGCAAGACTAAATAGAGATAAAAGAAAGCCGTTAACGCCTTTTGACGCTTAATAAGATGGGGTATTATTATAAAATAGAAGCCGCCTACTTAGTCCTAGACCTTACGAGTAGAATTTAGTGGATTCTTCATAAATTATACTAATACCTTCTCGCCCTCCTCGGGCATGCCATTATTAATTAAGAACTTATATAGTAGCCCTTAAGGCGTGCGGCTAACCTCGCTAAACGCGTTTATTAGACGACTAAACCAATCTTTAACGGCTTCGTTAAGCGGAAGTCCTTCATCTTTAAGGTCCTATATAGGATAAATAGAGATGATACTCGGGTTAGGAGGTATAGTATTATTAAAGCTAGGAACGAGGACCTCCGGACCGCCGTAATACATCTATTCTATTATAGCTATAACCTTTTAATTAGCTAGAGATTACACGAGATATAGATCTAACTTACGAGCGAAGGACTAGCCTTAGAGTTTAACCTAGTCTCCTTAAGATCTAATAACTTCTTTTAACGAAGTTTAGTAGCCGAATACTTTCTAGTGGCCTTAGTTATCTCTATAAATAAAGACTACTCGGTATGTTAGCGCTTTTTAATAATATTACGCTCGCCACGGTATACTATAGGAACGCGTTAAACCTATTAAAAGCCTTTAACGATATAAAGGAATAACTTATAACGCGATATACTATAGAATTTCCCATTCCCTTAGTGGAAATAGTTTAAATAGGTACCTTTAAATAGTAGGAACCCGTTAGGAAAAAGCTACATATACTCCCTAAAGATGCCTTTACTAGTAGAATAAGAACTATAGGCGCTCTCGCTAAAGTGCTAGTATATACCGCGAGCTATTATACCTAGGATAGCCGGAATAGTATAGGGATATAACCTATCTAGGCGTTTCGAAGGATCCCGAAAGATTCCTCCTCCTACCACGATATTCTAAGAATAATAGTAGTTACTAAACTTATCCGTTATATAGAACGGAAGTAGATTCTTCGGAATTAAGGCGTGCTAACCGCTGGCGTACGCCTTAATAAGGCCATCGATAAATTCCTTATAGAGCGCTCCGTTAATAGGAGGGTCCGAGAATAGCCACCCTAGGATAAGTTAGCTAACCGTTAAAGATAATTAACGAGATAAGGACTTACTCTAGTAAGCTAACCACTATATAAACTTAATAGACTTCCCCGAAAAGAAGTAGTAATTAGATTAAATTCAGAGGCCTATGCGACCTACTACTTCGATCTCGGCATCGCCATAGCTATTAAGTTTATTTACCATAGGTTACGCTATCGTACTAACCTTACGAGAAGCTATAGACCCCTTTCACTTCACGGGAGTCTTCTTAACGACCTTATTAGGACTTTTAAGGTCTATAATAGCCAGCTTAGAAGTTATAGAGCGAGTTTTAGGGCTGTTAAACACCTTTAATAGAGTCCTTACGGCACTACGGGTCTTTACTAGAGTCCTAGGTATTCTAGGACGAGAGCCTAGATAAGAATTAGGAACTAGAATCTTAATATAAGACTTAGCGACTTACCTTTCTTAGTTACCTTAGGAGTAACTATATCGCCGAGCTCGTTAACTTCGATTAACGTATTACTATTAAGGTCTAATAACCTAGAGCTTTCCCTATCTTTATTTTTAGGATAGAAAATATTATTAGAGTCTTCCGATAGGTTCGCGAACCGACTAGCTTTTATAGGGGCTTCGAAGGGCTCGTTAATAGCTATTACTAATCCTTAAGAGGCCGGAGCCTTAACTTTAGCCTTAGAGACCTTAGGTTTAAGGCTCTAACCGCCTTCTTCGATTAACTAAGCTAAAGCTTTATCTTCTAGGTCTAGTTCTTAAAAGAATAGCGAACCCTAAGGCCCGTTTAGATATAGATAGCCGTAGGCTATCTTTAAGTAACTCTTACGAACTATATAGTTAACCTATACTTAAGGAATAAGGTAACTTAACCTACTATCTAGAGCACCTTCATTCGCCGCTAACACTTTATTAAGCGATAACTAGTTAGGATTTCCGTATAGAGGACCTAAGAAAGCACGACGAAGATCCTTATTTATAACTATATCCGCTATAGGAAGTTTAAGTTAGAAGGGAAAAAGATAAAGTTAAAGTTTATATATATGAAATTATAGTATTAATCGGAGTAATTTCTAAGTTCACAGGAGTTTCAGCTATGTTATTAGATATTATTAAAAGGATTTAGCGCTGGAAAAAACTAAGGAAAAGGTCGAATTAGTTAAGAAATATAAGGTTAAAGGACGGTAGAATATAGGAATAGTAAAGGTAACTATTTAGCACTAAAATAAGCTCGGACTACTACCCTTACGCGACGTGTCGCTAATACGGCCTAGCGCTAAAGAGATTTCATACGCCTACCTCCCTATATTATATATTCTAACTCCGTTAATCGTCTTTAACGGCCTCGTAGAAGCTTATATAATTAGGAGGGGGAAGATGTGGGATTCCTATTAGGTAATCCCCGTTACTTAGATCTTATTTAGCGTTAGGCTAGTATATATAGCACTTAGATAGACTTAGTAGACACGTCAATCAATTTTGCCACGTCTAATTTACCAAAGTTCCCACATACCCAACCATGCTGCCAGGTCCACCTAACTGAAGCGCGCAACTCCTACAGAACACAGACACACGAAAGGTCTTTCGTTGCATCTCTTCACTTTCCCTTCCAAGAGTTCCTTCATGTAGTCGTTTTGGTTGCAACCATTCAGCCAAAGATTGACCCATCTTTGCAGCCTGACGTCATATGGTGACTTAGGAAGATACCGTGCCGTCTTGCACAATTTCTCGCTTCAAATTTCATCATATTTTCTGTCTGTCCTTTCAGTAACGATCGGCTCACCACCTCACGTGCTTCGAATTCCATAGTCAATCCTTGTGGAACAGTATTCTCGAGTTAGAAGCCAAGCATCATGCCGACCTTGGCAGTGGTTAACTTCAATATCGTCTGTGCGACGTTAGGTGGCTTCATCACTGCCTTCGGACTTGTTTCCTATCTGCTCAAAGAGAAATACTACCTATCCGAAGCTCGTACGTACTAGCTTCCGTGCCCAAGCCCTTGCTGATCCGTGAAGTCATATCTACGCTTGCGGGCGTAGTCTTTGGACCACATGCGGCAAACTTCCTCAGGCCGCTTGATTATGCCTTGGGTGACGAAGAGGCATTGGGTACAATCACCTTGTATTTCACAAGGCTAGTCCTCGGTGTGCAGCTCGTGCTTGCTGGCGTTCAGCTTCCAAGCAGATATCTAATACTTGAATGGAGAAGTCTTGGTTTACTTATCGGTCCTGGTATGACCGGGATGTGGGTCATGACAAGCCTTCTCGTATGGGCAATGGTCCCTCATCTAAGCTTCTTACATGCTCTCGCTGTTGCTGCATGTGTCACTCCGACTGACCCTGTATTATCAAACTCCATTGTCAAAGGTAAGTTCGCGGACAAGAACATACCAAAAGAGCTGCAGAAGATCATAACGGCCGAGTCGGGTGCAAATGATGGACTCGGCTATCCTTTTCTCTTCCTTCCCCTCTATCTTATCAAGTACATTGGGGAGGGTGGTGCAGGTCAAAGTGGAGGAGCCGGTAAGGCTATAGGCTACTGGTTTGGTGAAACCTGGGCCTACACCATCATTCTTAGTATCGTCTATGGCGGCGTGGTCGGGTGGATCGCGAAAGAGCTCTTGCACTGGGCCGAAGAGAGGAAATTTGTGGATAAAGAAAGCTTCCTGGTGTTCGCTATCACCCTAGCTGTAAGTTCTGCCTATCAGTGCAATCTTCTCTTCTAACCTATGGTAGCTGTTCATAGTTGGTACTGTGGGTATGATAGGCAGTGACGACGTACTTGCCTGCTTTATTGCTGGAAATACGTTCACATGGGAGTAGGAAATGATCATGATCTGACTATGAGTCTCAGACTGACAATCGATAGTGACTGGTTCCGCCTCGAGACATTGGACGATTCATTCCAACCGACCATTGACATGCTTCTAAATGTCACAGTCTTTGTGTGGTTTGGCGCCATCTGCCCTTGGCATGAGTTTGCCCACAACAATGTGATCCCTATATACAGGCTCATCTTTCTGGGCATCCTGATTATGCTGCTCCGCCGACTACCAGTCATATTCGCCCTGCACAAGAAGATACATCAGATTGAAGACTTCCGCCACGCCTTGTTCGTTGGATTCTTCGGACCCATCGGCGTCTCCGCCATCTTCTATCTTTATGTCAGCTTGGAATTTCTAAGAGGTATTACGGTTGATGGTGAGCAGCGTGCAGATGCCCGGAAGCTTGCTGAAGTAATGTATGTTGTAATTTGGTTTGCAACAATCTGCAGCATCGTAGGTCTACAATCATCGAATATTCGCTTGACTGCTGACAACAACCAGGTCGTCCATGGTTTAAGTATACCTGTGGGGAAACTAGGCTTTTGGATCCCACGCACGTTGTCCAATGCTGTGACCTCTGCAAGTGGTAGCGATACACCATTTCGCACCCGTGGTACCGCTCTTGAGAATACTGATCTGAGTGCGCGCGCACGTCGCTCCGGTAACACAACGCCAACAGGTGATAGCAGTCTTCCTCGATCTCTATATCGCATTGGGGGATCCATCATCCGTAGCAAACCAGGACAACATGGCCCCCCGAGGGATGCCTTAGCTTCACAGGATCGAATCACTGTTCCTCCCACTACAATCGACGGCGGTATTGCTCCGAGAGCTATTCGCTTCCCAGATGATGTCGGAGATTCGCAATTGCCAGAGATCGCGCGCGCACGAAGCTCTACCAGGAGCAGCTGAATGCTTATGGGACCAGGGACTGTTCAGGTGATATTTCGTTCATGATGGTATCGACATTAACATGCAGCACTCATCGTAACTTCTGTGTATGGATCCATAATGTTTGCTTTGCGTCCAACCATAGGTTGCATGCTTACACTATGCACGTAAAACATTTTCTGTGTTACGAGGATCGGCTTACAGGATGAATGTAAGCAATTGAAATGGATACCAGTTTGTACAAGGCTATCATGTTGATTATGAGGTAGGGCGAAGGCAGATTTGTGAATCCTTAGGACGGTTTGGCGTGCTTACTCAACAGGACTGACCAATTGGGTAGACAAATAAGCGACCCCAAAATGCGGACCGCTCCCTTTGGTCGCACGATGAAGGTTGGCTTTCCCAGCACGGGCCACTGGCCTGGTTCACAACGACGCGTGCATGGAGCTGAACTTTTAGTCTACAGGAACAGGCCAACGATGAGAAGGAAGATCATGTACAACTGTTGTTGGACCCTGCGTGGTGCCCTGTTGGTGCACATCTCCTCGTTATTTCAAGGCTGCCGTTCCCGTTGAATATCTCCCTATTTGTCACCCGAATTCGCGACCTCGAGCAACAAGTAGATATGGCAACCCCGAGCGATAGTGTCGACGCGCTCAGCACCTCGAAACCTTCCATCTCAATTTCGCACGCGCCGACGCCGCGCCGACACCATCATCACACTGGGCGTCGCTTACGGCATTTCCTCCGTCCTGATGGCCGCAAAGTTCACATTGCAGCAAGCCCGGAGGAGGTTGATTCACTTCGCAAGACGCTATCGATGACGGAGAAGGAGTTTGATCTCGTAATTCATGGGAGTAACGAGCATGTCGAAGCATTGCGGGAAGCGCATACACACCAGGAGCTAACGAAGGAAGAGCTGCGTCGCCAGCACGGTGACACCTTGGATGAGTTCGAAAGAGTCATCAGAGAGCTGGACGCACTGAATTCAGAGCTGCATACTATTAGTGAGCACGCTGTGCAGTTGGACGCCAATTTCTCCAAATATGGGTATTCTGCCCATCTCAGTAAGTCAAAGCCTATTCTTAGCATGTCTTGTTGACTTGATCATTGCCTGTTCGCATCTCAGGTCACGTGGCTTGAGTGGACTCCTAACTGATGTAGCTATTCAAGCCTGCTCTACAATCCGTGTCTCGTGAGGCTCATATCTGAACTTCAACTGACTGAATATAGGGACACGCGACAGCCCTAGCCAGTCCTCGGCCAACTCCCTTTTCGATGGCTCAACAGATAACGAGAGTCAGGACTGGGATGCCACGCGCTCTCAAGGCCAGACTCTTCGATTCTGGCGAAAGCCTATCATTCGCCAATATTTTCACAAGGGCCTCCTGTGGCGTGCACAAGAGATGCAAGAAGTCGCCAGTTATGAGTTGTTCGTGGATCTCTTGTACGTCGGTATCCTGGATATAGCTGGTGAGGCAGCCGCCGAGTATGCGACCGGGCAAACACTCCACCAATTCGCCATCGTCTTCATTCTCGGCTGGCGAATCTGGACAGACATTGGACAGCTGATCTCGTGGTTTGATGCTGATGACATGTTTCGTCGTTTCACGGTTCTTTTCATTCTGACCTGCCTGCTCGGCTTTACGACGAATATGAATGCAAGTCTGGAACACACTTACACACCCCTGGTCGCATTCTACCTCGCAGAACGTCTCTTCGTTGCCTCGTATTACGCTTGGAATGCATATCTGATTCCGATGGTCCGTGTCGCTATGTACGGTTTCGCGGTCGTCACAGCTCTTCCAGCAGCTCTCTGGATTGGTAGCATTCATGTCCACGTCCCAGAACGGTATGCGCTCATCTGGATTGCAATCGTGCTTGACCTCTGTAGCCAATTCTGGATCGTTGCGATGTACCGTTGGGGAGGGTTTTCAGCAAGGATGAAAGCCTGGTTTAGCGAAAAGATTGAGTTCACGCCTGGTCTCAACATTGAGCATAGGATCGAGCGCACAAACGCGTTCGTCACACTTGTTTTTGGCTACTCGGTGCTCGCACTGCTCTACCAGAACTCCGCAGAATTCGGCATCAACGGTTTCTTCGGCAAAGCGGTGCTCGGCCTTGTTCAGGCCTTTAGCTTCAACTGGCTGTACTTTGAGCTGGACAGCTTCAATCTGCACACGCACGCCATTCGCAGACACTACGTCAGTGCGATACTCTGGCAAGCACTGCATTTGCCCTTCATCCTCGGGTACGTCATTTCCAGCTCGTCGCTCGCGAAGCTAGTACTTGCGCACGACTTTGCAGACGCAGACTACGACAGCCTCGAGGGACATTACCACGAGCGCTCCGAGGAGCACATTTTGACAGGCCAGCGCTGGTTCTACTGTGGCGGGCTAGCGCTTGCACTCGTGAGCATGGGCGGCATCTCTTTAACGCACGTCTACAAGACACTGCCGGACCAGCGGCTCGTCAAGTACAAGCGTGTCTTTCTCCGGTGTCTCGTCGCGATCGCCATCCTGTTGCTTCCGCTGGCGGAGAGTCTGAACAGTCTGGAGCTGATTGCGATTACGGCAAGTCTGGTCGTGTTTGTGCTTGCGATTGAGCTGGTGGGTAACTCGTGCGCGAGTCAAAGCTTCTTCTGTCGCGACCGAAGGGAGTGCACATACCGGGCCAAGTGTGGGATGAGTCGCAAGGAGATGGCGGATCGTGTACGGAAGGGAGAGGTCGTGGATGTTGAGGAGGTTGCTAGAAGGGATGGAGGCACGAGAGAGACTGTCGGACCGGGGTTCTGATGTTGAACATTGTTGCATGCAAATGGGCACTATTACGGAGGTAGGAGAAATTGGCAAGTTGTTTTGCCGATGCATGGAGATGCATCGGGGATTGTCTTAGAGGAGGCTGTGACGGTGCGAGCATGCATAAGGTAGCAACAAACACACACAGCATTTCGCAGCCCGGAAGCAGAGGAGGCGATCATGATGACAGAGGGCATGATAGTATCGTGATAGGTATGATGAGAGACGACCAAACCACGCCGTCGTGCCAGCTCAGCGCCACCACCTCTGCGTCAAATAACGCATCATTATTTTTATGAAATCGGAAGTTCAACGGAATTTCTTGATAAAAATACATCCGATAGCTTTTCTCGGGCAGCGGCCGGACGAGCCCTATCCAGGCAGGCGAGTTTCTAGCGCGGCTTGCGGCTGCTAAGACAGCTAATAGTCGCGCCCGCATTAGGTAGACGGGTGCTGCAGATTGCAGCCGCATCGACAAAAAGACCGACAGGCAGGAGAATTGGCAATGCGGTCTTCAGGGCTAATAGTGATCAGCTCCGCGAGGCGGAATGACTGTACTGTGTAGTAATAGTTCTAGAATCTGGATGTGTTTTTAATAGCGATCGATTCAGGTCAGGGTAGGTAGCACACGTGACACACTGGCACTGACATTACTGACAGATGACAGATGACACGGCAGACATGCACAACTGTCGTGCAAGGGACGGACCCTGGTCTTGTGTGAGAAAGACGTTTCGACATGTGAGTGACGGTGCGTACTTGACAATACGTATACGTGTATATATATATATATATATACAACTTGTAACTCTTTCAATGGTCTGCCTTTTCTACACATTTAGTGTTCGATAGTCAATTAGTGCCTGTTCCTGTGTCATGCAGCCGGGAAGAGAGGCAGCCGTAAATAGCGAGGATTAGCTTTGCTTGGCTTATTGATTTGATTGTGGACGATCGATCGGGCCTGGTGGCCTGTCATTAGCCAGTAATAGCATGTAATAGTCAGTAATCAGCCACTAAAAGCCACTAAACGTCCAGTCACGGACCCCGTCTGGCTGTCGCAAGTGGGCGATGTGACCTTGTGGTGGTTCCGTTTACGGTATAGCGCGCAAATCGACCATCCCCTTCAAGGCTTTAGGGCTCCCAGGGCTCCAACTTTGCCTCGTTTTGCCTCCTTGCTGCCGTTCATCCATCTCGCTCTCCTCGTCTTCTTCTTCTTCTTCTCTTTCCCCAGGTCCACTCTTCAAGCTTCAACCTTGTGCCTGTTCTCCTTGTCGATTGTCGCCAGTTGTGCTTCAATCTGTCTCTCGCTACTTGACCACTGTCGTTGACCACTCTCGTTATTCCTACTACCCCTTCTGATACCCCTGGACCCTCTCTCTCGCTCGACAGTCCAGATCGACCTGACTATTCATTCAATACACCGTGTTTCGACACTGCACGTAGCCTCCTAGTCTCGTTGTCGAGCCATACACTCATCGACAGTCGACTGCGCCATCTTCTACATCCCCGATTGTCCTCCATAATACCTCTTCACAGCCATGGTACGCTTCATCGTAGCCACGGCTCTCGCAGCCTTGTCGTCTGTCGCCCTCACTCAATCCATTCCATCTTGTGGCCCAAACCAACCGTGTCCGGCTGAGACACCTTGCTGTTCCGGTATGTAGTGTTTTGGACATGGCCATCAGGACACCTTGAGAAACTGACTGTGTAAAGCTTACGGACAATGTGGTGTGGGCGCGTACTGCTTGGGAGGATGCGATTCAAAACACTCCCACAAGCTCGATTCTTGCGTCCCTGCCCCTACCTGCCAGAACAAGAACTACAAGTTCGACACCCTCGATAGCGTTATGGCCATCGATGAATACCTCGGTGACAGCACAAAGGCGGACTGGGTCGCTAGCGGCAAGCCTGCCATCTACAACAAAGGACTTCTCATGACCATGGCCCAAGACACCGTCGGTACCCTACTCGCGACCACCCATTACGTCTGGTACGGCAAGATCTCTGCAAAGATGACGACTTCCCAGGGACGCGGTGTCGTAACTGCTTTCATCATGATGTCGGACGTCAAGGATGAAATTGATTTTGAGTTTATCGGTGTCGATCTTGGCAAGGCTCAATCCAACTACTACCACCAGGGTGTGACCGTTTATACCAACTCTGCAAACTTGACTGTCTCCAACGGAAACACCGTTGAGCAGGAGCACGAGTACACTATCGACTGGACTCCAGACCAAATCACCTGGTCCATCGACGGAGCTGAGATGCGCACAGTCAAGAAGGCCGATACGTGGAATGCTACTGCCAACAGCTTTTACTACCCGCAAACACCGGCCCGTGTCATGTTGTCGCTCTGGCCTGCTGGTCTCCCTACCAATGAGGAAGGTACCATTAACTGGGCTGGTGGTGTTATCGACTGGAACTCCAACGCCATGCAGAACGGATACTACTACGCTCGCGTCTCCGAGGTCAATGTGGAATGCTACGACCCCCCGTCCGGTGCCAACGTCCAGGGCGACAAGTCTTACACTTACACCGACGTTGCTGCAACCAACGACACCGTCAAGATCGGCAATGACCTCGTGACCCTTGCCTCCTTCTACGCTACCGGCGAGAACCCCAAGGAGGATCCTCACGCGTCTGCATCTGGCTCCGCTGCATCACCATCTATGACCTCGGCGCCCGAGACCGTCCCGGGTATGTCTGGTGGTGGCAACCGCGGCGACGAGTCTGGTGCTGGAGGTGCTGACGCCGGCGCTGACCCTCAAGCATCCGGTGCTGCTGGTGGCGATGGCTCTGCTCCAGCCAGCGGCGGAGGCAACGGCGGCTTCACCCAGGGTGGCAACACGGGCGTGAACACAGCTGCCAAGGTAGGCGGCAGCACACTCGCTGTGCTGGTCGCCTTTATGGCCCTGCTGTTCCTGTAGTTATCTTTTTTTGTTCGCGCGGATATATACTTGACCATTGCTTCCCTTTTACATCATGAGCGGTTTCACACCGGGAGATTTATCACTTTTTTTTCTCGCTTTTATGGATGGCTCCATTTTCATCATCTGGCCCGGACCTCATCGAAGGAGTTATTATTTTTTGCTTTGCCGGCGGAGCAAGTGGTATATGCTTGTATTCAAATGAGTAATGTCTGTCCGTAGCCTTTTGGGAAGGGGAAGAAAGGGGGGGGGGACGAGATCTAGGAATAGCATAAACATTATTATCAAGGCTTGCTAGAGCTGTAGTATTTAACAAATATGCATTTGAGATTCTGGGCAAAGAGAGTGAACTTGCCCTACCTGCTAAGAAGTCGAGTAGAAAAGTAGAGTAGGAGGAAGTAGTGACATTTCTTTGTGTATTGCTGCTATCTACGCATACATAACATACCATGGTACCAAAGAAAATTGAGAACTTGTTATCTCTCGAGAGAGAAAATAAAACATGTCAGTCTGGTTTCTGGCTATGGTAGTGCTGGTGGTGCTGGTGGTGCTGGTGGTGCTGGTGGTGCTGGTGGTGCTGGTGGTCTACTAATTAGTAATTACAGGACAGGTCGATAGGTACTGGGTATTGGGTACTGGATCACTCGTGTGGTGTATATGTATATATACAGTAGGTACTAGGACATTAATTAGGCTAGGGGACAGTTCAGGCACTTTTCAGGCTTCGGAGTGTGCCCGGACTGATGTCTTGTCAGTGTACCTATATATAGCTCATATGGATGGATGGGATGGATGGTGCGTGGTATAGGCGTGGTGTGTATGGATTAGGAGGTCTTATGTGGTGGGAGTGTTTATGGTTGGTTGTATATCTACATATATATATATATATATATATGTGTGTGTGTGTAAAGAAAGAGAGAGAGAGAGGGGAAACACTGAGAGGACAGGGCTTGCGAAGAGTCCGATGTGTGTCCATTACATTTCATCTTCTATGGTAACATTCGTGTTTCTCTTTTACTATTACCTCATGGAGAGCCAGCCTATCACCTCTTGCGTCGTCGGTGAGGTGTTTTTTGTCAGTCAGTCAGTCAGTCAGTCCAGCCATCCAGCACACGCTCCCCAGTCTTCCTTCTTCCCCTTTTCGTTGTATGCCGAGACATGCACTCAATATCGTCCCTAACACCCTCCCTTCCCTCCCTCCTTTCCCACCTCCCTTCCTCCGTCCCTCCCAAGAATCCTACGTATACCCACCCCACCCCCGAAACGCCATCCCATACCGCCGCCACAACCGCTCATACTCATGCGGCTTCCACATCCGGTGTCTCTGCACGCACAGCGCGCACATGCCCCGGTGAGTAATCCTGTGTGGCGGCGGTGGTGTTCTGCGGTAGAGTTGTTGTTGCAGGAGCTGGGCGCGTAGGTGGGGTGGGAAGGGCTGCTCGATGAGGAAGGTGTGGGTGCAGTTTGTGTAGGATACTAGGTATTGTTCTGGCATTTTTTGGATGTGGTGTTGTGGGGTTGCTGGGGTTTGGTTTTTATTTGGTGGTTGGGGTGAGGGATGGGGTTGTGGGTTGTGTCTGGGTTGCTGCTGGTATGGTTTGAGGGGTGAGGGAGATAGAGAGTTGTGAGGAGTGGAGTGGACCGTGGTTATCGTGGAATTGAGCTATTGCGTCTTCAGGCCGGGCGACTGAGCTGGAGTGAGCGTTGATCTGGGCTTGTGCTGGTGGAAGTATGAGGGGTGGATGATGGATGGTAAGGTAGCAGGTGAGCATGAAGCAGCTACTAATGTCTGTCCAGAGTGAAGAAGAACAAAGGAGAGAGCGGACCATGCGGGCTGCCTGGTACATACATACATACGATTGTCTCTTCAAGCTTGCCCATCAATCGTCTCTTGTTGACGTTTCAAACACAACATCGGGTGTGTGTGTGTGTCATGACGCTGTGCTATGAGCTGGCAGAGGTGTGGTGATTGAACATTACGGAAAGAATGGATTCACCACTTACCCACCCGTGTCGATGGACACGAAGCTCATGTTCATTGTCGGAGTGACTTCCGGCGTATGTACGCGGCTGGCCGGTCTTCCGAAAAACGACCTAGATGTGTGATAGATATGCGGTTGGGGAAAGCATGCCAGGGGGGTGGGGAGACGGGTTATTCTAGGAGAGGGGAGTTTGCTAAGACACGCTGTCTGGCACGAAAGTGAAGTGTCTGCGCTGGAATTTGCTGCAAAGTAGAGCCATAGTTGGGAAAGAAAGCTACACAGGTCGGTCCGGGTGATGATGGTATCTCTGAGCACTTCCAGCATTGTCCAGCGATCTCAGGATAGAAGAGGGGGCTGCGTACTTCGTTTCCAAAGCGAAGACGAAACGAGGCGGAGTTTGGCCTACGAACGCACAAACGAGGTATGTCTAGCAAGCGTCAATTATTGTCACGTCACGTTCACCGCCTAGGGAACTTAGCTGTTTGCCTCAGTCAGAGGTTGAATCTAATGGTTTGACCAGAGCTGACAATCTATGGGTGGTAATATGCTCAGAGCCCCAAAGCATATGGTCCTTCAGACAACCCAGATATCTTTCCAAGGTATTGTGTTTCAAAGGACTGGTATGGAGAGCAAAGTCGAAAGGTGGTGTTCAATATAGCTCACCAGACGCAGCAATTAGTCGGTATCTGACATTAATAGCGAGAGACGTGGAACGAACATGAGATGATGAGAATAGCAGTAATCACAGCTTACATGAGGCTCTGATGAGAATAGTAGAGTGAATTTTAGTCTCGATGGATACTGGTGACACGAGTGGTGCTCACGTCCGTCTCACGTGGTAGTGCGATGGGTACTGCCAAAGGCATAGCCGTGGGACGCAATTAGTTCCGCTTGTGTTACACTCACCTTTCCTCGCTACTACTCAGTTCACAATTATGGGCAAGTCATCATCGCGTGTTGTAGTCTTCTCTCCAAGTAATGCAGGAACATTTTTGCTATGGATGGTTCAGGAAGGTTTCGGATTACCTCCAGGCTTCTTTGCATATATTACACGACTGAAGCGCACGTTAGTTATGAGAAATAGTCTTTGTAGGAGTCGGGTGATGTACACTTCTTGGTAATTCCTCAGCCGCCGATTGTGGACAGCAGCCTTAACCTGACGTATGTGCTGCTGGACTTCCTCGTAGGTCCACTGAGAGATGACTGATTAGCCGGGCGAGACACCAACAGAAGACTGTGACTACGTACTCCGAGATCCCTTGTAAATAATGCGAGGCACCAACTTTCCATAGAGTCTTCCCAATTTCTTACGTTCCAACGGCCTATGTTCTTGAGTCGTGCGTTCTTAGGCCATAGTCCGATTGGCCATACGTGGGCTTTATCGATTATATCAACGAAGCCTGATGCATGTTAATTCCTGCCTGTTCCATGACACTTGGTTGGTTCTTTGACACATGTCAGACATACCAGCGGCTTGCATATTGCTCGCAAGCTCGTTAGCAATATCGAAACGTCTGCCATGCTTCTTTCCACAGTCGATCAAGTTGTCCATGAGTGTATCAAATCCATGGTTTTCTGGGTCTGTCGGTCCGGATGTGAATGAAAACACTTTCGCGTCGTACTCCATATGCTCTATGTAGCCACCTGGCTTGAGCGCTCTGACGATACAGATCAATGAGGTTCGAGTAATTCCACGAACTGTGAGACCATCACTTACTTCAGTGCTTGTTGATAGAAGTTTATCCAAGATGTGGCACACCCGGCCAGGCCGCGCACATGTATGTAATCAAAGCTTTCTGCAGGATAGGTCCATTCATCGGTGCAGTCGTCAATCTCGAAAGTCACGTTGGGAGGAGCGCTCGAGATCTGTATGGGCGACAAGTCCGTCCCTTTGTATTTGTCGGCGATTTGGGACATTCAGGAATGGATCAGATACTCACCTATGACTTCCGCCGAGGGATGAAGGTCCGCAAAATCACTAGACGTAGTATTAGCTAGAAACATCTCGTGAACGCAAGTGACACACATAGCCCACAGTCCAGTACCTGTACCAACGTCAAGAACCCTCTGCGGATCTTGCAATGGCGCCGTGTATAGCTTGTCATCTAACGTAAGGAGCCAAAGATGATGCCTGCATCGGAGTCAATCTTAGACATGTATCACCACAAATTATACTTACTGGACGACCTCCGCGTTGCCAACTGTTTCATCGTTTGGTTGATAATACTGTCCATCTCCTGAGAGATATTAATGGGCTTGCCAAGCGAGTTGGAAATCTTTGTCTTACGCTGAAAAAGGTCAGCTTAGCTGCCTTTCCAAATCGAATATCAAAAGAAACTCACGTATCCCTTTTTGTTTCAGCTTGATGACTATGAATAGGTTTACTGATCGCCATGGGAGTAATAATGGTAGACTTATCCAGCTCATGTGTCTACATGGTGGATTCGAAGAGTCTGGGCCCGGGACATAGACTTACATGATACCTCCTGCCATTCTCATACACGTAGTCTGTTGCCGAAGATGCTAACGTGCGACCCCTGGAAGAGATTAGTAGCCAGAGCCGGAGACACGGAAATACGTACGACAAAAAGGTCTCGCGATCGTCCTCATCGCTTTCGTCGTACGAGTAGGATTCATCCTGGGCAACATCATTATGGTGCATTAGCTAGCGTGCGCTCCAACCTACCGCTTTCAGGTCGATAGGTAACATTTCCTCTCCAGACTCGCCTTTTGAAAAATTCAGCACTCTGTCCCAACGAGAGGCTGCTCATCTGTCGGAGTACGGAGTGCGGATTGCGAGTTGAAGGGGTTAGTGGGGAACGGTTTGCTGATGGAATGCTTTGATAGGCGCCGCTAGAGACGCCAGTCAAGTAGTGGTCTGTTCAAAAGCTGTATCAAGGCGAGCGAATTTGGTGGATCGTGGTTAGTTTGAACAACGCGAATTCGATTAGAATCGACGTGGTGGTGGAGAGCCGAGACAGCAATGCTAGGTACAGGTAGCCTGACCATGGACTCGGGTCGAGGGATGAAAATGTCACTCTCATACGAGTTGTGATTCGAAGACATGGGCATCTTCGGGCCGGTATTACAATGGCGGACAGGCCGCCTAGAACGACTCCAGTGTCGCTCTGCGCCAGTGCAACTTGCGTCTATGATGTTCATGAACATCAACGCAGAATCGACTAGGAATAGAATTCAAAGTGCGCACCGTCTCGAGAAAGCATGCTAACATCCCATCCACAGGTCCCGAGTAGACGGGCACCTCAAAGGTCCATCAGGCTGCGGCACATGGTGTCTAGACCTCGGAGACAGTCTAAGCACAAAGCACATGTAGGCCAAGGTGCATGTCGCTCCGATATCATCATATCCAGTAAGACAAGCTGTGATGCATTATAAACATATGCATGCTCCACCGCGCCGTGCCGCGTTTTGGTGCAAGGCCCCAGCAACCAGAGTGAAGGGCTGGCTGGGTCCAATCCATGTTACTCCTTAGAATCGCTGGCCACAGTCTCGGGTCTGCGAGCAGGCTACCAACCTCATGGTGGCGGGCATGAACTATTAATCCCGAGCAACAACACAAGATCAGAGTATCTCATAGACTGGATTGTTTCCTTATTGTTTCCTTTGCTGCTGTCCTTCGCAATTTTCCGTGTCTCGGAGTATGTTATATACATCCATCAATCCATCCATCCTTTCCACCCACCATCGCCGACGTCGCCAAAATGCATAACCTTTGCCGTGCTCCTGTACTGGACAAGCATGCATATTACCCCAACGCCTTGACCATTTGATCGTCCTCTTCACGAAATGCTGAATGCATCGTTCCACTTATGCTTTGAGTTGAAAGGCTTAAAAGGCCCGAATATCATAATATCGCAATGCCGCCCGGATGAATTTTGCTTCGACCAAACGCCTCGCATATGCACTATTAACTGCTTCCGCTTCCACGTTCGGCATCGTGTAGTTGTCTCAACTGACTCTTGCTGGCCTGTGACTTGACCACTCTCTTCTCATCCTCACTCTGACTAGAAGCTTCATCGTCAAGTCTACCACTCTTGGACTCACGGCGTAACCTCTCTGCTTTATCCTTCAAGGCCTTGGCCTCTTCTGCTGCCCTTTGTGCGCGTACCTGCTTCTTCCACATGTTTGCATATCGGCCTTTCTTCTCGAGAAGCTCCTCATGTGTTCCTCGTTCCGCGACTCGCCCTTCATGCAATACTAGGATCTGATCGGCTGTCGTTATAGTGCTGAGACGATGAGCTATCACGAGCATGGTTCGGCCATTTCCTAACGCAGTCAATGCCTTTTGGATGTGTTCTTCCGTCTCCGTATCGAGTGCTGCTGTGGCCTCGTCCAGTAGGATGATCCTTGGGTTTTTCAAAATGGTACGAGCAATTGCCACACGTTGTTTTTCACCACCGGACAGACGTAGCCCACGGTCTCCGACTTTGGCCTCGTATTTGTCTGGATATGAAATGATCTTGTCGTGTATACTCGCAGCACGACACGCTTCGTAAACTTCTTCGTCGGTCGCATCTGGACGTGCATACTTGAGATTGAACATGACTGACTCATTGAAAAGCACCGTGTCCTGCGGTACTACACCAATGTGTCTTCTGAGCTGGTCAATGGTGATGTCTTCGACGTCGTGTCCATCTATCTGAATGTTGCCAGAAACGGCATTGTAGAATCGAAAGAGTATCCGGAAGACTGTGGATTTTCCTCCACCTGATTCGCCCACGAGAGCTGTTGTCGTTCCCGGAGCACAATGGAAATCGAGACCTTGTAACGCCGGCTTGCGAGTATCATAAGTGAAATGGACATTGTTGAATCGGATGTCGCCTTCACAGCTAGGAAATTGGCCTGCGCCAGCCTTGTCTACCACTGTGGGCTGTTCCTTGAACAGCTCCAGCATACGCTCCGAGTTGATCATAGCCGACTGGATAGTTCGATAGAAAGTGCCGAAAAAGTTTAGTGGACTTTGCAGCTGACCGAAGTATTGAACCAATGCGGAGAAGGAGCCCACGTCAAGCCTTGAAGTCGTCACTTGATGCGCAGCCAGAAAACATGCAACCATCAAACCCAACATAAATACCAAATTCTGACAGACATTCATCAAGTTGAGAGAAAGAAGTACTTTGTATTCCGAGAATTGGAATTTGTTTACGGCTTGTCGATATCTGTTAAATTCGAATTCTTCGGCATTGAAATACTTCACGTTCTCGTACGAAACCATGGAGTCGTTCCTGTAGTACTTAGTATTTACGCTAGACTTTCAGATGGACCATTTGCTTACTTTACCGCTTCTTCTTCACGCCCGGCATTGACCATCTGTCTGCGGATGTCGGCACGCCACTGAGCGAGACGAATTGTAATGTAGACGTACCAAAACGTGACAACAGCTACCACAAGAGCATAGTAAGCATCATACTGAGTCAAGAAATACCCAAAGGCAAGAACTAGGTCGACAAGCATCGGTAAGACATTGAATGTGATCTGCTCGAGGAATGTGTTGATTGCAGTCCCCTTGTTCAGAGCTGACACGACCTCTCCGGTTTTCTTGCTTATATGAAATTCGAGGCTCAGACCATGGACGTGTTCAAATGCAGCGACAGATAGCTCCCTGTATGAGTATTGACTGATCGGGATCCATAGAGTCGACCGAGAGGCTGCTAGTAGTCCGTTGCTTCCTTGGAGTAGTTTCAGAAAAATAAATACGCAGATGGCTGCCCAAGGAGTGTTGGACGGTCCTCCGCCTTGAGCATCAACAAGAGCATTGGTGATGATTTTGACTTGGTTAGGAACCGCCAGATTCACCACACGCTGCAGTAAGACCAGGACAAAACAAGCAACCACCACGACCTTGAGCTTTGTATCCTTTGATGGCCAGAGGTAAGGGAAGAAAACCGAATAACCACGGATATACTCCCACCATCCACGTGCTGGCACAGAAGTCGGCCGTACCCAACCATCTGTGTGAGGGGTGGTACCGTGAGCGCCATTGCCCGGAATAGAACCGTAGCCTTGTGCGGACCCGTTTGCAGCTCCATTCGGGGTTCCGTTTTCGGTAGACCCCTCATCCAAGAGTCTGGCTGTCTCGGGTGTGTTGAGGCGTGCAAATCTTTCTCTTCGCCTTTTCGTATGCACGAAAATGACATAAGATATCATCATGAATATGAGCAAGAGCACTCTTATTAGGTCGATGGTGACCTCGAGTATTTCCCATTCTGTCATCTCAGTCCGCAGAGGCCCTTTGCTATCACCAGCGCTGGGATCATTGTGGGCGTGTGTGTAGTATTGGAATGATAGTGCCAACAGAGCCACCTCATATATGGTTGCAAAGAACCATGTGTACATGTGCGCCGAGGTTGGTGAAGGCGTGCCATCGATCAAGGAGATGAAGAAGAGAAGGTAAATGAAGAAAGATCCGATGAGGTAGACCTGCAAGTGGCCGTTAGAATACAAAGGCTGGACTGGCTTTGAGAATAACTCACCACTGTCGGTTGTCCACACCAATACTGGTGCTCACGCTCAGCTACAGCATGGATAACCACATTCGCCGAATTTGCAAAGAAGGTCAGGGCTGTAGCCACAGCGAGGGTGTAGAAGAGATGCTTCTGCGATTTTGAAACGTCGTCCTTGATTTTGGGCTTCGGTTTGTTGTGAGTAGGGTGATGTGCAGGTAGTGGTTTTCCGCCAGGACCAGTCTTGGACGTCGGAACGTCGTTGTTTGCCGGAGGTACAGCTCTGATGCTTCGATAAGTGAAGGCTACCAGAAACACAAGGAGCAGTGCTATTGGGTAAGCATAATGCAGGTACATCAGAGCCACACCAATTTTTTCCTGCGAGGTCATGTCAAGGGTAGTCCTAGGTCTTGCCATGGTAGAAGAGGTAGCCATGGTGACAGACGGCAGCTCGACCGTACTCCCGGATGAGCAGGAAGTAGAGAATGATCAAGAAGGAGAAGGCGAATGGACGGTGCAGCAAACACAGCCGGCTATGACATGGCTTGGTCGTGTGCTCAGGATCCACGGGAGAGCCGACGGTGGTGGCGGTCGAGGTTCGGTGATGGTGGGATGGACGAAGTGAAAGAGGTCTAGAGGGAGCGGTAGGGCTCAAGTTTAAAACAGCGTTGGAATTCCAGAACCAGTCCTCTGGGAGAAATGGAGTCTGATACGATGTACAGAGCGATACAAAGCATGCACGTCTGAAGGAGCTTGGCCGATGTTCGGAATTGAAGATTAGTGAAGCGTATCGGGGAAGACGGGAGAAGCTCAGGATATACGACTAATGGTGCAGATAGCGCCAGTCAAAGAGTGATTAGCTTCGGTTTGAAGCTAGTTGAAGTGAACAAGACCTGCAAGTGGCACGAGCAGAACCGGGACGAGTAAAAGTGAGAGTGAGAGAGAGGTGGGAAATTGAATGGTGAAGCGAAAAGAGAGAGAGAGAGCAAGGAATGATTAGGAGCAAAAGAAGAAAGATAAAAGATGGACAGGGAAGTTGAGGAGCTAGTTGTCGAATCTGGAGCATCGTATGCAGGTGCAGGACGGCAGGCGGAAGGCGGAAAGGTGGTGGGTGGAAGCACTGGAAGCCCTGGAAGGTGATAGGATGGAGGATACTTGGGTAGGTACCAGGGCTGCGGCATGCCGGTGCCTCGCCGTACTACCTGTGTGTGTCTAGAATGTTTAGAGTGTCTAAAGTTGGGTTGTCTATAGTAGGGTGTGTTTGAAGTCTATCAACATATGCTAATCAATCAATACTTTTGAACACGGCACGGGGCACGACGAAGACAATGATGTGGTGACAGATGATACTATTAACCATGGTACGATGGGAGTGTGACAAGCAGTAGTACCTCTCTGTAGGTGGGCGTGAGTGTCGATAGGAGGTGGAGGTGTGGTAATATGTAGCTGATAGGTAGTCAACAAGTAATAATTTAGTGCCCAGACAGGCGGTGATGGTGGGTGGATGCGGTGGATGTGGTGGAGGTGGTGGTGCCAGGTGGGCGGGTGTCCACGGTGCCAGGTGGTCGTGGGGTTGGCAACGTGGAAAGGGGGTCAGTCATGATCCTGTGCAGTAGTATCAGATAGCCATCCATAATTAGTCTAATAGAGGGCAAAGCCAAAAGCCAAAAAAGCCAAAAGGCAAAAAAGGCAAAAAAGGCAAAAAGGTAAAATGGCACCTGGCATAGACATATTCCTACCGGTCGCCACGAGACATGGACATGCAGATATGCAGACGCGGGTGCAGACGCCGCCCACGATCCCCTCCACCGCCTTAAATTTAGTGAACGTTGTGCTGCCAGTCCGGGGGGCGTGGGCAGCCAGACAGGGCAGCTAGACAGGGCAGACCGGGGGAGGCAGACGCAGCAGACCCAACTCCGGCGCTATAGATGTGCCTGCTGCTCTACCCTACCTACATACAGTATCTAATTACAGCGTCTGTCTGTATAGCCGTTTGATCCTCCGAGATCATGATCCACAGTCCGCCAGCGCATGACCAACAGCTGCATACGGATATAGGTAGGCAGGTTATAACTGTGTACCATTATTGCGATTGCGTGGCCCAGTCTGCAGCCCGGAGCAGTAATCTCAGATTTCCCAGATTTCCAGATTCTCACCTTCCCAGCACCCGCGCTCGCCTCGCCTATCTGATGGGGAGGGGGGGCCCTCGAGATCGCTGTAGTCGCGCGCCACAAGTCGCTTGCTGGCCTTTGCTGCTTTTGCTGGCCGATCCTCCCCACACCGCCGCGGTTCGTCTGCAGCCTGCACGCGCTTCCACTGGTTCCGTCCAGACTTCGCCGATCAACTTCCTCCGCCTATACCACAACGCGCCGAAAAACCTCACCGCAACATCTCCGTACGCTTCCTCCACCCTTCCACCCTGCACACACACCTACACACACACACACACCTACACACACACACACACACACCTTCTCTCTCTTTCTGAAGAGCTCCATCCGAACCTATCGCCCCAACCCTTACAAAGCAATGTGTCCAGCACTCTCGGCACATGGCTGATCATCCGAGACGGCCCTCGCAATCCGCCGCGGCTTCGTCCATCCCTCCCGCTCCTCCACTTCCACCGCCCAAGTTCGCAGCGCGTAACGTCTTTACCAGATTCGTCACTCAGCCCTTCACATACGGCTCTCGTCCTCCAAGCGTGCAGGCGAACCGTGCAGATGGCCAACGTTCGGCTTCGTTGGCTCCCCGGGGTACAGGGTATGTATCATAGCTTTCAACAACGTGCTCCACTTGGACAGGACGATACCCTCCTACTTAAAAAGCCACAGTATCGTACTCTCCTCTCCAGCCAACTACATCTCTTCCTGTCCCTACCACTTCTGACACGTCGTACTGCAGAGTAAACCCGGCCTTCTCCAAAGAAGCAAGCCACAAGACCGGCCTTGAAATATCTGCTGTCGATATCAACCATGACGGCACACATGCAGTCCTTGCAGGTCGCGAGATCTTGAAGACGATCAGCGTCACCGACACACATTGCGCCGAAGAGGACAACCTGCGTTCCGCAATCATTAATTACACCGGAACCGTCACAGGCCCCGGCCCCGCCGCTTCTAGACATAGAGAAACGTTCGAGATACATGATGTAAAGTGGTCCCACGGCCAATACGACTCGTATATTGCTACTGCTGCAACAAATGGCAAAGTCATCCTCTACGACTTGAAACGTACAGGCAAGGAAGTCGCTAGGTTGCATGAGCATCACCGTCAGGTACACAAGCTTGCTTTTAATCCGCACAAGGGCCATTTATTGTTGTCGGGCAGCCAAGATGCGACGGTGCGTCTGTGGGACTTGCGCGACATGCGACGAGATGTCATGTCATGCGCCAGTCGGGACAAGTTCTCTGGCATGAGTGAAGGCATTCGTGACCTCAAATGGTCGCCCACCGATGGGGTAGAATTCGCTTTTGGAACCGACAATGGCGTAATACAACGCTGGGACTTCCGACAAAACAGAGGCCCGAAGCTGAAGATCAACGCGCACGAAAAGACAGTCAACGCTATTGATTGGCATCCTGATGGGAAGCACCTGATGAGTGCGAGCACCGATAAGACGGTCAGGGTGTGGGACTTCTCATCGGAAGTACGCAGGCAGAAACCTGCATTTGTGTTACGTACACCCTTTCCTGTGTACAACGCACGTTGGAGACCATCTTGTTGGGTTCCAGAATCACGAGAACATGGCTCTCTTCAATGCACTCAGCTAGCGACGTCGTACGACAGAGACCACGCTATGGTGCACCTATGGGACCTCCGCCGCCCATATCTACCGTTCAGGGAGATACACCGATACAGCATGGCCCCAACAGATATGCTATGGCACGGACGCGATCTGCTCTGGACTGTTGGCCGCGAAGGCATGTTCACACAGAATGACGTCAATTTTGCTCCGAAAGTCATCGACAGACGAAATATGCAAGCTTTCGCAGTATCTGCAACGGGTGAAATTAACGCTTTCTCACAGAAGAGATCACGAAGTCGCAACTCGGAGCATACAAATTTCACCCAGGAGAATTATCCTCTCGACTCCGAGAAGACCCGTAGCAGTCCTGACAAAGGTAGCCTTGGCCGCGTCTCAGCAGACGACAGTCTCGATGACAGTTTTCTTAGCACGTCTTTCAATCGACACCACGGCAGAACCGCAAGTAACAGGTCTGCTAAGTCATTTAGCAGTACGCCACCATCATCTGACATGTTGACCAAAGTTGTATTCTTGGATGAGTCCCTAGCAATTCGTGCTGATGCGTTCAAGCCTAATCAGACAGCCTTTCGAGGATCCCTCCCCGGATCGTTGAATCTGCCCGTGTTCACTTACCTTGCACAAAAATACAAGGCCATGGCTTTGACTGACCCACCATCTGTTGATTCATACTTAAATCTTCCTAAACTTTTCGGGCACAACGCAGAGTATGCAGAAAAAGCTGCTCTGTTTCGGCTCGCAGAAACTTGGCAGATCGTTGGGCATGCAGTCTTCAACGTTGTGAGTTCAAGGGCAGAGCAGCATAGAAGACTACGAGTAGAGCAAAGCCATCCTCCCCGACAGGTCTCAGAAAGCCGATCTAAATCAAACCTGGACGTAGTCACACCTGCAAAGACTGCTAGCATAGCGCATAGGGCGGTATATGGACCGTCTAGTCACTCGAGTCCACTTCTCACTGTAGGCCACGCTGAGAGCACGTCAAATCTACCAACTCCACTTGCAAGACCTGTAGCCCATTCGACCTCGCATACTGGCGATGGTCATCTTAGACTTCCTGACTTGGACAATGAAGACGCTCTCAACCTTCCACCTGCGATTGTAGGTCCTCATTCTAATGGAGATGTAAGCTCCGTCAGTCGTTCCCATCGGGACGATTTGCAAATACCACGTCCAAATTTCAACAACCCACGATGGTATAGTACCACAACTGATCTAGACGAGCGACGGGCAATGGTAGGAAGCTACAGGGCACAGCGACGAACCCCTCTTACGTACGATCAACCCAATCCTCATGCCATCGATATTAGAGCACCACCCAACCTAGACAGACACAATTCAGACGAGAGCTTTGCGATGTTTTCGGCTTCTTCAGGGTCGCAACGCGAACCGTCCATGTCGGGCTCCTTCGCAAGCGTCCACTCGCAAAACATGGAGTCAAAAACTGAGGGACCGCAGGAGTCTCATGACAGTAGTCCGAATCTCGATCGATATGCATTGAGTCCCATCTCTAGGTCAGCCCATAGACGCCCACGTCTTGACATGCGGCACATGAGCCCAAGTCCTTCAAGTACACAAACAGAACAACGTCTCGCCGAGAGCACGCTGAGCCCAAAGAATACAATTTCTCAAGCGCAGGTCACGTCATCGGGATCCCAGGCGTTGAGTCCAGCACAGTTTAGTGCAGAAAGGAGGAAAGCAATCGAAGATATTGATGTGCTCCATCGTAACAATTACCTCATGCGTCATGACAGCTCCGAATCAGAGGCATTGACCAGTGATAAGGGTAGTCCCTTTTCGGCACTCTCTGCAATCCACGAAACGATAGACGCCAGTGGAACAATAGTTCCTGACGGTTTTCAAGGTGGCATCATGTCGCCCGAAAGCGCTGACCTTGCCCATCCACCGTTCCGCCACGGAAGCACAACCGCTGCTACTTCCTCGGAGACTCATGCCGTAGACGAGTCGTTGCAACTCGAAGACTTTCAAGTTCAGAGTTCAGACGTGGATACGGAGTCAAATTCGCCTTTTACCGTGATCGATATGATCCGATCTGTCCTTTGTTTCCATACTGGGGTCATGGCAGATGCTCAAACCTCTTCTCTCATTCTGCTACTAGTCTCACCTCTGCTCCCTCCAACGCATCCTCTCTGCTCTTCCGACACAGAGCTTGTGAAGTCCACATACGCTGAAGTCCTAACTTCTCTAGGAATGGCCCCTACTCAGGTCCATGCCATAATCCATGGCCATCTTGCGGACCTCCTCAAGACAGGCATACACCCCTTCGAAGCCGAATCTATCATATCAACCTACCACACACAACTACACAGTCTCGGCCTCTTCAACGCCGCAGCATCTCTCCGCCGCCTCGCCTACCCCGTCTACCCCGGCGTGTACGAGTACGCCCTCAAAGACACCCAACTCAACCTCCTTTGCACAAATTGCAAATCCCCTCTGAACAATCCTCGCGACAAAACCCGCTGCGAAACTTGCCGCGCCCGCTCCAAGCCTTGCCCCATCTGCGGCTGCAAAGCAGCCTTGCTCGACCCAGCAAGCAAGCACGTCAAGTACAAACCACGCAAAAAGGGCGTCAAATTCGGCGATCCCGGCCTCGCGAACAAGTCTGATCAACTATCTGACTCCATCCTCGGCACGCCTCAAGTATCCCGCGATAATCTCGCAGACACCGAGTCTTCTTCGAACGCGTCCTCATCCTCGCCGATAGTCCCAGTCGTATTCCAGCAACCGGCGGTTCTTTGGACGGCATGTCCGCTCTGCTCCCACGGCGGCCACAGCGCGTGTATGGCTGCGTGGTGGGCAGACGCCGAGTCGGAAGGCGCGTGTCCGACGCAGGGCTGTATCTGTGACTGTGTCAAGGGCACGCGCCGCACCGAGAGGCTGCGGAAGCTGGAGGAGGAGGTTGCGGAGAAGGAGAAGGGGAAGGTTAAGGGTGATGAGTGGCTTGCGAGGGAGAGCAAGGCTGTTGTGGGTGTGAGAGGGGCGTTGGGCGGTGGCGGTGGGAGCGGGAGCGCGGAGTCTGGGCTGGGTGGTGTGTCGGGGAAGGTGGTGGTGAAGGATGAGGGCAAGAGGGTTAATAGAGCTGGGGGCGGTGCCGGGGTGGCGAAGAAGTGACGCTTTTGGGCGGATCTGAGCTTGTTGTTTGCTACAGGTACTTTGATATTGCATGTTCGGGGAGTTGGGATTTGGACCTTGGGTACTAATACGCTCCATCTTTTTCCGATCAATTGGGAAGATGAAAAGAAGATCTCACGAAATGGTGAGAGAATTGCTTGTATCAAGAAGAACGCGGGACGGCAATACTAGGCGAGCCGTGCCGTGTGCAAATAAGCCTAGAGTCTGTAAAATAGATATATATATGATGATACCCACCTAACTGATTATACATTACGCATGAGCTCACTTGTCAATCAATCACTCAATCACTCAATCACTCAATCACTCAATCACTCGATCAACCAGAACCAATAACAACGATAATAAGAAGAAAGTCACACATTCATGTACCGCCTGTATCTGTGCTCCAACGCAAAAAGACTCGTGCGTCAGCTCTTTTCAAGGCGGCTTCTGTTTATACATTTTCCATCTTGCGGCGTGAAGTTTCTTTTCACCTATAGTGCCCCCCCTTTCCCCTTCCCTACCCGAGGGTAGGTAGGTGGTAGGGGCGGCGCTGCGACCCTCGTCCATGGAGCAGGGACGAGGGCGGCTGGAGTGGAGACCGCGTATGTCACGAAAATATGAGGAGGGGTGTGTAGGATCTTTGTGGATATGGATGGGGGATGATTGTGTCAAGGGATGATGGGGTAATTGGGTTGGTTGAGAAGATCGCACGGGGAAGGTTTCATGGATATGGAGTCTGACAAAGTGATCGATAGCAGGTCAAGCTTGCATCTTCAGGGATCCACGGCAGTTTTCCAGCTGGGCATATCCCGTAGGAGGAGGTGCAGTCACAGATCGATTTCCTCGAGAGAAGTCGTAGGGTCGTTTGCATTTGACGTGGTGTATAATTCGTTTACATCCTCAGCCCTGCGCGCCATAACATGACTATGCCGACAGGACCACCGCCATCGCAGCTGTTGTCCTCACATTCGAAACTCAGCCCATCATGTGAGCGAACGCCTCGATCCTAACACACCAGAAGTCAGCCTTCCTCTCTCTCTCTCTCTGCCTTGTACCATACTCTCCAACCCAAAGAAAATCCTCAGCTCACCTCTTCATTCCCCAATCCCAGCACATCCTCCAACGTCTTTTCTTATCTGGAGGCACTCCACACGTTCTTCAAGAAGCCATCCTTCTGCGCCAGTCTGTTGAGCGAGTCGTCGCTCTCGCCCATGGCACGCACGAAGCCGCAGAGCGCGTAGGTCTGGTTCTCGCCCGTGTAGCGGCCGTTCTCGTCGACTTTGCCGACCGAGATTTGCACCGAGGCGTGGTCCTTGGCCTTGATGATGCGGTTTGTTGCGCTGCACTTGCGGGGGACGTAGCTGTCAAGGGCGAGCGTGGTGTGTTAGCTTCTTTTGTCTCTTTCGGGAATTGTGACGCATTTTTTGTTGGGCGGGGGAACAGGGTGAGATCAGAAGTGTGACGGTGGAGGGGACATACAGGTCGACGAGCTCGCCACGTTCGTTCTCCATGTTGATTGAGTGTGTGGGAGTTTAGGTAAGGTGGGCGGTTGTGTGGATTCGTGGTCGTGGGCGAGGTTTGTCGTTGTCTCGATGTCGGTTAATGGATTTTGGTGTGTGCGAAGCGGACGTGATTTTGGCGGGAGCTAGTACTAACTAGACTAGTGCCATCAATGCTGATTCAGCTGATGCCAAGTTTTACAGCTTGAATGCTCCCTGGGCCTGTTTAGTCATATCTCACTATCAGGAATAGGCTTGAAGCTGTCGAATAATCATTACTGATTTTAGTCTATAGGATGTATGCGCATCAATATTGCAAGCTTCATCTAGTCGGGTATAACGCAATCACAGCTTCTCTTTCTCGCCGTGAGCTCTCTCTTCTCTGTATACATCCTTCTTCCAAGCGACTTCTACATCGCGTGGACCTTCTTTCTTAAAGTTGACAAACACAACGCGCTCATCGTCTCCGGTTCTGTTAAACTGCTCAGCCTCTATACCAGGTTTGTTGAGTCCCAGCACCGTTCGACCATCGCTCTTACGTTTAAGCAAGAACAACGGCGACATGCACTTGTCGCCCCATGACGGCACAGTATTTGGATCGTTGATGAACTCTATCAAGGCCTTCCGCTCTTTCTGGAATACCTCTGTAGATTTTTGCGCACCTTCTGGTGATAGGTACTGCCCGGCGAGTGACAGAAGGAAAAATTGAGGAGGAAACAGTATGATACGATTTTGGCGAGCCAGGGACAACCATTTCCAGGGCGGTAAGAATCGCGCTGCTGTATGTTCTACGCCTCCATCAGGAGTTGGCACGGGTATTACTACCTCTTTCTCGCCTTCCAAAGAGGCTGTGGCTGAGGCTCCAGCATCCCTTGAGGTATTGGACAGAGGTAGGAAGTAGATATACATCTGTGTAGTGAATCGCTTCGGAACGTTGGTGGGAGTGACCCAGCGAGTGAATGGAATGAGAGCATCTAGGGCTGTCAATTCTGAGTCTCGAATGACATTCATTGCTAGCCGTACCTGTGTCGGGAATAGCGTCTTTCGATGCCAGCCAGTCTTGAAACATAATCTCTCCCGAATGTATGGCCTTTCGACCGTGTTCACGCTCCTCGTCCGATATCTCTACCAACTTCCCCGTCTTCGGGGATGTTGCCAGCAGTATTCCACTTTCCTCAAAGGTCTCACGTATCGCAGCCATCCTGTACGCAGGCCCATCTTCATGCCTCTTCGGATCTTGAGGATCAGGAATAGGGCCGTCGTGCTTCATGTCGACATTACCGCCTGGAAACACATGGGCGCTTGGGAACGAAGATGAAGTTTTCACTCGATGAAGAAGCAATGCTTGATTTTCAGGGGATATCAGAATGACACTGCATATCGTCAGATGCATCTCTCTTTACATGGCCTGGAGGTCCTTACCTTGAGCTTGGCTTAGGAACTGCGGGTGCCTTGCCCTTTTCTAAGCCTTTCCCCGGTGTCCTACTACTCATGCTTGGCGCAGTAGATGATAATGAAGCTTTGGGAATACGGCAAACTCTGAGCTTACGACTTGTTGACCACAGTTTACGATAGAAAAAGGGAGACCGCAAGGACGTGCTCGCCGAGAATGCCGTGACAATCGGTTCACGTACGGTGTATTGTGATCCAGAGACAAGGATCTTCAAACTCTGCATGGTTCAAGAAGTTCACGGCTATATCGAATTGAGGGTCCATTATGTGGCTGCTCTGCGCGCGGCGGGGAAGGTGACTGCCGAGGCGTGGAAGATGCATCAGATGGTGGAGGCCTCGCGTGGCTGCAGCTCTAACGGTTCTCTTAAAACTAGCTTACTTAATACGACGTCATTTTATGGAGACAGGACCTCTTTAAGTAGTTCCTACGACACGCGGCGCGTAGCAGGATACGCGCATGTGTTTTGTGACCACTGGCTGGGTTCGTCGTTTGGTCGTTACAACCCGCTTCAGTTCGAACATGATGGAGCAACTATATTTAAAGTGGCAGTCAGAATCGTGATATGGCCACGACCCCACCCCACCATAACAGACGGGTTTGAGACAAAGGGTATTTTCTATTCGATCCAATGCACATCTACCGCCAGGTTTTGGTGTATTTATTCCCCTTTAACAATCGCACATACTGCGGCCTCAAACGCCTTTCAATGCAGGAATGCGGCGTGCCGGGCGCAACCTGGGAAGTGACTTCCTTGGCGGATGGATCACGTTCACGACTCCGCGTCTACAAATTCATCGAGGTCGTCCGTTTCAGAATCTCTACGTTTGAGCGAGTCTTTGCTTGCAGTCGACGTGGGGCTTCCAGGATTTCTCAGGCGGTTTGTTGTGGGCTGTAGGGGCTCCTGTAACAAGTCAACATTACTTGAAGTAGGAGCATGCCCTTTAGGATGTATGCCACGTGTTGCTGGTTGTGTCGCTGAAGGTTCACTCTGACCGAAATCTATTAAGTCGTCCGAGGCCACTTCAGACTTATTCGTCGTAGGCTGGTCGGATATACTAGCCTTGTGGAGCGGTATCGAGAACTTGCGATCAGGTGACTGGCCTGGAATAATGGCGGCAATCTGGAGAATTTGTTTTGTTTGTTCTTCTGGCGTTTTACCGTCGCTGTGCAACGAGTTAGTCAGGGATTTGAGACCCCTTCACATGTTCATCTTACATCTTAGCATTTATTATCCAGTCAAGGTCCTTCTCATCCGGGTTGTAGCCTTCGGGGCTCTTCTCAATGTCACAAAACAGGGATGGTTTCCAGTCAACACCCTTGGAGTTTCGCTCGGCAGCCTCTTTCCTTTGCATGTCCTCGATTCTGCTTTTCTCGTCTGTCGCAATGTCCTGGTCTTTCTCTTTTATGGCCTTCGTAACCTTAGCCCATAACTTCTGGGACTCACGATCTCCTTGCTCATCGATGGGGCGAACGAGCGGCGGTGTTTCTTTTGCATGAGTCGCATCGAACAAGGGCTCCTTCTTTCCGGTCTAGAATGCGTTACTTAGCTCGCTCTGTGATTCCCGCGATTCATATTTCGACTTACAGCGAGGTCTTTTATGAACATCTCCCCCGTCCACATCCCTGACAGCTCATAAAGGTTGTGCCCACTCTTCGTATCTTTGATATAACCACCAATAGCATTATAGCCACCACCTACCCAGCCCTTGACTTTGAACTCTATATCTGCTTCCAGGCCAGATTCGGGACACCTGACATAGCTATGATCTCCAAGCTCATACTTCATCTTCCCGAAAAGAATGCCGCGTGCGTACATGTTCGGTTGGGTTACAAAGCTAATGCATGTCAGTATCTAGACGCTGTATGAGCTGTGTGAGCTGTATGGAATGTAGCGGCATACAATCGCTCCTTTGTCTTGAGGAACCTCATAACCGCTATGCCCTCCATCATGCTGGCTGCAGAATTGCCGAGAAATTTGCTCCGGGGCTTGAGGCATCCGTCGATCCGAATGTGATGCTCTGGGGCCATGAAGAAGTAGCTAGACTTGGGCGGATGGTGGGATGTTTGCTCCGAAATGTAGTATCCTCGTGTGCTGTCTGGATAGTCCCAGTAACCAGTGAACGTCTCGCCAAGTATGGGATTCAGGGGCTTTTTCACGCCACTTTCAAAGTCAGCCATACGATTTCCATCGGTTGAAGTTGTTTGAACCTACGGAGGCTTGATGTGCCACCCACTCAAGTAGAATTTGACCACGGAGACAAACCGTAGGACAGGGTCATCGATGTCGGTCATGGGTAAGAGAGTTTCGGGGTGTGCCATGAAACTACACATGCTCTATCAGCTTCTCAAGTCCCGCAAAGCGTAGTCTTACTACACGTACTTCGTAATCCTCTCCAGCATTGATCGCGGCTCGAGAATGAAAGTAGGCAGTGTGATGCGACTGAGATCGGCGCCAGGTCGTAGTTGAGAGATAATATGCATGAGCACTGTTGCGATACGTCAGAGGGTGCTTCACTTTGATCTTGCCACTATAATTACATACTACTACTTTGCTCGGAGTCCACGATAGTCTCATCGTCTGGTGTAGTGGTTGTTTCGCCTCGTGTCGAGTCTGTAGATGATCTATTGCCTACCGGATGGAAAGCTGTCAGTAGATCTATAGTTGAAGGTTCTCATCTTAAGATCGACGCGAGACTCACTGGTGACTGAATGCCGCCTGTGGCCGCTGAGGTGCACCATGATGGGCGGCAGGCAGACCGCAACTGTAGCGGAAATAGGTCGTACTTTGAAGTCTGAAGCAGTAGAGGTCCGTCCGTAGGGAACAAGAGAGTCACGAAAAGAAGGGCAGGCTTGAAGGGTATGAATGGGAGAGGGGGCCAAGACGCTGGGATAAGTTCCTTTCAGGCTGCTGTGAAGGAATGTATAACAGAATGCCTGACGAACCTCATATGACTGAGGGCGCTTGACGCAGTGGAGTTTGTTTCTGCCCGCGCTAAAACCTGAACGAGCGGGGCACGAGGGAAGTGGGCAGTGGACAGTGGACATCTTTCGGGTCTTAGAATTAGAGCCAGTAGGAAGTTGTAAGCCACTTGCGCCTACGTATCATAAAACGTTCTTGATTGTCCGGATGTCATCACTTTCAATCACGCAGCAGGAAAGCCAACATGGCTGGGCCTGTCACAAGAATATGTATGCAGTCTGGCGACCGATTTCGCTGGTCATCAGAGTAAGAGCGCGGGGCGAAAAGGAATTGGTGACCCTGCCCATGTAACTGGGCTCTTTGAGGGAGATTAACCAACATATCGCACACTGATGGAATGCCGGAGAATAGCAATGGGAGAGAGGCCACTGTAACAAACTCTTATAGAGTTTATTTAAAAATAAAAATATATATTATTCACCATACTCACAATCCTACAAGGCCGGCAAGAGCAAGCATTCCCCTGCGGCAGGGATAATGTATCAGTGGTGACATAGAGTGGACTTGGCTTTACAAACTATAGGAAATGCGTCCACAACATGATCTACGCGCAAAAATAATGCAGAATACACTTTGTATTGCAAACGCATACGATCTGGTCTTATATGGAGAGTTTACTCGAGTCCGGTGGCCGGGGGAGAGCCAAGCATAAGCCGCGTTGGCACCCTCGGACTGCCAAAGCATGTTCGTAAGCATGACTGCTGCAGTACCTTATCTTACCTAGCATTAAAACACTCATTCGAAACCCACGCTCTACTGCTGGAACATAATTCTCGATCCACCTGTCCCCCCGAACACAGTTCAATATCATGGATGCGTCTCGCTTGCTTGCACTGCCGCGTGAGCTACGTGACCAGGTCTACGAACATCTCCTACATCCCTCCGCAAACCGGACAAGATCCGAGGAAGATGGTCGCATCACATACCACTGGGACCTTAATATCTATCGAGTCAACCACCAAATTCATGAGGAATCAAAGAGCGTATTTCGAAGGTTGAATTGCTTCATCAAAATTTACACCATATTCCCCGAGTCGGATCGCTATTTGTCCCAGGAGAACTATGTTACGTTCATCAGCTCAGGAAGACCTGCGGAGCTTTTTGCCGACCACCACTTATCTATCTACATCGAATCATCTTATACCTTTCAACATGGCCTCTTTAAATACCTTCTCCATATTGATGACCTAGAGTGGTTCTCCCAAATATGGTTCTACTCAGCACTCGGAAGTCCTGGCATAAATCAACATCTTGAGGTCACAGTAACGTTACATAATCCATATAGCACGAGTCTTTACGACAACCCGGTTCCAAAGAACCTGCAGAAGAGACTACTCGAGCCATTCGGCAAAGTAAAACAGCTGCAAAGCATCAGCTTCAAGGGCAACCCGTATCCATCGATTGAGAAGGCTGTCCGCGAAGAGATGGAAATTCCATACATGACAGCGGAGAAATGCCTCGAGGCCGCGGTCCAATTTAAGGAGGAAGGCAACATAGCTTTGAAAGCTAATCGCCCCGAGGACGCGATCGAAAGCTATATCAAATCCTTTGAAGCAATCCACATCGTCATCGTCAACAAACGAAGGAAAGATTATGCCGACAGGTTCTTTGGAGCTGCCCCAGAGCTGACGAGCGGTCCATACAAAGGAAGATTAGCCTATACAGCATGGCTCACGATACGAATCCAACTGGTAGCTAACGTTGTCTTTGCGTACTTGAAGCTCGAGAACTGGGAAATGGCTTATCACTGGGGAAACCGCTCGATACAACTGATGCGTGACACTGTCGGCACTGTAGAGAGCGAACCGTATACTGGACTTCCCGGAGTACCTGTCTCAGACCAATTAGGAAGGATATACTACCGTACGAGCGTCGCGGCGAAGCAGATGGGAGACAAGACTGAAGCTCGAGCGCTCCTCCGAGTGGCGATGAAGTACCTACCGAACGACAGGACAGTTGCAACAGAGCATGCTTCGGTGGCTCTTAGGATCTAGCTCAATGAATTGAACGTTCTACGTAGATTTCGTTTTGATTTCGCATAGCAGAACGTCCATCTCAGGACATACGTAAGCTTCCCGTTCATTTCACGTTCGTCAATTCAAGTTTTCGGTTTTAATCAACGTCATTGAAGTCGCTATATACCGTAACGTAGGCTACATTCCCAAAGTATACATCTGAGAAGTAGTTACAATTCATCCATCCATATCTCATCTCATCGAGTCCAAGTATTACCAATTTTGAACACTGTCAGACTATCACAACATGGGTATCCAGTAAGTACCAACAATCGTACACGCACATAAAAAAGCAAGAAATGTCCACAAAACCAACGTCATGGTCATGTTCATCTTCCAGGCCCCAGCTCAGACGTGACCGGCGGCGGATAATACGTTTGGCCGGCATTTTGTTGTGGCGTCGGAGCCTCTACCGGAGCTGGATAATAACCTTGATTCATCTGGGGACTCTGCTGAGGCTGATACGCTTGCTGTCCGATAGGTGGGCTCTGTGGTGGTTGATATGGCTGCTGTCCGACAGGTGGACTCTGTGGAGGCTGATACGGCTGCTGATTCAATGGACTAGGCGGTTGATACGGCTGTTGCGCCATCGGACTCTGTCCATAGCCTTGCTGGTGCACTGGCGGCGGGCTCTGTGGCGGCTGATACACAGTGCCTGCAGCAGGTGTACCATACACGGGTGGAGCCATAGGAGAAGAGACATCATTAGTTGTATACGTCGGGCCCTTTTCAGCGGTTGCGGCGTACGCAGGGGCGGCGGCCGCGCCGTCGAAGTTGGGCGTGGGTGCCCCAGCATTCTTTGCTGCGCGGCGCTTCTTGAGCAATGCGAAGACGCCGCCAATGATTGATGCGAGAAGAGCAATCACGCCGATGACAACGCCCGCAATAGCTTTGGCCGGGAATTTGCTGCCTTTCTTGCTACTGCTGCCGCCGCCGGAGTGGTAGGTGTAGTCCGAGTAGCTAGAGTAGTCGGAGTAGTAGGAGTTATAGTAGCTCGAGTAGTCGTAGGCGTATGTTGATGTGCACGAGGTATAGGAGCTGTAGAGGCCGTCGTACAATGCGCAGGAGTTGTAGTAGTATTCGTCGCAGCAGTACGCGCCGCAGAGAAATTGCGTGGAGTAGCACTATAATTTATAAGTAACGAGCTTCACAAATTCGATATCAGGACATACGTATTGTCGTTTTCCTAGCTCTCCGGCGGCGTTGTAAGACAACTCTTCCCTTGCTAAGGGAGCTGGTTCTCGTTTGGCCTCTACGGGTACTGGAACTGGCTCGACCTCGCGCCCCTTGATATTGATATGGCGTTTAGCGTTCGCTGTAGCCCCCAGAACGAGTAACGAAAATACAAGGGCACGTGGAAGCGCCATGACGACGAAATATAGACAAAGGTCGTATAAAACCAGTCTTTTCTTGACAATGGAAAGAGAGCAGCAGACAGAATGTTGTTTAGACAACTGCCTGATTCTTATAAAACTCTCCTGCAACTGCGCCCTTCCCATCTCGTATCTTGCATAGACCAGCTCGAGCATCGCTATGCTCAAGGCTGATTCGGAGTGTATTCCATCAAGGGTGTTACGAGCTAGGGAGCTGTAAGTCGCGAAAGGACCCCATTTTCGGTCTAGAAAGCTCGTGTTCCGTCCAACGAGACATGTCAAAAACTCGGTAAACGCTATAGTGGCGGCGCCATGGCTGAAAGCTGAACTATCTAGGAGCTTTGAACATATGACTGTTGGGGGTCCAGACAAATCCGATCAACAGATCAACACAGTGCGCATTCTATGTGTTCTGTGATTGGTTTTGATCTTGCGTTCTGTCATTGTTGAGATGAGTTGCGCAGTCGCATCCGCGCCCGGTTCTGCTGGTGTGTCTGCGGAATGATACGTTACATTGATTTGCACACAAAGTCTCTATACGTTCGCACGCTAAGGGGACATACATCACGTTAGAAACGGCTACGAAACGACTCTCTGCTTCTTCTTCTTCTCCTTCTCCTTCTTGGTGTTGATACAACGGAGGGGCTGCTGTGGCGTAAGGCGGAAATGGCTTTGCATAAACTATTGTTTTATTTAGCGCACGTGAACCAATATGTGGAGCACAGTCCATCGACAACAATACTTGCAGTGGAAGAGCTGCAGTCGCTGAGTCTAGTGTTTTCTTTTTGCTGCGTTCAAATCAGGATGGATGCTTCTGGTATGTACTGAAGTCTGAGGTGCTTCTTAAACTAGTCTGGACCGGAAAAGATCAGTTAGATATCTCTCGTCAGGAATAAGAAATGGTATGCTACAGGGGTCCGTGCCACTTGGTGTTCCTAACGGAAGATATACATAAATGTTTGAGCCTGTCCCTAATTGGTATATACCCATTAATTGCTACATATGTACAATGCTTTACTCAAACTTCACCAGCTGGACTACCGCATAGTCATCGTGTTCAACCGCCTAAGCTACTCAGGCTGACCTCTTCCAACTAGACTATTGGTACAATGTGGTGAGAGCTCCAAGTATGAGCTTTTCGACTTAAGGTACTGATGCACAAGTGGCTTCGCAGCTCAATTACACCGTTGCTCAGCTCCGCAGGGCAAGAGATGATTCTCTTCTATCTCCCTTCTTTCCAACCGATTGGTATGATGGCGGCGGCTATTTCTTGCAAGCCTCTTTCAGTTGCAAGAAGATTGTACTGAGCTGCAGCATTACGAGTATCCGAGACCTCGATTCTTATGCCCAAGTCGTTGATGTGTTTTCGAGTTCGAGGAGATATAGGCATCACATTGGGGCCTGTCCCGATGATGAGTAGATCTGTGTCCAGTTAGTTTTCATGTCTTGTTGATCCAGATTGTCGCAAGGCGTCATTGTTTGCATGCACGCTCATCCCATACCTGGTTTAGGCCATACCATCTCTAGAAGACCCCAAGCATCTTTCCTGACCTCCCATAATCCTTTCGCATTCCGCAATGTCTCGCTTCCGCTCTGGATGTCAGCAACAGTGCCATTCTCAATTTCTCGTGTCCACGGCCTCCAGTTGAAAGCTTGCCCATGCACGAGGAGCACACCACTGTCTTTTATCTGCTCCCCGCTACTCAAACGAAAGCCATCGGTCGTGCATGCATCAATTGAAGATGCAGGGGTCGGAGTGTTCCTCAATATATTCATATCGGCAAAGTCGGTCTGCGTCTCTTCCTTGCTCTCTGGACCCCTATATCGAGACTTAGGAGGCTCTGCAGCCCTTATTAAGGAACCATGTAGGTGGCGTGCGCATTGCGATGATGGATACTGGTGTGCTATGAGCTTACTCCGACACGAAAGACAGCGATAGGGTCGAGTAGGGCGTATCTGGTGATGATGTCCACCTAGGAAGAGCGACGGACGAGAAACAACGGCGCGCAGAGTGTGAGCAGCGTTGTAACTAAAAGATGCCATGGACAAGTTGGCAATGATGGTTCCTGCTACGCAGAACACAACTCAAGGGAACGGAAGAAGATCATAACATCAACTTGACATCATAATGTTTATGACAAAGAGGTAAAGCACTTTGAAAGGCATTGTATGGTAAAAGTCCGGCATCAATATGATTGGCTTGTCTGCCAATTGTCGTCATTAAGTCTAATTTTGGAGGAGGCCTGCCGCGTGCTCAACTGATTCAGGAAGTGGATGAATCATTACATACTGTGAGCACTTCCGGATGGTTCTACGTATCGTCCGCGGCTTCATAATCGGTATCATTGCAGGGAGAAAGAAGTGCGCACAACGAGATTGGAAATGTTTCAGGTGGAGTCAACATGCAAACAGCCTGGATCGTAGCTCAGAAGAAGCGCATCTGTTCTAGCTCCTCCTTCTCTTGGCTGGAAACTAGTAGGAACCAATGACGACCCGGTGAGCGCGCCCTCCCGCTCCAACCAGACGATCCCTCCGCCCTCACCAACCTCCATTCAAGCCACTCTTCATTTGCGCCTTCTCGAGTATCACCATCTCTACCTCACCATCCCTCGCCTATACTACAGTGACGACTCCGACTACCATTGTACACTCGCTTCTGGCTTCGTACCGAGATCATACTTTTTCCACCGTGCGCACCGCCGCCGAATCTCCCTGCTCCTCATAGCCTACCTTATACTGCGCCTGATCACGACTCAGCAATTACGATCTCAAGACTCATTCAACTACTACCCTATCTATTTCGTGTCGGACTGACATAGCCCACTACATCCTGCGCAGTGCTTTAAACGCGCCGACGTACTCGATAGCACAGGACCCACAGCAGGAGTATTGACAGTAATAATTTAATCGCTTCGAAGACACCAATTTCGGCAGATCAACCGAAGCTACATAGGACCTCCTACAGCAAGAGTCGTGAAATAGTCGGCCTATGACTTGAATCAGTTCTGTGAGCAAAGTCATTTGATCTGGCCTACGATGATCCATATGGGACGATACACCGAATGATTAAGCCCTCGAACGACCTTGCATGAACGTCTACAACCGTACAGCCAGATCGGCTACTCGCAAAGAAACCTCGATGCAACATGTCCAAGCAATTCGTCCTGCCTATCCGGGAGAGTTACACTAACTCAACGTCTATTTCAGACAACGTATCCCAAATAGATTCACCGAATAATGTTTCACCCGTGCACAGCAAGGATTCCATAATGAACCAGTCGTCATTTATCCTGAATGCTAAAGCGATTATTGGCTTTAGAACATCCTCTCCTCGGCAAGCGCAAGAAGCTTCGCCACTCGTTTCGCCCGTAGGCTCAAGTAACCAAGGAACAGAGCTTCCACCCACACCACCTTCTCTAAACGCCCTCGAAATGACCTCTGGAGAGGCGAGTCACGCACAGGCTGTTGATACCTTCCGGGGTAGCCATATCATGAACAATCGGCCGTTGCATAGTACTCCTATCAACCAAAGATCGCCTCCAACACCAGACCCAAGTCCTCCTCGAGGCTCCAGCTCTTTGCACACCAATGTTCCTTGCCCCCCACTACGATACCCTTCCTCCAGAGCAGAATCATTTCAGACGGCCCGAGAAGAGCCATGGTCTACGAACAGCGAAGCAAGCGAAAGCCAGCACTCTTTGGCTAGAAGTCCATCGCCTGAACGGTATCAGAGTCCACCCATTGGCTTTCAAGAGATCCCGCAAAACGTCTCGATGAATTCTACAAGTGGTAATAATACACCTATGCAATCACTCGCTTCTACCAAGTCAACACATGAAATACAAGTACCATCGAACTCACATAGCCAAAGTAGTCTTTCTATCCGTTCTATACCGGATAGAGAATGGAATACCGAATTGATGAGGAGCGTCACTGTCCGAAGGAGTGCACGACCATGGACACCGGAACAAAGAATGATTGTGGGCTCTGCACAACCGACGCCGGCCTCATCGACACCCTGGGATACTAGCGCGCCCAGGAGATTGGAGAGGACCGAAAAGGATGGCGACCTAGAGCGACCTCGAATTGATACTTCAGGTAACGGAGATAGCTCTTGTTCAGAATACCCCAACGAAGTTGACCCTCTTTCGAAACAAAATCTCCACGATGGAGAACGGAAGCGAATTTCTACAGCTTCGTCGGTATCTACTGTCGTAGAGGCTATGGTTGTCGTCACATCGCCTCGTAAGCTTCAATCTTTGCGCCATGCAGGCAAAAACTTGGCTCTTCGGGGATGTAACGATGTACCTTCATTGAGCCCACGAGCCGCTCGGTCCCACTTACCGTCTTCCACTTCGGAGGATATTCCTCTGCACCGTCTTATCCACAAAAGATCACGAATACCTGATAGAAACAATCGCAATAGCTCAGAATCAGAAGCGTCAATTCAGTCAGGGCCTACGACGAGGATCGTTACCCAACCTCCTACGCTAAATGCAGATCGACCGCAAGGAATACGCACTGAAAAGGCAAGAGCACGTACTGTATCGACGCCAATGAAAACTCTGTATCCTAGTCCCAAGGCTACCGACAAAAATATTCAGGGATATTTTGATATTCCTCATCGAAACATTGAAGCACAAGCCAGTACGCCGGGCACAGCTTCACCTCTCTTTCGATACATCTCACCTTATTCACAATCCACACCACATTCGCAACATAGCTCGCCACGCCTGCAACATAAGATGAGGAACATATCTCTACCAACTTATCATAGATCTCCCGATGGTCTCACTTGGCCAAAGAACGATTCGAGCCCTTCAGCCTCTAATCGATCTCAAAACGCGCACGAGGACGCCATAGAAAGAGCGCAGTCAGCGGCTCATGCTATCTCCCAACACGTTCGATCGGCTAGTTCGCCAGCGACCAATGGTGCAAAGCTACCGATTTCGCCGCCGAGGGGGAGTCAGAGCTTTCTGGATTCTCCAGCACCCTCAGAAAGGCGATCTCCTCCCCACTCCGAGCACACATTCTTGCATTCTCCAGCACTATCAGAGAAAATATCAGATCATGAGATGAGTGCCAGTACCAGAATAATGTCTCCAAGTTCGCCCAAACGCATGAAGAGGGTCAGCGTAGCACCAGCAGAGGATCTAACACGTCCGAGCTTGGATGTTCCTAATTCGCGCGTGGACGACAATAAACGGACGAGTATGGCATCATCTGCTCGTACAGACGAACATGCTCTTGCTCGTCACCTCTACGCTCAAAACACTCCATTCTCATTCTCTCAATTCTCGACTACACCCGACGCACTCGAAGTTAGCGAGGCAACTGCTATTAGTATCTTCCCTCACAATAATGATTCGCTTCTCGTCGTTCAGCAAGTCGCTAGATCAAGCACCGTTACTGGCCAGATCACTTCGCCCGAACCTCAAGATACGCTGCGCGCAACTCCGCTCGTTCAGCCAGCTTTGACTGTGGAGCCTTGTACTCCGCCTTTAGCTTCGTCAGAGAATGCTCTGGTCGATTCACCACTAAGGAACCCTCGTAAACCGCCGAGTCCTCCGGTCATACAGTTCATACCACCAACGCCTGCGGAGGAGCTAGAACGAGAACTCGTAATCGAGCCGAAGCGACGAGTCAGTCTCAAGGAAAAGGCGCGGCGGTACTCTGATAATTACATTGCTCCAATATTCGCGCGTTCGCCGTCAAAGGCTCGTCGAACAAGTAGCAACCCACCGCACACGCGAATTCCGAACATTACAGAACAAGACGGGAATCTTCACCCATTCTGGAAACCGCGCGGCTTTTGGGACGGCTTCGAGGACACCACGGATAGCGAAGATTCTTTCGAAGAAGATGACGTTCTCCCCCGGGGTGGGGACACTAGCGAAGTAACAGATTGCGAGAAGAAGCTGCCTCTGGGAAGGCGCCTAACGAACGGTTTGAGAGGAAGTGGCGGATTTCTCAAAGGAAACTCCCTTGGAATTGAAAGACATGGAACGAATAAGCGCCGCCACCACATATCTGGGCCTACCAATCTTAGTGGCCACCGTCGAGAGGTTGGTAATTCTCCCGTCAGATCAACCCATCCTGCACTCAATCCTCTGGGACGGATTGAAAAGAGAATCTTACATACTCATTCGAACCGTAGCATGTCAAATGCCTCACAAAGGATGACTCGCTGGCGAAAGGTTCACAAAATTCCAGGTCTGGGTATCCACATTCAGTATGTTGGTTTCAATGGCATGAAGGAGAGGATCAGAGAGAAGAAAGCAGAGAAGAGAAGGGAGGCAATCCGGCAAAGCATAGGCCCGCGACTTTATGTGGAGGGTTCAGGAGTTGTGTGAAGGGTGGGACGGCGCAATTGGTTGGTTGGCATCGCGGGAAAAGTAATTACGGCAACGGTGTCGACGACAATGTATCTACGACGGAATTGTTAGCAAGGTGTTTAGGTTACGTCAGCAACTGGCTAGAAGTGGACGATTTGATGCATTGATGTATAACGACATTACGATTGCTAGCTCAGGTTTACCACTTAGGTATTAGTTATCAGCACACGGATTGCTCTTACCATTTGCATAAATTGTATCATCAAATCATTTAGAAAAGTCTGTACGGATTCGGTAATTTCTCAACACATGTAGATCGTGACGAAAACATATCTCCGAGCGCGGATAATAGAGCAAATCACCAGGGTATCCTTGGAAATCGAGCATGCCTAAGACCAACCAAGGTAAAGCAGCAAGCGGCGAGCTGTGTATGGTATCTTCTCGATCGTGGCGGCTCTGGTAGGGAGGCGCAAGAGATCCTGGAGACTATATCTTGGCTAGTAGAACGGCACAGTGATGACGAAGAAGGGCGCGAGCAACGATTGTGATAATGACGGGAAGTTTGATGGATGTCGCGCATGTGCATCAAAGGTGATAATATAGGAGTGAAGGAATGAATGCTGATGTGGGGCTCCTATAAAGCACATGCTACACGCAGATCCATATCTGTTTCACGATGAGCAACCCTGAACCCCCTCCCTGTTTCACTCCACAGTACCGATATTGGGAAATACAGATTCACGCCTTTGCTTCTAGCAAGGCTGGTCACTGCAGTCAGTCTATGTCTATGTTTGGCAAGATTCACGATAGCAGGCTATAATAATTGTGATGTGTCGAACTCTAGAGCTGCGACGCCGTAGCACACTCAGGGTACTATGTACAGCAGAGCACTTGGCGCGTGAATTACTACAGTATAGTCATACCAGCGCAGAAGAGGCAACGTAGCGCAACGAGCACTCGTACCTAGGCTTGACGCATTGGCGAGAGGGCGGCCGTTGCAATCGCTTATAGAAATTCAGGGCATCACGGCATCAGGGTTCTTTTTCACTAAATATTAACTAATTAGCACCCAGCACTTGAGGCCAGACAAGAGTACCCAGGGCGGCCAGAGTAGGGCAGCAAGACGCTTGAGCGTTGAGCGCCGCACACAACTGCTAGTAGTACTGCGGCACTGCCACTATCCACTGCACCATTCGCTCATCCCAATCTGTCCCATATTACTTCTCTACAACCGCCAAAAGATAACGGCTGGCCGTCGTCAATCCGGTTGCCTATCTTCCCCACGACTTCTCTTCCACTCTTCTCTTCCTCTACTCTGTTTTTTTCCTTTGTCTCCTTCTCTCGTTCTCTACCCCTGGGGTCCACCTTGAACGGCCATCTGCAGCCTCGTGCCTTCAAATTCCCGCCGAGACACCACCCCTCCTCCAGATCCCGCTCAGGCCTGCGACTCGCGTGCCCCCTTCTCGACTTGCTCGTTTGCACTCAAATCTTTCTCATACATTCTAGGCACGTCCGATACTCCTTTAGTTATGGAAGATGGAGGTAAACTTTTTGGCAAGAGCCGTTGGAGGGGCAAGTTATTTTCCAAGGACGATGAGCCAGGTAAAACGACTGCACGACCACTCAACAACGATGTGATGGACTTTCTGGCGCCATCGACGCAAAAAGCACAAGCAATCGCACAGAAGCCCAAGATCGACATATCTGCTGCGAAGAGGTGGCCCGATGCCAGCGACATAAAGAACGCTCCAAGCCCAGTCGTCAACTCTGCGCTACGTGGTGCCAAAATTAGTAAAAGAGGGAAAGCTCTCACAGTCACATTTGTGAGAAGCGCGCCTGATGTTATCGGAGAGGGCGGTGATATGGCTGAAGATCCGGTCATTATCGTATCGCAGATGAAGACAGCGCACGCCCCTAGAAAGATAACGCAACAAGACGATGCTGCAATGAATCTGAACTTTTACCCCACGGCTGGTATACATGGACGTCCTGGTGCGCGCTCGCCTAATGCGCTGAGTGAAAGACCGCAGATGCGTGCAAGAGCTGATACAAGTCATGGCGAAGTCTCGCAGCCTTTGTACCAAAAGCTTGAGAAACGTAAATCACCGCCTCTTCCTCCTCAGGGCCCTCAGGCAGGAGAAGGCTTCGGTTTCCGTCCGAAGCCTCTAGCACGAGCGCCGACTGGGTTCAATACTATCGAAGAGCCAGCTCCACCTCCATTCAAGACCGACGAGGAGGACGATTTCGTACCAAAACCTTTGAAGCGTGCACAGACGGGCTTCAGCGCCAGTGGAGAATACCCATCGAGCGATGAAGAGCCCAAGTTACCGAATGTGGATTTCGAAGATCCTCATATAGACAAGTTGAACAGACAAAAACGAACATTTTCTGCCCAGATGCGACAGAAGATGGTGGAAGAAGAGGCACAAGCGTTCCATAAAGCATTGTTGACTCAGAGAGATTCGGACGAAAATGAACGACCGCAGACCGCAAGTGACGACTCTTCAAGCCCGCCTCAGGCTCTGCAGCCTCCAGGACCTCCTCCAAACCGTACGCTTCCACAGCCAAGACCTGTGGTGGCCACAGGAAACGGATTTAAACCATATGTCCCAAACAAACCCCAAGTACTGAGCCCTGAGGAAATATCTCCCAATGTAACAGGAAAATTTTCGCAAGATCGCGGCTCTCCTTACCAGCCACAACCGTCCCCTCGGTTGAGATCACCCACAAATGTAGCACCATCTCATGATACCCAGCCTCGCCAGCGTACTGGACGCTCGCCTGTACCTGCTGGACCACGCGAATCACCCAAGCCATACAAACCTTCTCCAGAGCCGAATTCTGTCCGACAGCCTACACAGTCCCCTATACCAGGATCACAGCCCCGCGACCTGCCTCCATACTCACAATCAGCACCTGAAAAACCAGTGAGCCGGCTGAATCAGGAAGCGAGTATTGATAGGTCCCGTAGACCTCGGGCAGACACAGCAGTGTCTGCTACACCATCTGCAGGTGATGCTGCACTGGAAGACTTCGCGGAACGTGTGACCCACATGCGCAGCATTTTCCGTCTTACAGCGGAGCTAGAACGAGCTTTATATGACCATAGTCCTACCACATATTCAAGAGCTGCAATATGGTGGTTCCTTAAAGGTCGTACGGGTCTGGAGGATATGATTCGCAACAGCCAGAGGGATGGACCTGCTCCACAAGAACGCCTCATGCAGCCGCACGTTGACTTGGCAAAAACTTGGTGGATAATCACAGATGTCATGGGATCACATCCTGCTTTGCGGAATTATCATGACATCTCACCGCAAGCTCAATCTAAAGCTGCGAGAGATGCGAGCGATAAAGCCGCAGCTGAAATTTTTGAGCTAATCGAGATGGTATCCACAAATCTTAAAGCTCTCGTATCGTCAATGAGCCGGAACGGCGTCATGCCACCACAACAAGCTCTCATACAAGGACAAGACCAGTCGATATGGATCAAATACCCAAAGTTTCACTCAGATGTCGCGCCTCTGCTTGTTGGGAAGAGTTCTCGTTCTTTGTTAGCTGAGGAGTCCTCATCCAATGCCAATCCCATGTCTACAATGCCTCTTAGTGATACACGAGACGAATTTTGCTATGGAAGGATGTTTGTACGCGTTTCTTTGTCCACAGACGACGCTGACACTGATCGGGTTGACTTGCCGTGTGTGCTGACAATTTTACGTCCGCGAGACGACTGGAGGCTCAAAGTCGCAATTTGCAGTCAAAGCGAGCTCGTAAATATCATAGTTCAAGGTGACAGAAAGGCTGGACCAACATGGGAAGATGTGCAATGGCGTACTAAAGCCCGAGGTCTGACTGTACATCTACCGCGAGGGTATGCTTTGAATGTCGATTTCCAAGAAAAAGACTTTAGGACTCTGTATAACATCTACGACTATACGGCAAGGATTGAACGTAGTCTTGCGCCTGAGCCTGAGATTGAGAAGATTAGCTACGAACTCACCCTGAGAGACTTCCAGTATACCAACACAGCCAATCCTCAAGCATTCCCACAGGATCGAGTAAGAAGATGCCGAGTCAAGATCTTCGAGAGACAGGATCATGTAGCTCACGGAACCGGCTTGCGACGATTTCATCGCGGATACCGTTTTGTTGTTTGTTCGAGTCCAAGAAACAAGACTTTGAACAGTGTTTGTCACACCCTCGGCATTTCAGCACCTGTTGATTTCGAATTCAGACAGGATTCCAACGGCCAGGATTCACTACCTGCACTGCAATTGCGCTGTATAGATGCTAAATCGAAGACCACCATGGTTCTCGGCTTCAACAACACGAAGGAGCGCAGTGCTCTATTCGCAGCATTGACTGGAATGAATCCTGATAAGGAAGAGACAGTGTTTGCTCAAATGCCGTTGCAAAGTCTCACAATTGAACCAACGGCCGTTAGTGGCGTGTCATCTTCTGTAGGCGCCGTCACAAAGAATTTTAAATGGACGGACGTAAAGGTTATCAATGCTGATCCTGAAGTTACCAACACGGACATACCCAAGACAGTGATGAGCGAGTACCTTCGAGTGGTTGCGCGTCATAACGCAGGTAGCTGGACGGACTGGATGAACCTTGCGCCTGGGCAGATGCAGATCCGTCTCGACACCACGAAAAGCCCAAGGTTACTTATGAAACGCGAACCTCAACTCGACGTAACGGCGTCGATTGACGCGAAACGAGCAGAGTCGAGTGCACCAGAGGCACTCAATCAGCTCGTTCAGGTAATCGAGAAAGCATCAACAATACGAGTCTTTGAGTTTCAAAATATGCAAGATCTCCACAATTTCGAATCGGCTGTTACCGGTTTCAGCATTCGCTTTGATGGCGTTGCCAGTACGGTACACATCGCACGTCGTCGAATGGTCGTGCCCATTTACAAAAAATGGGAGGCCAATCAGGTCCGCGTTCAGATTGTGGAGCGTGAAAACATGTGCCAGGTCGTCTTTTTTTTCGATAATTTTTCGCATGCCGAGGCCATGAATTTCCAGATCAAGCAAATGGATGTGTTCGAGAAGATTGATAAAGGCAAGGGTTTCAGCGGCGGTAGCAACTGGGGCTTGAAGCTCGCAGATGCCAAGTTCGCATTGCCTGGTGGGAAGGGCGAGGGGCGAGAAGGGAAAGGGGAGAAGAACAGGTTCTTGAGCTTGGATCTGCTTGAGTATGCAGGTGAACATGATGATATCACCATTGGGTTTGACTCACAGGAAGGTAAGTGCACTGTAATCTGGATATCGTTGCCAAATGCCCTAACAATATCCAGAGCGCGATCGTTTCTCGCGAGCCCTACCAGCGGCCACGCAGGTAGTCCGTTCAATGACCATGCGAAGGAAGATATAAACATTGGCCTCTCACACAGGCGTGCAAACGTGAACATCGGGTTCACTTCTCTACTATTGCAATTGGAGTGGAGCACGCAATTTATCAAGGATTACCCTTTCTCTACGACATCCCTCTATCAACATACTTTCACTTTGTCCACGCTTCGCACGGCTGGACTCCGCACGCACTTTTTGTTCTTTCTTAGTTTGTCAATGCGTTGCAGAGCAACCGTTACCACAATGAGGCGACTATTGCTCTATCAGTCTTTTTCGAGCGGACGGCGCTTTTCCCTTGCATGGCGTCTGGTTATTATCTGGGCTTGATTGGCTGTAAACTTTCCGATCAAGAGTGGAATCGAAGGTCATCGGGAATGAGATGAATTTTGGTACTGGATACGAAGTTTTATATCCCCATATGCATTAGGCCATAACAGTCTAACGCTTCCGAGCCATGATGGAGGGAGAGGTTAGGGAGACAGTTCACAGAACAGTTAACTCATAAATGAGATTTGAAACATGACAGGAATGGACCTGCGTATGTCATCATGTGTTGTGTCGTTCTTTCACGTGAGAAGACGAAGATAAGCGAAGACTTACAGATGAACGAGCGTCCGGAAGTCAGGATAAAGCAAGGACCCTGAAGATCATATCTAGGTAGCCCAGCTGGATAAAACTTCCGCCAGTTTCGGTCTACGCGCTTTTCACCATCTATATAACTCTCAAATTTCTTGATTTGGTTCTCGTGATTCTCTACAATCCACAGTGAAAAAAGCAACGTTGTGGCAATGATACGGTGGTGTCGAGCTGACTCATGTTCGTTTGCACGAGGGCGTCATCATTGTCACCCACAGCTCCGAGCTATGACCGAACCGATGAAAGCGCTGGAGGAACGCCACGGATACATATATCCGCAGATCGCCATGACGCTTTGGCGATTTAGGGCTACTGTGCTTTGTATTTCGTATCCAGCTATCTCTTACTTTTTCGTGACGAGTGGATCAAATCGCATCTGCTGCCATACAATAACAATTGGTCGTCATCCTCCTGGCCCCCTACTTTCCCTCGACCCTCTGTTTACCGTATCTACCCACGTTTGGTCTCCACTTTGAAAATTTGTGATGGCATCTTGTCATACCTTGAGTCACACCGCTTCAAGTATAATACCGACAGAAGCCTTCGGCTTGTGCTGAGGCGCGCGTATCTACCTTGTCGAACAGCAGAGCACCATGGCTAGCCATGAATTGGAGCTGACAAACAGTGGCTTTCTCGTGAATCCGACGAAGACGCGGCCGGTCGCAACTCGTGCTTCATCCTCTTCAAATAACTCACATTCTGCAACCTCGCGGGAGAAAGACCTGGAGAAGTTGGACCAACAAGATCGCACTGCTTTTCCGGATGACCTTGGCACGCCAAGTGAAAAGAATGACATCGAATATCATTATCTGGAATTTGATACTCCGTTGCCGGATCCCGATGACAGCGATAAACTTATGCGCGGATTATCCGCGCCTCCAGAGCCTCCGGACCTGAAAAGATTTGTGTCGCCGTACACCTGGCCGACTGCCCGGAAGCGCTTTATCATCATAGTATCGGTGATAGCCACTGGTGCAGCCGCGTTCTCTGCTGGATCATATGCTCCCGGTGTGGCTCAGATGTCACAAGAGTGGGGAATCAGTGAAGTCGCGGCTCTAGTTGGAATCACAATATTTACGTGTGGGTTTGGAGTTGCACCCATGGTTCTCGCACCCTTCTCCGAGATTAATGGACGCAAGCCCGTTTTCCTGGCTACAGGAGTACTCTTCATCGTATGCCAAGCATGCTGTGCGGCTACTCAGTCGTATGGCGGCATGTTGGCAGCAAGATTCCTCGTTGGAGTTGGAGGGAGCACGTTCAGTACTATGGTCGGAGGCATCGTTAGTGATATATACTCTGCCAAGGACAGAAATACACCTATGGCGCTGTTCTCCGGTGCCGCTCTTTTAGGGACTGGACTTGGACCGCTGACGTGTGGATATATAGCTGAGTATACCACATGGCGCTGGATCTTTGGCATGCAGGCCATTCTCGATGCTATCATTGTTGGCGTCGTTGCGGTGACGTTTCGAGAGACTCGTGGGAGTGTCCTCCTATCTCGAAGAGCTGCCCGACTCAACAAATACTATGAAGCACGCGAGGCCGCTGGCTATGACACCATGGCCATGGTTCTGGCGCCGGAGAAGCCAGAGGTCAAGACGCCGCGAAGAATTCGCTGGAAAGTCCGTGCTGATGAAGAGCGTGTGTCGCTCCTGCAGATGATCAAGATCTCACTCGTTCGCCCCTTTCACCTCCTTTTCACCGAGCCGGTAATATTCTGGTTCTCTCTCTGGGTATCCTTCTCATGGGCTATTCTATACTTAACACTCGCGGCGGTCCCGCTAGTCACTGAAACAACATACAACTTTTCACTTAGCCAGGCGAACAGCGTGTTTGCCGCCATGGTTATCGGCAGTATCATAGCCGCCGTCGGATCGATATACCAGGAGCAATGGTATGACGCCTGGGTCGCAAAGCAGGTCCACCTCAACAACGCCGACCCCTCCCGCAGTTCGAAGCAAAACGGAATAGCAAGATTCCTCACAAGTCAATCGAAGAGCCCCGAGCGGCGGCTGTTTTTCTGCTGCGCTGAGAGCCTCTTCATGGTCGTTGGCCTGTTCATGTTCGGATGGACTGCCATGCCGAACATACACTGGATCGCGCCCAGTATCGCCATTGCGTTTGCCACAATTGGTATATTCTCCATATATCTTGCCGTCTTCAACTATCTAGCAGACGCATATGTGCAGTATGCATCGAGCGCGTTGGCGGCGCAGAGTTTTTGCCGGAATCTGCTTGGCGGTGCGTTTCCACTCGTGACAAACCAGATGTATCGAAAGCTTGGATATGGGCCTGCGAGTAGTCTTCTAGGAGGTATTGGTTTAGCATTGACGGCTGTGCCGTGGGTGCTGGTAGCTTTTGGCCCGCGCATAAGGAGGCGAAGTAAATTCGCGAGTGCGTTGGCATAGGATTGGAGAGAGTGGCTTTTTTCTCGAAATATCAAGAGGCATTATGGACTATGTATAGAGTAGAAACTTGATGGTTTGGGATATGCAAACATATAGAAGGCAACATTAAGATGGCGATATCTAGATTCAAATTCCGGAGCTCGAATTTCAAGCCCAGATTTTGCCAAGGCCGCCACTAACCTTGGTATTCGCACCGCGTTACGAGCTGCTTCAAATCGGTGTAAGCACCGCATCTGATGGCCCCTATCTAGACGCGTACAACTCACCAGCAGTCAGACGAGAGTGACATTTTTCCATTGTATTACATCGCGACGTACTCACCCCACGATTTTGACTTGGACGAGCACATGCGGAGTCTTGTCGCGGCGCCAGGGCAATTTAGTTTATAGGCGATGCAGAGGAAGGCGTTCATATACATCCCGTTTGTAAACACTTGTTCCCTTGTTTTTTGTGAGCCGCGACATCAGCTCACCATCCTAGGATAGGCTGCGCTGCCTTCTTTATCTAGTTTTGGCCGCGTCCTACCCCAAGGCAATGCTGAGTACTCCTTGTGTTGCTGGGGCTGTGCTGACCACCCAGCACTGCAGAAGCCAATGAACAAGCATCGACAGTGATGCTACAATACTATCCGCAAGGATTCCAGATGAAACTTGTTAGTCTGTGGGGCCGTCCGCTAGAGTCGGCTACAGTGAACGCTTAGCATCAGCTTTGGACTATCTATCCATAATTCCAAGCCCACTTTAGCGCCCTTAAGAAAAGACCCTCCTTATAATACTGGCCCCATGCGATATGGATGATATGAACTGAATGAGCTAATACTCGGAATGCCGAGACATTTGCACTTCGTCAGATTGCGCGCCTCTCTCTCCACTTTCTCTTCCTCAAGGGCTATGTTTTTTGCTCTTCATGAATGAGCCAAACTGGCTCCCTAGCGCTCATGGAGAATGCATTGTCTCGAAACGCCATGGTTGCGCTGGTCGCATTTGTATTGTTCTCTGCGCGCTCTGTAATAGCAGCAGGTAGTCCGATTAATTTGCCTCCGAGCCAGTGGTGGTGGGTTTACAATCAAACGTGCTGGAAAATTGACAATCTAATGTCTCTTAGGGATGGTAACGATGGTCCATGGTCTACCTTCAGCATCCTCGTTGGAACGCCCGCCCAGAACGTTCGCGTCATTCCTGGCACCGGCCAATCGTCAACCTCGGTCGTCGATTCCGCATATTGTTATAATTCCGATGGCAGCGTCAAATACACAGATTGTCTGAAAGATCGTGGACTGATGTACACGGCGGGTGACTCGAGCACGTACGAGTCAAAGGGCATGTTCGATGTCAGCCTCTATTGGGAGAACAACCTGGGCATAGCTGCAAACGCTACGTATGGCTACGACACCATTACATTGGGCATTCAAGGCTCTGGCCTTCCAAGTCTGACTCATCAGCTCATAAGTGCTGTTCAGGTTCGCCAGTATTGGCTAGGGACGTTGGCGCTCAATCCTCGCCCTCTAAACTTTACCGATTTGAACAATCCGCAGGAGAGTTTACTTCAGGCTCTGCGCAAACTCGATGACCCAATTCCAAGTACAAGCTGGTCCTATACCGCGGGATCATACAATCACGAACCGAAAGCTTTTGGCAGTCTTGTCTTAGGTGGCTATGACACAACATACTTCACTCCCAATGACGTAACCTTTGATTTTTACCAAGACATTTCAACGGACACCATGGTTGCTGTACAATCCATCGGGTCTAATATAACAGATCAGTCGCTTCTAAGCTCAGGCATATTCGCTTATGTCGACACCTTGGTTCCTGAGATCTGGCTACCAACCGCGGCGTGTCAAGCCTTCGAAGATACGTTCGGGATAGAATGGGATGAAACGGCCAGTCTTTACAAGATCAATGATACGATTCATGATGATTTGCTACAAAAGAATCCGGTCGTCACTTTCAAGATTGGGCCTGGTCTGACAGGCGATGCAGTTAATATCGAGATGCCTTATACCAATCTCTATTTAACTGCCTCGTCGCCGAAGGTTCAGAACAGCACGCGATACTTTCCTCTGCGGCGAGCAGAAAGCGACAATCAGTATACACTAGGCCGCGCCTTTCTCCAAAGTGCGCATCTTTCAGTCGACTACGAACGCCAAATATTCAATATCTCACAAGCGTTGTACCCATCAAGCAACACACCACAAAACCTTGTCGCGATCCTCGAGCCGACTGTATTAACCGCAAATAGTACCGACGTTACTCAATCAGGACACGACAGACTAGCTACAGGTGCAATCGCCGGGATAGCAATCGGCGCAATCGCCGTAATCACGGTCGTGGTCATAATTTTCTTCTTTGTCTATCGTAGACACCGCCGTGCAAAGAACACCCCCTTCGACCCACGATACGACAAAGCCGAGTTAGACGCCATCGAACAAAATATTACCATCGGCCCAAACAAACAAGAGCTTGACGCCAGCAGCGATACCCCCCACGAAGTACTCGGTGGCACAGACTCCCAGGCTGAGCTTGACGCTGACGAGCGCTCCAAACGCCAGGAGGTTGATGGCGATGTTCCACGTCCAGTCTTTGAGATGGCGGCTGAGCCAGTGTCACTCCCGGAACTCGACACTCCGGACGCAAAGGATCCGGATGCAATATCAAGAATGAGACATGAGATGCCAACGTCGTCGAATGATCCGCATGCATCGGAAAAAAGTGCACTGGAGGCGCATCAGCCTGCGGAGCCTGTGCAGAGGCCTTCACCGAGGTATGAGGAGGTCCTGCTACCGCCGTCGGTTGGCTCCAGGACAATTTCGCCACAGGCGGTTGCAGAGCATATCAATCGGCGGCTGTCGCCAGACAAGAGAGGCCGAAATCCGTGAATGCCGTGATGTTTCTTGTTACAAGAAAAGTCAAAAGTATCTCGGCAATACGCGAGCTGGCTGTTGATAGCCCGCCGTGGAAGATTGAACTTTTACGTCCTTAAAAGTTACAAATACCCCCAAAGACTGAGAGAACGAAATGTGCAGCTACACTACTGCCGTTTGCCGTCTTCAAATGTGCAGCAAGACACCTTACTCCCATGCAAAGTCAGAAGCTCAACGCAGGTCGCCGTATCACCTTAGCCATGAGTCAGACGGTAAGAGGAATGGCAGAATGTGGCACTCCAATTTTAGCTAGGTTACCAGAGGCCAGAAAGCCTCCAGTCGTAGGACCGAGCGTATCATGTGGTGTGTTTGGGACGAAAAGTGTATACTCATCAAGGATTCATTTGAGCGTGAAAAGATAGAGTGATAGAAAATGACTTCTATACTATACTATTAAAGAAAGACAACCTAGATAGTACTACTATGTACATATTCGAGCTATCACTGTAGTAGTAAGACTATAGTAGTAAGACAGCGTGTAGTAATGCATCATGACATGGGTAAATATAACGTGATATAGAACATTGGTCTAGGGATACTCCGGAGTTAAGCCGAGCCATAAGAGATTATTTATATACTTATGGATAGGTCTATACCTAAGTACTTAGAAGCTATAATGAAGACTAAGGGCAATTAAACTATATAGTAATCACGATAGCTTCTATACAGGGCCCAAGGTAGGCTTAGATATGGGTATAAACATGTATATATACAAGAAGAACTATGTCATATAGACTATGGTTAAGACAGACACTCCGGGTGAACTCTACTAGAGTGACCCTAGACTAATGTTTCATTACTATGTATCTAGCTTTTCTTGAACTCTACTCTGATTATTATCTTGCCTGAAGTGTAAACGGTATGGTATGCATGTATAGGGGGTAGGTGATAAGGGTCTAGAGTTTTAAGGTGGGATCATATCTATCATAGAGATGGCACATGTATGGAGGAGTGATAGGTGGAAAGTATGCATTATCTGATAGCGTGATGTCTGTTTGACTCCGTTATGTATGTGTCTCCGTGTTAGTTGGGTAGGTATGCGTCGTAGTTGCCTGCCATGGATGCGTCTTTCCGTCCTCTCGTGCCCAAACTTGGTAGATAGCTATACATACATGAGGTGACACCAGTACAAGTACCTGGTCCATGTTACATATGACTTCTTATGACTGGCATAGTACACTATACGGTCCTGAAGGAAAACCTCTCAGATCCTTCTAACGCAATGATTATAATCTCTTACACCTAGGAATTCTTCTAAAATAATGTACTTATCTTTTGGTGAATCGTAAGACCAATTCATATGCAACTTTGAGCTAGTACTTCGAGTAATCGTATGGTTATTCCAGTACTTTTGCTAACTTCCGTTCATGTCTAACTACAGCCTTGGCGAGAAAGTGCAATGTACGGGGGAAGAGTGCGTGGAAGGTACGAGAGACATGTACGTACCCAAGTCGTTTCGTTCTCGCGAGACTTTCCTGACTACACCCACTACCGTTGAACAAGCACTCTCCCAACTATCCATCGGATTCAATTCCAATCCGTTCATTCTCGTGTCCAATATATTTCTATTTACAACCATGTTTCAATCACCCTTACCCGACTGGGTGCTCCTTCTCGAAGACTGGAAAGTCCCTCCATCCAAGCTCCCTCCTTTCCTATACTTCGTCAAGTTTCCCCATGCGCCTGACTACAACAAACGTACCCAATCTTACCACGCCCGCGAACACCAAAGTCCTTTCCACCTCAAGCCCCACAAAAACAGAATCGAGATGCTGAAAGCCGGTCGGGGTGGCTACAAGGACGGCAAGGGCATAGCAGTTGGCAACGCCATAGTCCCGTTGATTGTCTGTACATCCAAGAAAGCCGAGGCCGAGAGATTGGCCCGCGAGTACCAGCCCTGCCTCGGTGGGTTTCTGCAGTTCCATCATAAGCGGGACTGCTTTGTCGTTACTGTCGACACGGAAGAGCTCTGCAAGGACGAGTGTATTGTTGTGATGAAGCCGCAGCCCTTTATGAAGAATCATAGAATAGAGCCGCGGAAGAGGCCGAAGGTCAAGTACAGCTTTGGCGCTGATATGTTTTTTGTCGCGTCACATGTTCCAGCAAGTGCAGTCGTGCATACTCGCTTGATTCAGGAGAGGGCTGAACGTGAGTTGAAAAGCCTACATATTTTCTGAGGGTGACTTGGGCTGATTCTGCTATATTGAAGATCTCAAAGTCTGTCATGCGAAAGTGCCTGAGATGCTTAAAGACTGTACGGTTATGTGACTGACGAGTTGCGAGAGAGAGAGAGAGAGAGCGAACAGGGAATGAGGGTGTTTGTTATCCTATTACGTCGGCTAGCAGGGACTCTAGTTTTGAAGAGTCAACTGCCCCTCTGTAAGGAGTACGCTGAGACAATGCTTGAGGATGAATACTACACTCACTCTATCAAGTCGTTCTTTACAGCTAGAACACGAGTACGTTTTAATAGAAAGTATTAGGATAGATGACCATTACTGTTATCCCCCTAATATGCCTGACCATATGCCTTGATTGAGGGTGCTAATCTATGGCTTACATAGAGGCATTATTCATATTGAATCCTTCGGCTAGTCCGACTGAACGCCTTTGCTCATAATCCCAAGGTTCCTATTGAAATATTCCCATGCCGTACCGTAAAAGGTACTTTTGAGAACGCCAAGAATGCAATTTTGACCCATTTCCGCTAGGTACATCAGTGGTCATCGTCGGTTGAGTTAAGAATTCAAACCAAAGATTACCTAAAAACGTTCATTCAATTAAACTTGCCATTATCGTCCAGTAGTGAGAGAAAATGCAGGAGTTAACGTTAACATCATAAGATCGCTCGCTAAATGAGGGCTTGATAGAGCTGTTCAAAAAAGGTTTTCATCAAACTCTTTACATGCTTGGTGGGTTAGAAGTTTGGTTCGGGCCGGTCTGATTCATTGATAAGCCAGTTTGAGGTGGTTGAAAGGGACTTCTGTGAGAACGTCAGCGGTCGTGGGAGGACTGAACGAAATCTTCACTTACAGATTTAGGATTTGCATCCTTGGATGTCTACCATTGCCTACGTTCTCTGTTGGTAGCCCTTGTCCTTGTAGTATAGTGACCGCGGTTTGTAATTCTCGAATTCGAGCGTCGAGCTGTTGCAAAAATTTATCAACACGTTGCTGGTAAAGACGGTCCATCTTTATTTTTTCCGCAAATTTGTTGTTTATCGTGCTTATGATGACGTTGTGTAGAGACGACGAGTCGATGTGGTTCAGGCGATACTCATGGTTTCTGACCTGTTCAAAATACGCAGTGACATCGTTGAGGATTTTCTTGTTTTCCTCCATCTTGACAATAGGAAGACTAGCGGCAAACTCTCGAATCTTCTGTTCCACAACTTGCGTATCCACACCAGGTTGGTCCAACATCTGTCGTGATTCCTTCATGCGATCCACCTCATTTTTCACGAGGTCGATCTTCTCCCCCAGGTCGTTGAGCTTGGTAGCCGTTCTTCTTGCACTAATTTGTTCGTCTTGGGTCGTCTTCAAGGTTTCAGATATTGCATTGATGTCGCCTTGGCATGAGCCAAGCCTCTCTTGTATCGACACTGTATCCGCCTGCAACGTGTCGATAATTTTAAAGTATTCCTCCAGAGCTGATCGCATGTCTCGACTATTCTCTGCAAATATCGTATCCATAGCTCCGCTGACTACATCAATAGTTTTGTTTACGAGCTCGTCTGGGTTCACGGGCATCCTTCCAGCCTCTTCATTCGAGCTGCCTGCAAGTAGTTTATCATAATGCAGATCTGTAAGGACGTCCTTAATCTTGGACTCTAAAGTTGCAGTGTTACCCTCAAGCTCTGAGCCTAGTTTAGCCTCCACGTGACTGATTTTAGCCCCTTGAGAGGTGACTAAACCCTTTAGTTTCTGGAAGTCGTTTCGTATTTCCTCATGATGTTCCTTGACGTGCTTCTCAGCATCGTTTGTCTGCTTCTTTATCTGGTTGGTTTCCTTCTTAAGATCCAGAAGTTCATTTAACATCTTCTTACGGGCCTCAGACGAAACCTTTAATTCTTCGGATACGATAGACCGTGTTTGTTCGTCGAGTTTCTTAATCCTTCTTTCAATATCAGACATTCTTTTGCTCGTCTCGAAAATTTCTTTAGTTGCTCCTTTGACAGTATCGTCAAGTCGACGGACGGTCTTCCCGTTCTCAGACAAAGTCTGATCGAAGGCTTCAACAGTCTTCGTCATGCTACGCTCGCATTCTTGGAACTTCTGATGACTTACTTCCTCGACCTTCGTCAGCATTTTCTGACTAGAGGCTTCGGATTCTTCCATTCTTGTCAAGATATTCTTGCTAGACACATTAAGCGAGGCGAAGTCTTCTTTAAGTGCTTTTATCTCACTACGAGCCTTCATGAGACTAGCTGCGTCTTTTTCGCGTTCGTCTTTCATCTCATCTAGAGCTCTTATCGCGGCAACATGTTGTTCAAACAGTTCCCGGTTTGCGTCTTTTGACTCTGCATTCTGCTTCATCAGCTCGTCATACTTCTTGTCCAATTGGGTGACTTTGTCATTCAAGCATTTTAGATCTGCAGCTTTGAGTTCATGTTGGTCGAAGTCTCGACGTACGTCCGCGAGAATCTCCTGGTGCAAGGCCTTTGTGTCCAGCAGGTCGATACTTTTAGTCCTGCTGACTTCTGCGGCTCGATTCGAAGGCCGGAGAAATTGTTCAAGCGTGGGGTGCTCCTGCATCTTCTTTTCCCAATGATCTAAAGTTTTCTTCTTGCTCCCAAGCTTACGGTAGGCTTTCTTCTCAGTCTCCTCTTTAGTCATCAGGAGTTGAGGATAACTCTTGTGACGCTCCCTAGAGGTTTGCAATTCCACCTTTGCCCTCTTATGCTCTTCTAGAGCATCATCATATTCAATAGATGCTTTTGTTGCTGCTTGAAAGACTTGTAGAAAAGCCAGATCGTCAGTCAGCTTTGCGGTTGCTACCACAGGGCCTTTTTGATTGTTTCGTGGGGCTGGCAGATCGTAGGAGGCTAGCACCGGCTGAGGAGGTGATGTGACTTTCGACTGAAAGTTTTGTGGAGACGCTGCCGCTTCTCGTTGTGTTTGAGGTTGTGCAGCTCGGGCTTGAGGTTCAGGTCCTTCTTGGGCTTCTTGTTGCGCGTCTCCCAGTCTTTGTGTTGGGCGATTGGAAGCGATTTCAGGCCTATATGGAGACCCAATTCCTTGTGTGTTCTATCGATAACTCGATTAGCCCTTCTAAAATTTGACATGACGTAGGCTCCTACCACAGTTCTAGGCATCTTGTTTGGGTGATCAGAGTGCGGAGGGCTGCGTATCCGGCGCTTTGCGCTGCCTTGACCGCTCATTGTAACTCGTCGTTCCTTGTAGCTGTTGAGACGGACAGCTTCGTCGATTATGGGATGAGTAGCACCCGGACCTGCGAAATTCTGTGATAGACGACCATGTACCACAACATATATTGTGGTGACACGCGCTGGTTATGGATCTGCTTCAGACGGAACAATTGCACCAACAAGAAGCTTTGAGCCAGGTCGTCATTTGGTTTTTGGAGGAGGCAGCTTGTGCTTCGATTGAGCTCAAAGGCAGATTTGACTTAACCTCTGTCCAAATTCCAGACGTAGACAAGACCGTGATACCACTGTTGCTCAGGAAATTGGCTCGGTTGAACAGCGCAATGTCCTCGCGTATAAGGAAATATAATATTTATCGTGAGCAAGGATGAGCAGGGTAGAGCACGTTGAACGAATATAAGTTCAAGACGCGAAGCACTGGCTACTAAAGTAAACATAAGCTCACGCGGGCATAGCAACGCGTTGTGGTGTGGACAATCGACGTGAAAAGTGAAAATAGAAGAAAGCCAAGTGAATCAAAGCAGCATGTGTAAGTGGCAAAAGAAACATTCAAACCAATCAAACAAACAAGCTTCGCGCTACGCTTGGGCCCGGCTGAAGTACAGTATCTAGTGCACGGTGCACTCTTGCACCTGCCTTGCTCACTCGATTCTCGACTTGTTGGATTCAGACGTGCATATAATGAGACTTAAAAGTTCAGCTGTGATGGTCCGTGCGCGGTTCAGTTGAAAAACTAGAACTTCCAGCTCCACGTGATATGGTTCTGACCCTAACCCTATCTCATTATCCCCTGTCGGCGCGGCACTAAAATATATGGCTCTAGGTGCAGCGTCTATGTCATGTATCTTTGGAATTTATCTAGTACGTGCGAGCATCGAGAAGAAAGGTATTATGTAGGTTAAGATGTTGATCACTCTGCTCGTTCTTAGCACCCTTACCAGCAAATTCACAATGCTGTGGCCCAAAGAGTCAAATTCTATCATCCCATGTACTTTCCTTATATTGTGTGCTCATACCCGTCGTGGACGACCACGATATTTCCGGTTGCTTTTGAAATAGTTGGCATATATCATGCCGTTCTTTACGAAGCTATCTCGGGACCTTACAAACCACGTCTCCTTGGTCTCTCTGTACATTCGGCAATTTTGCACTCGCGACATGATGACCAACACCTCGTAAGAGAGGCTACATGGGCCCGTGGAACACATCAAAGATGCTGGATCCGGGAACCTTATAGGCTTTTGTGGTAAGTAACATCAGGATCTTAGACCAACGGCCCTTTGCGAATGATTATCATGCTTTATGGCAGTTAGAAAGAATTATAAAACTCCTTACTAATGAATCAGTACCTACTAGCCAGCTTCTCGTTATTTTAGGAGACAGTTATTATATGTAAGCTAAGGTGCTAGTCAAGATTGATACAATATATATAAACATCACGATGGTGCGTTTTAAACTAACGAGATTGAGCAAGCTAAGAGCAGATGCGCCATCTTTGACTCTGTGATCTCATGCTCTGCAGCTCTTCATTCATAGTCAAGACTCGTCGGTCATAATATGACTCAGGACCAAAGATACCAATACATACATGTTTCAACAATGCACTATCTAATTCCATGCAAGTAGTTGTTTCTTACAAGAACGCCACCCAGCTATACGGAGTTGTAGCCTGCGCTTACATACCACGCCAAAACTAGGCAAGATATAGATCCAATAGAGTTTATCTTCTATTGATTAAAACAATCGAACCTCCAGAATTAGTATTACTTATCCTTTTATGTATTCTACTTAGGTTTAAGTTTACCATTAAGCTAGTAGAGTTGGATTCAATCATGAAGGCTTACAGATTGTCTATATAACCCATACAGCTAAGTAATTGGAATAATAGCTATAAGTAAGCGAAGACCCTTAATTGAGGTTATGATTATTTTAGTAAGCGCCCGATCCTCCCTGATTAGTATTACTTAGTAGTGGCTCAAAGAAGTCCAATTGCGCTTGCTTCGAGAAGAATTATAGAATCCCATCTCTGGTGTCCACCTAAAGACCGGATCTAGGGACATTCATCGCATCTTCATTCTTCACCATGTCCACAATTCCTCTCACAATAAACTGTCTCTGCGCCCTTCACACCTTTAGCACCTTAATCTCCCCCAGTAGCCTCCCTCTTCGCGCCACAGCCTGCCACTGTACATCATGCCGTCACGCAACCGGTGCCCTCTACACCAGCGACATCAACTGGCCACTCCCAGCCTCCCAAACCCCAAACATCACCGCGCTCTCAAGCTACGCGCTGTTCCCCACAATCAACATTCTATTCTGTGCAACCTGCTCGTCCCCATTGTTCTTCCACAAGCCCGCGTCAGACTGGCTCGGCGCATTCACTGGCCAGCTGCGCAACGACCCGGACCTCGTACGTCTTGAAGACAATATTTTCGTCACAGATACCCGTGATGGCGGCGCGAGTGCTTGGCTTGGGAAATGTAATGCTGATGGGACAGTGGCGAGGCGGTGGAAGGGGCATATTGGCGGCGAGATGGTGCCGAATGACTGGCCTGGAGTGGCGGCACTCAAGGGCTCGTACGAGCGAAACGATGTGCGGGAGCTGAGTGCGCGATGCCATTGTGGTGGTGTAGCGTTTACGATGGCGCAAGGGGAGTATGAAGGTACAGCGAGGGAAGCGTTGCCTTTCTTTGTAGACCCTGTGAGTAAGAAAAACTTGGGTGGGTTTGATGCTTGTGATACATGTCGGCAGAGCAGTGGAGTGGAGGTGTTCAATTGGACGTTCTCGGAATTGTCGTATTTGAGATGTGCGGATGGTAATCCTGTGGCGAAGGACGTATTTAGTCTGAAAGACGCGGTAGATGGGAAGGACGCACGGTTGGGGACGCTGGCATATTTTGCGAGTTCTAAGGGCGTACAGCGGTATTTCTGCTCAAGATGCTCTGCGTGTGTGTTCTATGCCGTTGAAGATAGACCAGTTCTGGTAGATGTGGCGATCGGCCTGCTAGATGCGCCGGATGGGGCGAGAGGAGACAATTTCTTGGCATGGGCGTTTGGCAAGATTGGGCAGATACAAGATGGACAGGGGGGTTGGCGAGAAGGGTTCCTGAAGAAGTCAGAAGAGGAGTGTGATGCGTGGAGAGAAGAGATAGGATATCCAAAAAATTGGAGAAGAGTGGAACGGGAGGCGGCCGAGAAGAGGGGTGAGAAGTACTACTGAGATGTTTCTGTACGTCTGGAAAGTGCAAATTAAACAGTACTTATCATGTGCTATGGGCATGCCGTGAAATGCAAACTAGAGAAACGTAATATACAGCGCAGCCTGGCCTCAGCCGGCGAAGAATAGAAGCCCTGCCATGCAGGTAGAAGATTGCAATCTGAAGTCTGAAATCAAATGCCGAGAAGAACCACCATACCAAAACACCTGTCATAATCAAAACTGAAGAACGAAGGCGGCAGCGTATGTTCAGCTGAAATATCCACTTCCCCAGAACTTGCTCTTCGCAGGACCTACGGCGGAGATCGTTTTGTAAAAGATGTTGAAGCACTCCAAGTCCATGTAAGTAGGCTCAAAACTGGTATCCCAATGTTTGCTGGCGTGTTCGAAGGCCTCCTGCGGCGTCCTTCCACCCTTTGGGAAGCCAGGGGTCGTAATTGCCAGGAACATGCCCTGCATTTCGTACAGATCCACGTTGTCTTCGACTGTGTCACACATTGACTTCCATGCCAAGTCAAGACACTCATCCCAAGGGTTTATTGACGCAAGGGTAAACTCTGATGGCCATTCCACCTCCAAGGGTTGACTGAAAGGTTCAGGCCAAGTCTTTGGGTTCTTTTCATGAAGCCGTTTGCCGGCAGCCACGCTGTCGTGTTTCATGGCATTGTACTGCTTGGGTACACGTGGAATACCGCGTTTGCCATCCCAGCCCTGTCGCCACGCCTGCTCGAACGCAGGTCTCACGACGAGATCGTGCCATTTCCTGAGGAATTCGTCGTCGGTACGTATATCGCGGTCAGCGTGTGGGAAGATGACGTAGACTTTGGCGCGTGTAAGGGTGCTTGATCCAATGTACAGAGCCCTCTTCTTCAGACCACCATCCTTCTCTTTTGCCGGTTCGTGGTAGAGGGTTTTGTGTAGTCGCTCACTCTCCTCAGGAGACAGTTTCGGGGCAGCCCATGACGTGCAGAACCATCGAAGATCTTTGATAGCGGCAAGACTTTCAATTCGAGCACAGGCACCGTCGACCACATGAGTGGATCTCGCCACTGAGAAGAAGTCTCCAAATCTTATCGGCTCGTTGGTAGACATTGCTAATGTTGTAGAGTTGAGACGTTTGTTATGCGGGGAGGCAGTTTGAAAGAAAGTCTACAATTGCTCGCCTGAAGCTGCTGTGATATATGATGTATGGTGTAGACGTATTTGCTGTTCAGGTCTTATGATTCAGTATATCGACTGACGTCTCAGATATGCTTGTGAAGGTAGTTTTGTTGATCGTTGCGCCGTGATCCAATGCTAAAAGAGTGACTGAAAGACAAAAAACGAGTGCTTGACGAAAATGACTGGACAAAGCAAGGAACAGCAAGGGATAGCAGTGAGAAAAGGATGCGAAATAGGAGATTACCCTCATATAACGACAGCTGTTGATCTCACCGGATCCCCTCAGTGCGATCGGCCCGTGTGCTGCATTGCATCTGCATGATGGTCTGGTAAGATAGAACAACCTGTGTCAAGCCACTCTTGTTTACCATTCAGCATTTCGCCCTCAAACCTGAGCTCAGGATCCTATGAGTGACCATATATCACCGACTTTCAGTGACTGTTATTATATCGTTCTGATCAAGAGACTTCTCAGAGCATCGCTGAGATGTGTTCGAAACTTGGGATGCAAGTTGACACGTCTGTATGTCCGTGCCAAGAGATGAAAGCGGCGGCGAAAGGAGATGTACTGCATCTATGCATATTGCCGGTTCTTTCCGTGAAGAAGCGCCTCCAATTGACCAGGTCCGCCGTAAGTAGCGGACAAGCTGACAGATTGATCAATGGCTGTAATTCATATAGATATGGCATATAACGACACTTCTCATATCACGGCCTTCTTCTTGGGTTCCATCGCAGTGAAAACAAAGCAACAAACTGTCGTCCAAATTGTAGCTTGTATGACAAGTGAGGTTGTCAAAATCTCCGAAGTGACATGTCAGATGAGTGTCAGCCCCTGAGGAGAGGTACAAATGAAGTAATTTGATAGTGAAGGAGATGGCAGCAATCTTAGTCTATGATCGTGAGATGATACAGGCGAAATACAGGGTCACAAGGCAAAGGAGGTAGCTATCAATGCATGAGTCGAGATGCCAAACGATTACCCCATAAGCGAGCGACATGGTGTCGATCGGGATCAACAAACAGATGAATGTAGTGGTGTTGAAAAGCTGGGAAGTGAGGGGCCTGGGAACTTTGACAGGGAGCTGGCACACTACATTGGGGCAAGCTGGGGGGCAGAGTTCGGGGAAGGACAGCCCAATTTAGGCCAGGGGAAGGCCTAAAAGGGCCCCTGTTGGTATAGATTTGGGTGGTACTGGGTCATGGACCGGGCCTGTGGGCGCCCACCCCGCCCCACCCCGGGGCCTGCAGCCGCCGATCCAAAGAAAAAGGCGCCCGGTCCAGCCTCCAGCCCGCCCATCCGATCCCGATTCATGCCTGTTCCTGTCACCTGAACTGTCAGTGTCAGTGTGTCAGTGTCAGCGTCGGTGTCTTCTGCATTCAACCAATCGATCTGCTTCACCGCTTTCTATCCAGCAGATCGATTGAGCGTGCGATCGGACACCATGAACGTACCTAAACCAAGACACAGCCACGACGAGAGTGCAGTGGACTCTGGCCTGCACCCAGCCCCGGTCTACACTTACATCCACGCTGCTCGTCATCTCCAAAGGGCGAAGCACGAGCTGAAACTGCGTGTCGTTGCAGCGTGCTGTGTTGTCACCACACGGAACCTCCCCACCACCTCTTCCTGCACGCTACTGACCCAATCGCGATGCAGCCGCTGTGTAGAATGACAATCAGCTAGGCTGCCTCAGTCTCACTAGACGTTGCTTCTTCCTTCGCTTGCGACACTACGTCACAAGATCTCGTTCACGACTTTCCACCTCGATCCTCGTCTGCCGACTCACCACCATTACGCTCCTCCCAAAGTCGACGACGTCTAGATGTGCCTGTAGAATTCAATGAGCGTCGTCAGCATAAGCACCCTTCAGGATGCTCTTCCCGAACCGGGACCCTCGCTGTCCGTTCTGATCGCATCGCTTGCCGATGCCTTCGCATGCGCCGCGGACCTTTACAGAGCCCTAAGAGAAAGGGAAGAGGGAGGCTGGAAAGAGATTGAGCGCATCAAAAGGCTTCCTCATCGTGAAGAGCGTGTGATAGAGCGAATCGAAATTCGTCCTCTGGACGGAGCTGGGAGAGAAAAGCGGGACAGCGCTTTGGGGGATGCTGATGAAGAATCAATCCACGAGAGTGCTGTCCTTGTACGGAAGGAATTGGATCATGGCACGCGCGAGGTTGGACAACAGTATGCCGTAGGAGATGGTGTGTTTTATCGTCAGTGTGTGAACGGGGGTGCTAATCACACGTCCAGCACAAGCCCATACGCAGATTCAGGCTGAGATCATCGCGCTACAACAGATAACCATAGATATATACGCCAACTTTTTCGGGCGGTATGGCAAGGAGCGTCCGATTGCACAACACATAGCCATGTTAATGTCGAGAGTACGAAATACTCGCATGCGCGCCGTCGAAGCACTTACAAACCAGTACCACCGCATGTACATTCCTCCACCTCAAATACCCGCGCCAGTCATACATACTAGAGATCTATCACCCGTGTTGGATCCACCAAGGCTACATGCATCATCGTTGCGAAGTGCATCCGAAGATACGCAGATAGTCCAGGTGCAAAGGCAGAGAAGCGTGCGCGGCCAGGTAATGCGTAAGGAGTCAGACATGATAACTACGATGTCCGGACCGACATCGATCATATCGAATGTGAATCGCCACAATCTCTTTTGTCTTTATGCGATCGACCTACAAGACCACAAATCACAACCATTGGCTGATGCCTTCTTCCCAGAGGGCGACGGCCGCTGTCCCTACTGCTCTCTATACATTCGTAGCAGCGCTGGAAAGTCATGGGAGGTATTCAAGGACTCAGATGTACGCGGCAAGGAGAGGAAGTTTCACATTGATAGCCGATTTGTGGTCAAGAGTCACAGAGAAGGCGGCGGATTTGCTTGTGTACTATGCAGCCAACGGCGCGAGGCGGACACTGTAACAGAGGATATCTTATCGTTGATTGATCATGTATGGGTTGACCATACGGCTGAAGAGTACGCGAAGGAGATCGACATCAAGGAGGTCGTATAAGTTAGGCTCAGAGCAAGCAATCAATTACTTCACTCCACAGGTCTCTCTGGTATACTGTCCTAATAGGCTTCTTTCACAAGTGGTAGGTCACGTATGAGCGATCAATCTCGTATTACTCTTGTTCTTCATTATCTCTGCATCGTACTTGTCACGCACTCTAAACAGCACCGCTCGTCCCCGAGAACCGAACACGTATCACATACATGCCGTCCGCATGACCGGCACGCGAACGTTCCCCCAGACGCCATATCGATGTCCATCTCCATCATTTCCTCCACGACCAAAGCCTGATCGCAGTCCTCGCAATGTTGCTGCTGCCCGAAGCTCACTGTGTGCATTGAAGCCAACCTCGGGGCCTCTTTTGGTAGTGCCCAGAAACTATGAAGAGTAGATTTCTGTGCAGCATTGCTGAGGCGTGGTTGGAGTTGTGGCTGGGAGACGACGGGCGCAGCATCCGGGAGATGTTTTTGCGCGTCGAAGAGTTTGCTTATTGTTGTTTCTACATATATTGTTAGATGCTGCTTCTTATGATTGTCTTGGATATCAGAGGCTAGACATACCATGCACTATTTCCTGCTTCGGTCTGTTGTCTCTATGTCGCTTCCGCGTCCGGCTTCCCAAATCGGAGGCGCTGATCCGTGATGTGTGTTGCGACGCTCCCCATTGTGCAAACGGCAAGCTTCGGATCGGTTGGTCTATGTCCATGGCGAAAGGATTTGAGAAGCGCGGGAGAGGGGAGGGACTTTGTGAGGTGCGTGTCGAGTCTGTTGCGCGGCTGGAGACGGAGGAAGTAGGTGAGATTTCGAGGGATGAGCATTTGCGTTTGAGACCCATTCTTGATGATTGCGATGTATGAATAGATATATAAATAGATAGATTTATGTATACATGTATAGTCGATCAGTATGCTGGAAAGGATTCTGGAGTACTTATGTGTGCTTGTCTTGGGGTTTCTGGAGTGGTTGGGAAGATCCATCGTACTTCAGCCATGACGCGAGCGCGTGGTGGAGACGCGTCGGCGCGCTAGCGCGTAAGTGTATATATCTACCTTGCACTAGAAAACTCAGAACCGACATCAAAACATAGTGGGATCGAAGATACGGTGGCTCTTGATGCTATTAGTCTCAAACCTGTACTTAAAAGGATAACTGTGGCAGGCGTCTTCAGAGAAAGGTCTCATTAAAAAAGTCCTACTCCAAGAACCCTCATTTTTAAACTACAATTGCCATGATTGGGCCTTGATGAATTCTTCCAATGGCGTCGTCTGGATATTCAGCTCCGTCGCAGTACTGACATTCCCCATCCCGAACTCAGTGACATACTTCACCATCTCCATAAGTTCTTCTCTGATCTCCTCCGGCACCAATGCGGCATACTCGGCCTCAGAAATGATCTTGGAAGCAGCTGGTAGTCCCAAGGTTCTACTCCATAGCGCTGCGTAGTCTTCCTGGCTGATGATAGCAGTGGCAGGAATAACGTCAGTGCCAGCTGGATGACCTAGGACCAAGGCCTTGACGAAAGCTCCAGCGTCCTGAGTGACCCATAATTCTGGATGCGCGGTATGATCACCTGGGATATCTGGGAAGAGGAAAGAGTACGAGCCGTCTTTCTCCTTTTGTGGCGCAAGAGCAGGGATGTCAGACCAGTTCTCGAGGTAATTGCTCATCATAACTGTACTCATCCGCTGAGCGAGCTGTGGAAGCTTGCTGAGGATGTAGCTTTTTACGTTCGCTTTCGAATCGAATTCGTACACATGCGTGTATTTTCCACCACTGGTTGTCGTCACAGCCGGCAGCGTCGAGAAGACGTATCTTTCCAAAGTCGAAAGGACCTCAGGATGCGAGGCTGCTTTTGCGGCATTGACACCTTGAATCTCCTCCAATATGCCAGCATATGCCTTGACGCTCTTTCCGAGCTCTTTGGCCTTCTTCAGCCCTTCGTCTGAGGAGGCTCGATAGGTATTGGCAACGTAGTCGGTAACAGCGAAGATAGCATTCGAGCCCTTGAAAGCAGACTGCAGAGACGCTACATCATCGAGCTCGGCACGAACAACTTCGACGCCTCTCGCGGACCAAGCTTTTGCCTTTTCAGATTCGGGGTCCCGTGTGATTCCGCGGACTTGCCAACGATTCTCTTTCAAGAAGTGGTTAGCTACGGAGGAGCCCTATATGTATGTGAGTTTAACACGTTCTAAATGTTTCTGTTCTGCTGGCTGACCTGTTTGCCCGTGAGTCCAAGGACAGTAACGATCTTCTTGGACATTCTGCTGATTGGTTGTATCGATGCTTGTTACAAGATCTGAGAAGTTCCTAAAGTATTGCGGCTATTGTCTTTTCCATTCTTAGTAGACAACACGTTCTTATATACAGTGTCCATATTCTCTTCTTGGCATCGCCAAGCTGCCTTGCTTGCCAGTGTACGGACGATGCCATCTTCTGGCAAGAAGAAGATTTGGCCGGAATTACATGTACCTCAACAGACCGGACCCATAGGTACAGTACATAATCTCGTGGCATTTATCAGTGAAACGTAACCCAGTTACTGAGCAGTGAATTGGTAATGACTGTGGATTGGTAATGATCGTGTATCATCCCGTTCGCCGAGAGCTTCTATACCTGATCCGGATTGGGGGTGAAAAGGCTGATCAGCGTGCGTAAGAAGAGTCAATGCGTCCTACCAAGAAACCTTTCATACATTCATGATCTTAGATCCGACTGAGATCATAGGGACGCTGGCCAAGGGGTTCTAGCTAATATCTCGTAGGGTCGTATAATAGCATATATCCTGAGCCGCATCGAAATCAATAGACAATTGCTGAAGAGCTCACGCACTTCGACATTCTCATCCTCTGTTCTCTGAGATCGTTCATATACTCTACAAGCCCGTTGATTAAAACACCATTCGTATCAACAGTCGTCATTGCGTAACACATGATCATAAGCACAAGGACTATCAGTGAAATGCCTACATAATTCCATGTTCGAATGCTAACGCCTTATGCTCAGATCTACGTGAAGATTACAAAGCACCAAGTCTAACGCCTGCCAAGTAGCCCGCAAAATACCAAGTCCTACACCTCGAACAGATACTGCTTTCATCTAGCTTGAACGTCTCTTCAAGAAGCTCATAGAGCAGGAACATCCATGTATACCACAATGCAGTCCCTAAGTGGAACGTAAAGCTGCAATGTAAGGATTTCCAGCGCCACCAGGGTAGACTCGCTGAGCATCAGTTTATAACGCCTTCCACGTCCTGATCAAGTCCCAACGCCTCCAAAGTATTAAGTGAAAGAATGAAAAACTACATCAGTGTAATAGGCTTGCTCGGTAGATGTCCGACGAACCAGCTGAGAGACTTCTCTCTACAGTAGCAATAGATCAGTCTCTGAATTGGGTCTGATCTTTCTCATGTTTGTCTTCGCCACCTGATGCAGACGGATGGGAAATCTACCGCAATTCGCTCTGTCACACTGGCAGTTGTGGCCGTAGAGACAGGCCGGGTCTCTGCAACGAAGGCCAGCCCTGCAAGGTCGGAGTCGTATCTTGTGCCTGATGGCAATAATCTCAGTATCTGTGGGCATTTCATGCAGATATTCGCATGGATTTGGTCCTTTCCAGCATCCGTTATTGAATATATAGTCGTTGCATCGTCTTCTGTGGTGTGAAGAGTTCCGTCGTTCCAGTCTAGCGTATGTAGCCGGACATGCTTTGGGAAGATGCATGTCAATGCGTTGACCGAATCCGTTCACAACGATGCATCCGGGCTCAAAGACATCGAGTATTCCTGCCTGGTCAGCAATAGCTTCGCTACCTGACATTGACTCCGTACTGTCTACAAGAGCCTCATGTGGCCTGTCAATAGCGCCTTCTGACTTCGATGTACCAGACGTTTCTCCCTCGCTGGCAGTAGGACGACCACTAGGTGTCGACTTAACATCCGCGAACAGCCTCAATGGTTTATTCGGCTCTTTATATGGCTTGTCCAGGGAGCTGTATAGTACCAGTGGCTTCAGAGGGATCAGATGTCCACTCCAAAACAACGACGGAAATTCAGTAGTTGGCAATTCAAGCATTCGATATTTTTCGCCGATGCGAAAACCAGCCAACAAGGTGAGCTTCTCGCGCATTCCCTCCTCATGTAGCAGAGCATTCAGCATGCGAACATAGCCATTGTCATGGCACGCGCCAAAGACGATATGCTTGGTCGTTGGATTTGCCATATGGTGGTCGAGAAGTCCTACTCGTGTTAGTGATGGGACTCAACGATAGGCTCACTGTAAATTACCTCGGATCCGGAAGTCCACTTGCTCCCTCCCGTGACCAACGTCAATGAAATCTACCAGTGCGTTTGTCTGATTGAAACCGCGGGCAAAGTCTTCCAGATTCGCAGACGCTTCGGTCAACCCTACACGTGCTATTGTGTGTTTCAGCCCCTGAAGGTTGGCATACAGCTTGATGACGAAAGGGAGACCTGCGATCTCGGCGTGCTCTTTCTCGAAATAGTGACGCAGGTGTGTCTGCAGGGCACTAGCTGCCTCAAGTCCGCCTACAGTACCTTTGACGAGATACTTGCTGTCAAACTGCGAGGTTTAAGTGTTAATGAGAGCGAGAAACATAATGATCTGACACGACTCACAATATATTCATCCGCGTCAGCGTCAATCAGCACCAGGATAGAAGAACCAGCATGCTGTAGACCTGTTTAGCAGCATCACGAAACCCGGATCGGGGCAATGCGTACCACATCTCGCTGGAGCTTTTCCAAGTCTTCAGTAGCCTTATGATTGAGCTCGCGCGTGTCAATGCTGCTCGAGCCAGGATCTCTCGTCGCATCGCTGAGCTCCCCCATGACTTCGAGACACATCTTCATCAGATCCTAGATCATGTTAGATCACTCAGTGGACTTACGACAGGGTAACGCCAGTACACATACATGAAGGCAGTTAGACCTCGCTGCATCTTGAGCCTCGAACTCTTCGAATTGCCGCTTGAGTTGGTCCATTATGGCTATGGCAACAACGAGAATCCGCAGGATTAGAACCAAGAGAGATCTCAGGAAATTTATGAGTTGAAGGAGGAAAGCCACTTACAGACTGCTTTATAGAGAATGTCTTCCGAAGGTCACTAGCGAAAGCCACCCCTGACTCAAGCAAGGAGTCCGTAAAAGGCAGTGGAACACGAATTGTTACTGCTGCGGTAAAGTGAACAGCCAAGTAAAAAGACACTACAACAAATTCGAGCAGGACTGTCACCCATTGATGCAGGTCAGTAGCTCATGTAGGGTCGTAAAAGTTCAACCCAGCCAGGGCAAAGTAATCCAGATAGGTTCTTGTCCCATCTACTACAGTGTTATAACAGTTTCCATCTACTTTTCAAATGAGATGTCACTTTACCACTTCCATATTATATATAACCCTTTCTTGACTCATCCCACTCGGATCATCAGGCCCACGCTTAACGTCCTTCTTCCCTCCTAACCTCATCACGTCTTGATTTAGCTCCGCGCCCACTCTACGTCCGCTCCTGAAATAAGTAATCCACTCTCAACCTCCAACCTTCAACCTTTAATCTTCAAGCTGGTCGTTGAAGATCTATCCATCTAGCTGCCTATCGATCCATCCATCGTGCAAGTTAGCTATCCAACATTACCTGGTCGCCGGGCTTTATAACGAACAAGCGAGCTGAACAGGTTAGAACAAGAACAGGAGTGAGGTAGGAGTAGGGCATTGAAGCTATGGATAGCTAGGATTTCGATACGACGACGATGATAACAAAAACCATTATAGTAAAGATATAGTGATGATAGGACTGTATGGTCACTATACTGAATGGATGATAGAGAGATAGATATACACGGTGATGGATAGATAGTTCGTCAGTTTGTGAGTTAGGTAGCTAGGTAGTTAGTTAGTTGGCAAGTTAGTTAGATCCTCTGTCTTTCGATCAATCGATCGGTGTTGGCTGGGATGCTGTCACACTGCCCGAAGTTTCTCTTCGTACTCACTTTCACTTTTTATCAATCGACCAGCCCTCCTCCACTTTTCTTATCAAACCCTAACTTGGGCCTGGGCAAGGTTCGCACATCTATTGAGGGTGTATTTCTATCCTCCTCTTCCTCTCATTACACACGTCTCACAACCATATTTATCCGCGATTGATAAACAGACGTGGGCATATACAATCGAATACAACCCGAGGGCCTAGCTTAGAATTGTATGATAAGTCATCCTACAAGTACGGATTGAGCTTGCAATCTATGCCAAAGGATCAAGATTGCTTGTGTTGGATTGAATCAGGAGTAGAGTGGCCAGGTGATTACCAAAGTTCTTCCCATGGGTAAAAATGCGTGATGATTCATGGATATTGAGTATATTTGACATGAGCAGTCATGTATTTTATGGTGTAGCCACCTAATCCCCAGAAACTATCTATATTCCACTAATGTAGCCGTGTATAGGGCCGAACGATCAGAATAAGACTGTACCGTCTGGGCAATCATTTTGAGACGCTGGCTGGGCTTGTATTCTATAGTAAAACTCTAGCCCAGATTGAGCTCGAATGAATTCGGGTTGTACATGCTCATGTCTGTTGATAAAACCATAAATACATACCCCAATACACTATCACGCATCCCCCACTCGAGTAAACCAGACGACAGCGTCAAGTGTCGACGACGACTTGTGTTTGCAAAGTACATACAAAACCATACGATCTGCTTACCACAGCGCCCGACTTCATAATAAGGTCATATTAGTCTAGGTGGCTGCTCGTCTGTCTGTTTGCAGAACACCAGAAGATTAACGTCTAGAGAATATAAGATTACCATTCACCAGCGAGTATACTAGCATCTATCTTACTCGCATACACTATCTACGCGATCTATCTATCATGCGCTCCCAACCCCCTCCCTCATCCTCATCCTGCTCCATCAGCCCGCTTCTCAACAGCCTTTCTCCGCGCTCTATGCCCTTCCACCCATCACTTGCCCCCAACGTCCTTCCTGGCCTCATCCTTTCCCTTCCCCTTTCCCTTTCCCTTTCCCTCTCCATCACGACGCACCACAACAGGTAAAAACTTCTCCTCAAGCAATGAATACGGCGACGATGACGACGCTACATCATCGTCTGCGCCGGAGGAAAAACTAGATCGTGGGGATCCAGACGCGGGGTTGGATGCGCGGGTTATGAGGATACGTGGCGTGTGTGGTAGTGAAGGCGGCGCAGGTGGAGAGGAAGGAAACGCATCTGCCACTATCATTGTTGCCGTTACGGGAGTTGCAGGATTCGCCATCATCGTCGTTTCGGGAGTCGGGGGAATAGGTGCTGTAGGGAAGTCGGTGCTTGTGCTTGCTGTGGCAGGGGCCGGGGATGGACTCGCTAAAGGCGTAGCAGTATCGTGAGCGTCCAACGTATCAGCCTTGGCCTCAATCTTTGACGGTGTCGTTGTCGTCGTCGTATTGGCGAGAGCACGCAGTCTATCTCTCAGACTACGTTTAGGCTTAGGCTTGGGGGTACTGGGTGGGCTTGACGACGAACGGATGTGTCTAGACGCAGACGCAAACATAGGCGTGGATGTATACGCGGACATAGGCATGAACGCAGGCATAGGCGTATCAGAACCATTATGGAACTGCGCCGAGCGCGCTCTATGCAGTCTGGCGCTGCGCGCAGATAGCGTCAAGCGCGGTGTTTGCAAGGAGCGCTGCGAGACGGAGCGGCGGAGACGGCCAAGGAGGGAGGATTCGGGGTGTTCGATTCCTGATGGTCCTGGATGGAGGGATGGTGGGGAGGGATTGGCGTTTCTGTAGGTGGGAGTGGGAGTGGGAGTGGGGGCAGTGATGGTGGAGGTTGGCGATGTCGGGCTGCTAGGGTCGATGGAGGGCGTGTCAGTGGTACGTCTAGATTCCAGGCTGTGTAGAGAAAGGGAGCCTTCGTCCGAGGCTTCAGCGATTGTGGACGTTGGTCTGTGGGGTCTTGGGGAGCAGCGGATGTCTTCCGGTCGTCCGCCGAGGTCGATGATTGATGCGGCTTGCTTTACGTTTATGCCTGTTTTTATGTCTTGAGTTTTGAGACCCCCTGAAGATGACGGGGAACAAATAGTGATGGAGCGGGTGTCGACGCGAGGTGTTGCTATGTCTCGGCTTGATGTTGGATCTGGCAAGGACGTAGCGTCAGGGGTAGTAACGTCAAGACTCGCTGATCGACCTTGGCCTGGAGTGGACGGCTGTGAGGGAATCAGCTGTGTAGTGGACTCTGGGCCTGGTGTTGATTTTGGTAGCGAGGATTGATCTTGAATAGGTGTCTTTTCCTGGACGTTCAAGTTCAGTGAGCCGTCCGAGGTTTGTTTAGAAACAGGTGGTCCTTCAGGCTCAGTACTGTCTAGCTTCGATGGCATTTCCGGAGATACTTCCTGGTGTCTTGGAGCTTCCGTCCCGACGATAGGTGAGCTTTTCGGGAGGTGGTAAACTTCAGGACTTGATACCGGCCCTGGTGCTTTATCGTCCCACGGCATCAAGTCGCGAATGGCGGAAGGAGAAGAGACAGAAGAGATTTTAGTAATCTCTGGGACTTCTGCAAGACTTGATGTCCTGCAGGTGGTAGAGTTAGAGTCGTTCGAGGCCGATGGGCGATCTTCCTGATTCTTCGGTGAAGATGCTCCCGCAACCTCCGCAGACGCATTTACGACTTGCAGAGTCGTTGATCTCACCCTCTCATCTCTCGCTGTCTCAGCACCCCTATCTTCATCTACCGCCAAACCCAACACCACAGAACCCTTGCTCATCCACGGCCCCTGATCAACCATGACCATGATGCCACTCCTCTTCAACCCCCTCCTCCGCTCAACACCAGCCCTTATATAAGCCCTTGCAAAGCGCTCCCACCTCCTATTCTGCCGCACCAGCGACTCATTCACAAGTCTAATCACCTGCTCATACCATACACATCTCATGCAAGGCGTCGTCTTCTGCTTCTCCTGCTTAAGGGGGCGAGTCAGAATAAAAAACAACATCTCATACCCTTAATACCATCTAGAAAAGAATATAACAGACTTACTTCTTCATTCAGCCTACGGCCACGCTCATGCTCTCTCTCCTTCTCCCTCTCTACCCACCCAAAGAACAAATCCCTATACATCCCATACCCAGATTCCTCCACCACCCACCCGGCAACTCCCCGCGTAAGCCAGCCCAGGTTCCACAGTAGTGCAAAAGCGGCGAAATACGCCACCGGTCGGACGGCGGTGGCGGCAAGCGGTATGTTACTACTGCTGCTACTACCACTACCAACGTAGAGATGCGTGAGGACGTAGACGTAGAAGGGGCTATCCTGTATTTCCAGCTGTGTATACGTAGCGTATACGATGCCGGCAAAGGCGGAGCAGTAAAGGGCAAAATGGAGGAGTGTGGGGAGCCAGTCGATTAGGATGCTGCCAAGGATGATGATGGCAGTGCGTGTTGTTGATCTTGTTGTTATTTTTGTTGTCGGGGTCCATTGGGAGGCTGACATGCTGTCGAGCTTGATACTGGTGGACATGTTAGGCGGATGAATTATCGTCAGTCAGCTATAGAGGAAAATTGGGGATGAGAATTGCATTGAGATCGCTGTTGGGTTATGGTTGCTGCTGCGGGCTTCTGGTTAACTTCATGGTGTTCGTAAAGGTTCATTTCACGTCCTGCAAACGGTCCGCCTGCACGCGCCCTTTGTCACGCAATCTGTAAACAGACAACAGAACACAACACTTGGCTGATTGGACCAGTAATGCCTAAAGAATAAGTCCGGAATTGCACAATGATCTATGGACAAAAGATTTGGGTATCGAGTCTTTTATATGCAAGAATATTTTCTTTGTTTTTGCCTTGCACTCCTTCAGCCCTTCTTTTTCCCTTTGACCTTGTCCACAATCTCTACCCACTGTCTGTTCACTCCCCGCTTTTCTAACGCTTTGATGACAGCGTCCTTCTGTGGCCCCTGAACCATGATTTCCATCACTGGTGTCTTCGGGCTACTGCCTTTTAGTTGCTCGACGCTTGTAGAACCTGCACACACTTTCCTGAGCTCATCTGCGAGCGGCTGCGGTGGGATGAAGTAGGCCTCCACGCCGGAGACCTTTGTGACGGTCTTGTTACCGCTTCGGGTTTCAAGCATGATTGTGATTTTGGGAGCTGCCCCAGCCTTTGGCTTTGATGTACTTGAGGACTCGTCGTTGCGGATGATAGACCAAAAGGGACTACAAGATTTGATGATTCGGTCAATTAGTGCATCTCGCGGGACGGTCCCTTTATTGATGACTTCTTTGTCTAGATGAGTGCTGCCATCGAAGACAGCGTTTGCCAGGATCGGATCGATCTTCACGAGCCGCTTATTCGTTTCGACAACCAGTTCCTCGATCGCAATATAGCTGGTGACAATAGATCCGATTTCACTAGTCGTATGATAGCCTCTTGGATCCGCTTGTGCTTTCTCAAACATGTCGGCCAGCTTCTCCTTCGGCCGGTACAGTTCCAGTTTCTTGATTTTCTGACCAACAGAGCTATCACCCGGATCGCTGATCACCGTCGCGTTGTGTTCCCGGCCTTGTGCGGCGCCGCCCACTGTTTCTTTCTTCGGCAACCGATAAGGTGTGAAGTCTGCTATGGTGCGGTCTTTGAAATCAATGTCCATGATGACTACTTCATGGGTGTCTCGGTCCTTTGTCTTTACTATTTGCTCCTTGTCTAACGACTTGATGAACTTCTTGATGTTCTTCCAGCTGGTCTTCTTGATCTGGAGGGATGCAGTTTGCGCAGGTGTATATGCAGGAAGGAATGGTTGCACCAGATTAGCCATGACGAACGACTGGGTAAGAGGGAAGCTGAGACCGAAGCTTGGTTGACCCCTGTTGACGTCCATGTGATGTCGTACGCCGTAAAGGAAGGCTTTCCGAAAGCCTTCGTCAATCTCTTTGGTCGACAACGGCTTGTCCTCCACTGACTCAAAAGCATCTTTGATGTCTGTTCTATCTTGTGCTCCTGCGACCTCTTCCCCTGAATGAAGAGAAACACCTCCATTGGCACCATCCGCTAAGTCAAGCTGCTCCGTCTTCGTAGCAATGTCCGCTGCTTCGTCATCGTCATCGAGCCAGCCTTGAAGTGAATCAGGCGGCTGTGAGCCCGGCTTACTCGCATTGCTCCACGACCATAGCTCATCTCCAGCCCAGTGTATGTTCTCGACCGCATGTCCCCTCGCCCCTTGTACTTTTTCCAGCGCACTCACGTCGATCTCACATCTTCCCACGGCAAGCGGCACGGAAGGCGAGTCTAGACTGGCAATTGCGACAGTAGCGTTCTGTTTGGCTTTTGAGGGGAACGGAGGGCCTGCAGCTAAGCCAGGGGTCATGAGGTCTGCACCACCCTGTAACTTCTCGATGACCGGGGTGTGGGTGTGGAGAAGGGGCACAATTCCGGGATTCTGCCACAGAGTGTAGACTGACACTACATATCAGTAAATGCCCTGGTAAAATCGGAGTTTGCTTTCGTACCTGTAGGATACAACCTATCCTCAAGCTTCACCCAGAGGATCCGCTGGTCGTCCCTGTAGCTTCCAACATAGACGGTACCAGATACTTGCTTCAGGTCAGGCCCGACAGTTGTCGTGAAGCGGGCCGATAAAGCATTCTCGGGTAGGAGAGCATTCCTGATATTTGATATCTTCGCCACGGCGGCAGCCTTCTCTTCGGGATCGTCAAGATCTGTGGATGGGAGCTCTAGGCCTAGCTCTGAGATAATTTGCTCGGCGGTCTTGCGTCGATCAGAAGATCGCAATGGGGCTAGAGGTTTGACCTGTAGTACGAGTGAGTATGACAGCTTTTAGGGGTGTGGTAGTGCAGACTGACGGTAGGCTTCTTCTTGAACATGGTGGATGTGGAGGAAAGTGAGGCGACAGTCAAGAGTGCAAGAATTGACAGACAGTCAGCGTGAAAGATAGTTGGAAAGGAAAGATATAATATTAGGGGGACAAACAGCTCAGTTGTATCAGAGCTGATTGATGTGAGTTGAATCAAAATGAGCCATTTCCATCCATCTCAGGCACCGACATGGATGCCTTGGCGTCTTTACCCCTCTAACCCCCACCATGAGCGTGGAGGGGCAGCGTGTAACGGCAAAAGAGAGCCCTGCGTCATCCTTAGAAGCCTTAGGCATCAATCAACTCCACACATCTCACTTGTCTCCGTCTAACAACACCCGATCCGTTCCCAACAGAAAAGACAAAGACACACACAAGACACACAAGACCCTGTTGCATCACCAGTCTCCATTATTGCACCGCTACAGTCACTGCCCCGTCCGTGTTTTCGCTGCCATCGGGCCTATGTGGCACGTACTAGATATGTAATACTGACCTGTATCACCGATACAGGCTACACTTGAGTGCGGGGATTGCGGGGGCGCCCATGGCTAAGAAACGCTGTATATCCGATGGGTTATCATGCCATCATAAGGAGATGTCTGCATGCTGTCTTGTCTTGTCTTGTCTTGTCATTGTGAACAATCCTCTCGAGCACTATCAAGCAGAGTAATACCACTTATATACAACTCGACTCATTCATACTCACCACCATGACCGAATCAGCGCGTGCACGACTGAACCAGGTCAAAGAATTTCTGACCGGAAAGACACCTACCACCACCTTCTCCCTCCCCTTCCATCCAGACCAGGCCACATTTCCGACGAGAAAGGAGCTGCCAGCAATCCCAGGAGCCCCGGATGGCGCTGCCTGGGTCTGGGGCGACGACGACTGGGTGCCGCTCACCAAGTTTCATTCAATCTGATGAAGTATTGCTTACTATTAGGGCAGATTGGCAGAATCAACCTCCTGACGCCTGCGCGTGTCAAAGCCGCCGCCAGTGAGATCAAGACGGGCGACATTGTGCCGACGAACCTGCCCCTAAACGTACCCGCCCAGCCTGCATTTCGCCGCGAGACGTTCAAGCACGAGATCAAGATCCTCACCGAGGGTCTCTGCTACGACGATATCTACCACCTCAACACGCAGTCCGGCACCCAGTGGGACGGCTTCCGACATGTGCGTAATATCTCTCTTCTGTGCTTTCTATAAGTCATCGAGATGGGAGGCATGCTGATATGACGAGTCCCCATTGTAGTTCGCCCACCTTCCGACCGGCGCATTTTACAACAACACACGCGCCGCAGATATTGTCGGCCCAGCTGCAAACCACAAATGTTCCATGCACCACTGGGCCGAGCACGGCATCGCTGGTCGCGGTGTGCTGCTCGACTATTTCAGCTGGGCACAGCGCCACGCCATCACCTACGACCCTTACGACTACCACGCCATCGCCTACGACGACCTGGTCAGCGTCGGTAAGGAGCAAGGCATCGACATCCGGCCCGCTGCCCAGGGCGGCGACATTAAGGTTGGCGACTTGCTGTTTGTGCGCATGGGCTGGACGGTGGCGTACTATGCGCGTCCGGCTGAGGAGAGGAGTGCGCTGGCACTGAGGGAGCATAAGTTGGGCCCTGATGATGGGCAGCGTTATGTCGGTTTGAAGCAAGAGCCGGCCATTGTGGACTGGCTACATGACTGCTATTTCGGGGCTGTTGCTGGAGACGCTCCGACGTTTGAGGCTTGGTAGGCTGACTCGTCCACCATGCTGGAATCTGAAAGCTGATAAACCTTGTCCACAGGCCGACAATGACGGATTACTTCTTGCACGAGTATATCCTGGCGCTTTGGGGTATGCCCCTGGGCGAGATGCTGGATCTGGAGAAGCTGTCCGAGACATGCAAGAAGTATAACCGCTGGTTCTTCTTCTTTTCGAGCGCCCCCTTCAATTGTCCGAGTAAGTTGCTGTGCACCTGATTCTGACTCTGCCCAGGAGACATGGAGGCTGACCGTGCATACCAGATGGTGTTAGCTCCCATGTGAACGGTAATGCAATCTTCTGAGCACCTCTGGTATGCTAGGCATGACCAATGCAGTAAGCTCTGGGATAAGAACTTGTCGAGTGCTGGAACGAGAAAAAGGTTGACGACCGGCGGGTTGGGTACTACTTTGCGCTTTCTGTGGAGCTGCATCAATACTATTTTGACTGTAATTTGACGAGACGGGTATGGCTTACTGGTAAATTGAACTTACAAGCCTTAGGTATCCATTTTTGAACCCAATGTTTGATATCACATCACCATCCACGAGACCTGTCGCTACTCTAGGCTCGCCTGCGCCCACGCAACACTCAATCCCGCCAACGTCGTCATCCACGCCGCGACCCCAAATGCCCCCTGCATATCATCCCTCCGTACACAAACCCACACTACAGCAAACACCAAGCTGCCCAGCCCAAACATGCCCAGCATCAGCGTCCACACGCGTGCCGGCAGAAACCCCTCTACCAGATGTATACCCCACCCAACCCCAACATCTAGCCTCTTCTTTCGCTTCGGGCTGCGTAAATATGTGATTAGCTCGCCGTCATAGTCCTGCGGGTGCTTGAATAAGTGCAGCAGGTATTTCTCGCCCACCGGCGGCACCAGGTCGTGCGGCTCGAAATCGTACCACGTCTTAGCCAACGCGCCACTCGGCATGTCAGGGCTTTTACGGATATCTGCGAACCGGTTGCGGTGCACTTCGAACTGCACGAAATGTATCGTTGTGAGGCCGCGCACCCGCAAAATGTGGAGAAGTGGATGTTTGATGCTGGCATAGTGTGACCGTAGCGTCAGCGCGAGGTCTTTGTCCGACTTGATGCGAGGGCTTGTCATGTCAAGGTGGACGACTTTGGGCGTTGCGCGGCCCTCGTTGACGCAAGTGAGAAGCCAGGAGGGCGTAGGAGGGGGAGAGATTACGACGCTGAAGGGGTTCTGACGGCTATGCATTTTGGGCGAGCTCGAGGTCAGATTGGAGGAAAGGGACGATTGGGTGCCGAAGGTGGAGGATGGGGAGAGAGCTGGGTTGCTGAAGATGCTGGAGACGGCGCTGGAGATGCTTGGGGTACTGGAAGTGCTGCTGCCGTTGGTGTGCATGCGCGGTGTATGGGATTGTGGGCGATTAAGGTAGGCTTCTAGCTCGCGAGCCGCACCCACGCGGCGCTCGATGAAGTCGTCGTAGCGGACCTCGCCACAGTGCTTTGACAAGATTAGTGGCTGTCTTGGATGTGTGAAGTTATTTCAAGGTGGATTTAGTGGTGACTTTGAAGTTGAAGTATCTGCGACTTACACATGTCCAGCGCACCCGCACAAACCCTTCTTTGACTGAATGCTCGGGACCACATTGTCCCCCGAGCCAGTCTATTGCATTGCGAGCCAGGGAGAGTAGTCCGAATGCGGCCAGGGAAACGAAACTCTTAGACCTTGACCTCATGTCGACGAGTCGAGTTTCATAATTCTGAGGAAGTGGTAGGGGCCCGGACGTTGTGCTGCTGTCTTGGGTCTGTGTATCTGGCTGTTTGATGTATGGTTGTGGCTGCTGGATTGGGAATGAGACCACTGGGCTCTCTGACTGCGTCGATCGCTGGGTAGGGGACTGTTGTTGTTCCTCCGTTTTGACTGTAGTGGGCGGAGAACCTGTCGAAACAACGTCGTCTGAGTTCCGCTGTGAGCACTTAGTTCTCAACTTCAGCTTTCCTGGCTTCGCACGCAGCACAGGCACGGGTATTGAAGCAGACTGACTCCGTCCTATCACTTTCCTTGCTTGACTATGAGGTGGTTTAAGTGCATTGAACGACTTGCTCCTTCTTTGAAGTACATTTGCATTATCGGCATCCTCACTCCTGAACCACCGCCTCTTTAATTCACCAAGTGGCGGAGCAAGCTTAGAGTATCCACCAAGGACCTCGTCATCACCGTGTTTTGGAGGCCAGTCCATCAAGCGGGAAGGGACGTTGTGGCTTTCAGGCACGACAAATCTTGCCCGCACAGTCGAGCGACTTGGCCGTATTATGCGACTCCGATGACTTTTCTTCCGCTCTGTAGTCTTGATTGCGGTCTCATCAGCCTGAATCTCTCTCAGATCCTCCCAGGAACTTTCGCGTCGTCCGTCCTGATTGTCAACAGGGGCAGATTCTGGCCATGCTACTTCTGATAGCTGAAGACCTCCAACTGGAGTCGATAAGATACTTGATAGTGAGTTTCTGCGCGTCGTCGTCGTCGAAAATTCAGTGACGATAGAGCATGGCACTGTCGAGCTTTGTGTGTCTGTTTCATCCCATAGATCCCCTATGGGACCTGCACCGTGAATCAATGTTTCCGCATCGCTAAATCCCTCAGTTCCGACAGAGATGCTATTTCGTGCAAGGCGCCCTGGAAGCTCTACAGGCGGTGGGGATCTTGCTGGCCAAGACTCCGTCTGATTGCTAACACTAAAAGGACCTACGGCACTGTACTGGTGTGGCGCCAGTTGTCGTACGTGTGCCCCCAAGTTTGGACCCGAAGATCCGATCTCTGGAATGATCGGTGTAGAATCCAATTCCACCGGGACATCGGGCGTCTCGAGTTCATAGCCGGTAGGAGTCGCCTCAGGCTGGTGTTCAATTAGATGTATATCTTTGACGTCATCTCCTTCACTCGGGCCCGCGGTACTGCCCTTCCGAAGTCTAACAATGATCCCGCGACCACTCCGCTTGATACGAGCTTTGAGGTCGTTGCGTCTTGTAGGAGCTTGGTGGGGAAGAGTACCTGATCCTGAAGGTAGCCAGTCCCACTCAGGCGCAGCATTCTGGACGAATGCAGATGGTATTGAGCTCAGGTCAACCCAGCCTTGTGCATCTCTAGAGAGGCTGAGTGTGGGAGATGACTTGTTGCCCTGGTGGAGAGGAAGGGCATGAGGCCCCAGGCTTGGGATTGCTTGAAGCTCTCGAGATTGGTGCGTCTGTCCCGTCGGACGGTCAGTCGCATTTTCGGCGTTTACGTTGACCACGAGTTGAAACTGCCCCGAACGACCGATTTCATTCAAGCTCAACGTGAAAGGCACGCTCACAGGCAGGCCAGAGGCTGCAGCATTAGATTGCCCACTAGTATGCTGTCCATCGCCCAACACAGTCAGAGGGGTCGATCCATCAGACGATCCAGTAGAGCGATTCGCATATGGCGATGACTGCAGGTGTTGACGAGGTTAGTATATGTTGCTTTTTCGACGACTTTTCAGGGCGGTCCCAAGGCTGCAGGGAGCTCAATTCACCACTCACCATTTTGAAGACGTTCTTAGGCACCGGCAAATGAAGATCTCTTTGTGTGGGCGACACATGAATCACAAGAACAGAAAAAAATGCCTTCCAAATGTGCTGCAGACTGGCAAAAGAGGATGTGAGTCTTCTTTCAAGGCAGCAGTTTTCTCGCACAGCCTCAGTCAGTACTCAGAGGGATCGCCCTATTCACCCTTCAGCTCCTTCAAGGATACACCATTTCCCGGTGTCTGATTCGTTGCCAGGATGGGCTGCATAGTCGGGTGGAAGCTGGACATCCAACCTGATCATTGCATCGCCCTTTGATTGTGACTGCATATAAGGCAGACAGGTTAATCCCGTGACCACAAAGAAACAGACTGCTGGTTTGTTGACTTGAACAACAGACACAGAGGGCCAGCCGCCTGTACCATCTGCTCGGTGAGTGACATCTTCGATCGCGATCCAAAAGTTAATGCATGATGGGAGGGCGATACGTGTGAGATTCTCTCTGCTACTGCGATGTCTTGCGCACTCCCTCTGCTTTTGCTCTCAAGTTGTCGCAGTCGGAGCCGAAGATCGTCTCATTCCGACGTTTCTGCCCTTTCGATCTTTAAACTTCTTCTGTAATCATTTCAGCGTGTGAATAATGTTAGAAGATCGAAAAGACCGAGACCTAAACGCCGACGCCGACCTTGTAAATCCGAATTTGCGCGGCCCCACTCGCCCAATAAAGCCGCTCGCTGGTTGGCGCAGACGTCGGGACCGAGATCGCTAATCCAGCCAACTGATGATCCGGACCCTTCGTGCGGACGCGGGCATAACGATGATCTCCGCTATGGTCTCAGCTAAACTCCATAGTCGTCGTAATTGCGCGTGTAAGGATGTGAGGATATATATATATATGGCGTGCCGATACCATTCATTCATGTAAAAGATCTATTTACACTCCACTCCAATCTAGGACACTCCATCTGTCGACTTCACGATCAGTCAACCAACAATCATCTTCGCAGCTCATCACATTACTCTACAAGCGCCTTTCAATACCACGAGTATGGAGTCCTCTATCCAAGTCGTCTATATCCCCAATCTTGTCGGTCGCCAAGCCGTTCGAATTGAGACAGTCCTCGAGCACACCGCTACCAGCGAGAACACACAAGCTGTCGAAGACATCATCCCGAGACTGAGCCCTTGGTTGTCAAGCTCCCAAACACGGTCGAATAGCTGTTCGTCCGCCGAGTCGGATATCGACGACTAGACTTGTCATTCTTGGTACGACCCGATTCATCGAATAAGCACCCTGGCTATTCCCCGAAGCCAAAACTTTGACGCCCATGGTCTTTCAGATTTCGAAAGCAGCCTTGTGCTTTGGCTGCCAAAAAAAGTACTTTAGTCTTTGGCCCAGCTGCGTGTATAGCGGCGGCTGAACTTGATGAACACCTCGACGTTGTCGTGGTCGACGCTGATACGAAGGATGGGAATTACTGGATTCTCAACAGTCCGAAGATACCATTTGAAGAAGACTGACGTGAAGCGGTTACAAATTTCGAGGGACCATGGTGTTTCATGAGACCAAACTAGGATCCCTTTACGTTACTGGACTACGCGTCTACGGATCGTCAAGCTTCAAAGTTTCAAGCCTGACTTGATTCATGTCCATGACGCTACTAGTCGAACCATACTCTCGTGCAGACTACCTCTTGACACTGGTACAAGCGTATGCCCTGTGTTCCATCTGCAGACCTTCGCGGACTTTCTGGCTTGCCGGAATGTGTATCGGTTTTCAAGGACGGATCGTTTCTACAGACCCAGCAGTTGTGCTCGCTATAAATGTGCCATTGAACCGATGAAAACCGGTCCGGCGAAGACAATCTTGGACAGTCAGTCGAAATTATTGAGAAAGTAGGACGCATCTCGCTATTTGCAAAAGCATGGCTAGCGGAGTAGGGGGGGACTTTTATAAGCTGTAATAATAATATTTGCCTCCATCCAAACTGCACCTTTCGTGTCATGACTCTGACTTTACGAAATGCCCCTTTTTTGTCTCAAAACAGCCAGTGTGACGGCTCGCTGCTTTGAACACGTCCAGACAGGTTTAACGATAGCCGAATCTCCGCATCGTTTTTGCCCCGAGAGCCACCAGGGGTAGAGGCAAGTTTCGACTCGTACTTTCTCAAATGAAAGACGAACGCGTTTGACGACGTGTGTTTGGGCTAGAGCTGCCGTATGAGTTTGTAGGTGAGTACCTATTGTCGAGTCTCTCACCCGGCTGCCTTCTGCAGCAGCTTTCGTCCGTGGGCACGTATCACTACGTCAAGTAATTCCCTGACACGCTTACATCCGTCTACACCGACCGCGAGCATCTCTTCTAGCCTTTCCATCCTCAGCCGAGTCTCCATTTGGCACACACTGAGTTTATCTTCATCTCCTGCCTCTCCGGACACCGTTGCTATTGTCATGAATGGAAGCTCCTGTTCTTCCAAAGAGTTGAGATCAAGTATTGGGTCAGAAATGTCGTTTTCACTCTGTGAATTACCAGAGCTCGAAGTCGTATGTCCTACGGTACAAGCACAAAGGTATGACTTCATGGGTATGCCGGCATCTATAAGGGCAAGTGTGCTGGCATTGAGCAGCGCTGCGAGTATCGAGCCATCTTGCGACAATACATGGAGTGTCATGTTAATTGAGGAGCGAGGATACAGCGTAGTCAAAATATTTGCCGTTAGAGAGTCCACGATGATCTGTTGAAGTTCGCTGATGTGCCTAAGTGCGATGTTAGCACTAAAAAATACCGAGAGGTATTCAGGGCAAGTCCATACTTATCCCCGCGACCTCGTCTTTTCCTCTCTAGCCCGCTGAACCCGGCGAATGCGATATCTACCTGAAGCAGTGCTGAATTTGCGGAACTACCAGCCATTCCCATTTTCGAAGCTTCGAATGGACCTTGAACTGTGCATATGACCTTGGTGTTGCCCATTTCTAGATAGCTTGATCCATCAGCCGCTGCCTGCGTAGAGACCTGGGCATGAAGACGACGTAGGTCATTCCAGCGTCGGCCATCGAGGCGCAATAATGCTAGCGAGTATGATGATGTGTCGAGAGGCATTACCGCAACGATTCGACCAGGAATTGCTCTGCCTGCGGTGAGATCGCGATTGATCTTTGACTTTTTCACTGTAACTAGCTGCAGGTGGATTCACCATCGGCCCGACCTTGCCGATGATTGGATCGCCAGGTCACGTGCTCACGCGACAAATGCGCATAGATGCGTCATCTACAGACTAGGCTTCTTCCAATGCGAAACTGTCACGAATGCGCGACTTGATACATCTTCCTGGGCTATGGGTGTCACCGGCTTATGGGAAGTGGTCAAGGAATGCGGTCGTCCGATCAAAATCGAAACGTTAAATAGGAAGCGTCTGGCGGTTGATGCCTCCATCTGGATCTACCAGTTTCTCAAAGCCGTTCGCGATAAAGAAGGCAATGCGCTACGTAACAGTCATGTGGTCGGGTTCTTCCGTCGTATATGCAAACTACTTTTTATCGGAATAAAGCCGGTCTTCGTATTCGATGGCGGCGCTCCTATCCTGAAGAGACAAACAATCAGTTCTAGAAGGTCACGAAGAGAAGGACGGCGTGACGATGCAGTACGAACAGCTGGAAAACTCCTAGCTGTGCAGATGCAGAAAAGAGCCGAAGAGGAGGAACAAAAGCGCAAAGATGTCTTGGAAGGTTCTCGACACAATGAGGAAGAGGAGGAGCTTCCGGACAATTTGGTGTACGTGGACCAGATTGGGATGACAGCACAAGAGCGACAGCAAAGCAAAAAGTTTCGCAAAACGGATGCTTATCATTTACCCGACTTAGACGCCTCGATGGCTTCTATGGGTGCGCCAAACGATCCACGCATAATGTCTCTCGAAGAATTGGAACAATACGCGCGGCAATTCGAGCAGGGCGAAGATATCAGCGTGTACGACTTCTCCAAGATAGATTACGATAGTGCATTCTTTACAAGCTTGCCTGAGGCAGATCGCTACAACATCTTGAATGCCGCGCGTTTGAGAAGTCGACTTCGTATGGGATATTCGAGAGAGCAACTCGATGTCATGTTTCCGGACAGGATGGCATTCTCGAAATTTCAGATTGATCGTGTCAAGGAGCGTAATGAACTTACGCAGCGTCTCATGAACATTAATGGCATGAACGAACAAGGTATGCTTGGCGTCAATGGAACTAGCAGAGTTGCCGGTGAACGAGGTCGCGAGTATGTCTTGATCAAGAATGATGGCGTCGAAGGTGGCTGGGCTTTAGGCGTCGTTAGTAGCAAGGATGATGGTCAGCGCAACAAGCCGATCGATATCGATGAGCTGGATAAGAAGGAAGCAGAGGAAGAAGAAGAGGACTGGGAAGACGATGAGGACTTCGAAGACGTTCCAATCGAGGGTCTCAATCGACTTCCGAAACAACGACCTTCTGATATTACTCTCTCGCACCAAGCCCCTTCAAGAGCAGATGGACTTGCAAAGAGGAGAGCAGCACTCTATAGTTCACGTCGGCAGAGTAATTCGAGACGAGTGTCTCGCATGAATAGATCTCATCCGGCAGACCCTGAGTCGCTATTTATTGCCGAAGATGCAGGTGAAGAAGACTTGGAAGTTATGAAAGCCGATCACAGCGATGACGCAGCAGAAGAGTATGACACACATGCATACAATGAAGATGAAGAATTGGAGCGTGCTATAGCTATGTCTATGCAGCAAGGAGATGATATACCTGGTCCACTAGCTAACAACATGGACATGGATGTTGATAATGATTACGAAGAAGTATTCCGCCAATCTCGCGTCGATGAAGCAAAACCCTTTACGAGAGGGAGTGGAATGTCCATTGCTCATATGGCAAACGCTCGCAGCAACAAGGCCGCGGTAGCGCCTGATGTTGTGAGTGAGGACGAAGATCATATCGACTTTCAAGCTGCGCTTGCCGAGTCAAGGCGATCGAAACGAACATCGAGCCCTACCAGGCAGAAAGGCGAGAGTCATCAGGCTGCAAAGAGTCCGGTACCTCGCAAGACGGTGAATTTTCCAGGATTCGACGGACCACTGCCCTTCGAAAAGTTGAATCTTGGAAGCTCTTTACTAGGCAAGAAGAAGATGCAAGACCTTGAAGAGGACCGTGCTGGCGGCTTCGAAAAGAAAGATGCGGGTCCAAAGACTAAAAAAGGGGAACCATTACCACCATGGTTTGCCGGCAAGCTCGATGATGATCTAGCTGCGTCCAAAGCTCGGGAGGACGAAGAAAGAGATAAAGAATCTAAAGAACTGAGTTCCAACTTTCAATTTCAAGAGATACCCACTCTACGTAAAGAACACCCTGGTGATGTCATTGATCTCGAGGCGCCGGAGGCATCTGCCAGACAAGCGATATTCATCGACTCTTCAGATGATGATGAGCCTGAGGGTCCAAGTATGAAGGAATCTGTCACGGAAGAATCGGAAATCAAAATGGGAGATTTGGCTGACAAGGTCCGAGTCGAGCCGCCGACAATGTTGACTGCAGACGTTCGACCAGATCCTGCCTCAACGACGACTCTCAATCTTTTGGTCGAGGAAGCTGAAGAAGAACCGCTAGACTGGGAGGCAAGTGATAACGAGATATCGACGTCAAAGGGTCACATTACTCCTGCAGATGACCCCGGGGAAGTCACAACAATTCCTTATACACGGTCTCCAATCATCTCATTTGAAGATCGGATACCAGATGACGTGGAAGCTGTAAATAATCAAGTGCAGCTTGAGGACGCCAAGTCACTGAGCCCCGATTTCGAAGACGTTCCGATGAAAGGAAGTGGCAACTTTCCTCTTACCAATGTGGCGCCTATACTTGTTGAGGGAGATGTAGCAGCCGAAAGCGGGTCTATGCCTGCAGCTGAGAACACCAATCACCAACTATTTGAGGAGATTGATGAGGAAGAAGAAGACGGAGCCCTGTACTCTGATCCTGAAGACGAGGCTCTCTTCCTCCAACTGGCAGCTGAAACTGAAGAACACGCACGATTTGTCTCAACGTTTAACAACAAAACTCAGGAACAGAACGCGCGCGACTACGATCAAGAGCTAAGGCAACTACGCAATCAGCAGAAGAAAGATCGCCGAGATGCAGATGAAGTCACGCAAACAATGATTACAGAATGTCAGCAACTACTTGCTCTTTTCGGCTTGCCATACATTACCGCTCCTATGGAAGCTGAGGCGCAGTGCGCGGAGTTAGTCCAATTACAACTTGTGGACGGTATAGTTACTGATGATTCCGACTGTTTCTTGTTCGGTGGTAACAGGATCTACAAAAACATGTTCAATCAGGCCAAGCATGTCCAGTGCTATCTAACTCCAGATATAACCGATGAGCTAGGTCTCGACAGAAAAAAACTAATAGCAATTGCTCAGCTACTAGGCTCAGATTACACTGAAGGTCTTCCAGGTGTTGGGCCGGTCTCAGCGCTCGAAATATTGTCAGAATTCGGCGATCTGGAGTCCTTTAAAAGATGGTGGAATAGTGTGCAAGATGGTAGCTTGCCCATCTCGGCTGAAACATCTGCATTTCGAAAGAAGTTCCGTCGCGCACAAGGCAAGAAACTGTTCCTACCCCTGTCATTCCCCGATCCTAGGGTAGAAGAGGCATATCTGAAGCCTGAAGTGGACAAAGATCCGTCCCAGTTCCAGTGGGGTGTACCAAACCTAGAGGCACTGCGAGACTTTCTCATGGCTACGATTGGTTGGACGAGGGAGAGGACAGACGAAGTTCTCGTACCAGTCATCAAGGATATGAACCAAAGAGAGACTGAGGGTACCCAAGCAAATATCACATCGTTCTTTGAAGGCGGTGTTGGCGCCGGATCTTTCGCACCCCGAGTACGGGAAGGTGGAACTAGTGCGCGAATGGCGAATGCGCTGAGTCGAATTCGTAACCAAGCCAAAGATGGCACAGCCGGGAACACTCGCTTAGATGTCGCTGAAGAAGCTGGAGAAGCGAAGCAAACGAAAGACAGAAAGACAGCTACCAAGCGCAAAGCTAGAACTTCTGATTCGAAAGCCAAAGAGACCCGCACATCAGAATCCGCATCAGAGGGCAATGGCGAAATGCAGCCCAAGAAGAAGCCCAAGAGAAGATCGAAGGCCCCGGGATAGTAAATATGAAAACAGTGACAACGCTGTTTTCATATTATTCGACCCAAGGCGCTCGAATTCCGGGTAAAACAGTTTGCCCAAGGTTGGCATCCTGTTGCTCAATGCGGATTGGCATCCTCATCTCCATCGTCTAGATGTTAACATCCATCCGACTAGTAGCATGTGTACTTGGCGAATGCGCAAGAAGATCTCACTGCGATCAGGGACGATTGCTCTGATACCTGTTGCCTGTGAGATATTGCCACAGTCTTCCCACGGGTTTTGTCGAAAGCAAGAGAAGATTCATAAGAATGTCTTCTCCTACTCGCAGCCCGTAAGTAGATTACTGTATCGCGTGTTCGCTCACTGCCGACACAACTCAAGTCAGTGCGCGGCCAACATGCCCGTTGGCAGTACAATATTGGCCTCGACAGACGCGAGTCGTCACTTTACTGAAAGAAGTCAACACGTTTTTTGCATGTTGCAGAAATTTTGAGTGTCTAGCCACCGTGACGAACGATTACCTCCTCTGAAGGTGGACCGTTTGCGGCAGCATAGTCGTTCATCTGGTAGTCTTCGTCGCCATCGATTGGAAATGAATGTAGGCTTCTAGCGAGGCTCGACAATGAATCTTCATGCCTGTGCCTGTCGAAATTCAACTCACTATATGCATGAATGAACGAATGAATGAATGAAGAATTTCTCTCATCGGCACATGTACGTGCAGGTGGGTTCCCGCTTGGTCCTCGGATGTGTTTTGCCATAGCTGGCAACGGCTTGACGACTCCGTGAGAGGTATGCTTCCAATTGATTCCACCCGAATGTGATCCAGGTTAGAACGAGATTGCGAGACTCATATAACTATCCTCAATGAAATCGAACCTGGACCCTGGTATGTTGACGTGTGCATCCAATTCTGCTAAATCCATAGAGCCATTTTTGTGGTTCCCTATGATCATAACAGCCAGAGCCAGACGGCTTTACCAATTGGAGCAACGGCAACAATGTTGATATAAAAACTGTCTAGCATGGACTAATAGGTATCTTCCACCGTAAACCTAGTAAAACCAATTTATGCCTCAGGCTCCATGCCCAGGCGATGTGATGTCAATGACGGCCCGAGCTCCAATGCCGCATCCATGGAGCTGTGGGCCCCGCAAGTGTTGAATAAGCAATAAGCGTATTCACATTCACATTCCTCGTCTGGTGCACAGAGCAGTATTCATCATTGGATTTTCCTGTTGGACCTGTGGCCATATTACGCTTGAATCTACCGATTCGTCAGGATCTGTGAAGCGATACCCAAGTTCAAGCTCTCAGGCTTTGTACTCGCCTTTGCTCCCATCGTCTCATTGGTTTATCTTTGGACCTCTCCTTCGCCCATAATGAAGTCTGTACTCTCACTTGTATCCCGACCAGCCTTCAAGTCGTATACACAGACAGCTCACCTTCCCGGAAGAATTTCCAGAGTCTATACGACGGCACATAGCGTCCCTCCAGTAGGCAATCGTCGCGATACGTCCACCATACGCTGACTGGACTCCGACAGCTCAACGACAAATCTCTTTTCCGTAATCAAGCTTATATCAATGGAAATTGGGTGAACGCAAAGTCGGGGAAGACCTTCGAGGTCACTGGTAAGAATACAAATGGATTGTGGAAAGAAGGAACCTAAACAACCGCGTGTGCAGACCCTGGCAGTGGCAAAGTCATCGATACCATGCCAGAGATGGATAAAGAAGACGCTGAGCTCGCTATTCAAGCTGCATCCGACGCCCTACCAGCTTTTAAGAAGCTCACGGGTCGACAAAGAGGTCGAATGTTGAACAAATGGTATCAATTAATGATGGAGAATGCCGACGACCTTGCGAAGCTTATAACGTGGGAGAATGGGAAGCCATTGGCTGACGCCAAAGGTGAAGTTTCGTATGCGGCGTCATTCTATGAGTGGTTTGGTGAAGAAGCTCCACGCATATACGGAGACACCATACCTTCCACTGCTGCTGGAAATAGAATCATCACGATAAAAGAGCCGGTAGGAGTCTGTGGGTTGATAACTCCGTGAGAATGACTACATTATAAATGTAGGCTATGCTCTGCTAATCCGCATAGATGGAATTTCCCCGCGGCTATGATTACTAGGAAGATTGGTCCTGCGCTGGCCGCAGGGTGTACTGTTGTTGCGAAGTCTCCTGGCGAGACACCTTATACAGCTGCGGCTCTTGTAGTCTTGGCCGAACGCGCTGGCATTCCGAAGGGGGTCATCAACGTTATCACTGCGTTAAACAACACTCCAGAGATTGGTGAGGCTATCACGTCCTCTTCAGCCGTGCGTAAAGTGTCATTCACTGGCAGCACCCGTGTTGGCAAGCTTCTCATGAAGCAATCGTCAGAAACCCTCAAGAAGCTTTCATTCGAACTAGGTGGTAACGCCCCTTTTATCGTCTTTGACGATGCAGATTTAGAAGCCGCAGTCGCTGGAGCCATTGCAAGCAAGTTCCGTTCCTCAGGCCAGACTTGTGTTTGTGCCAATCGTATTTACGTTCAACGAGGCATCTATGAAGAATTTGTCGAGGCATTCGCCGAGAAGGTTAGGAGTTTCAAAGTAGGTGGTGGATATGAAGAAGGCGTCACGCATGGTCCCCTGATCCACGACCGCGCCGTTGAGAAAGTCGAATCTCACGTCCAAGACGCCTTGAAACATGGCGGTAAGGTCTTAATCGGGGGACAAAAGCTGCCAGACCTAGGTGCCAATTACTTCCAACCTACTGTCATCCGCGATTCGACGGCCGACATGCTCATTGCTAGCGAAGAGACTTTCGGGCCCGTTGCTGCACTGTTCCCATTTGAGACTGAAGCAGAGGTCATCGAGTTAGCCAACAAGGCAGAAGTCGGCCTAGCTGGATACTTCTTCAGCAACGACGTCCAGCGATGTTTCCGCGTCGCGGAGGCCATAGAAGTCGGCATGATCGGTATCAACACCGGACTCATCAGCGACCCTGCTTCGCCGTTTGGCGGCGTCAAAGAGAGCGGATTCGGTCGCGAAGGCAGCAAGTACGGGATTGATGAGTATATGATCACCAAAACGTTAACTTTTGGTGGCATGGGTCTGCCATTGCAAGGGTCTAAGTAGACACGTTTGTATATGGTAATAGTGTCAGACATGATTGGTCACTATGAGCGAAGCATGAATAGCGCGCGACGAAACCTGAACAAGCAAACCAAGCATTACACTTACGCAACGCCGAGCGTAGGGCGAGCCCCGGATCTGCAGAGCTACTGCAGAGCAAGCAGTCTCCTTAATTGCATCATCAACTTCCCGTTCTCGCATTCAAAGAGGGCTCAGAAATTACCTAGCCCGCCTGAACGTAAAGAAAAAGACAGACATGAGATGCGTACATGCAGGTGAATTTGTTTATGTTATTATGATATCATACCTTCTCACCATCGCTGTCGACCTTTGTTCTCTCTGCATACGTCTTAGCATATGGACTGTGATCACTCAGCTCCTGCCCCAGTCCGCTTTGCAAGCCACTCCCGCTACCACCCGTCGCCATACTCTTCACATCCGCATTGCCGTTCACGGTATCTGCTACGGGCGTTGCCGCACCGCTATCTCCAGACGTCTTGCCACTGCTCGTATCTCTACTTTCCAGCACCTGTCTCGGTTCATTGTCCACCCTCGCACTTCGCATTGGCCCTCCAACTTCCATGGCTGTGTCAAGCGGATCGTTCCCAAACGAGAGCGATACGGCGACTTCGCCAGTGAGGTATAGGTACCAGTATGCGGTTGCGATGAAGAAGCCTCCACCAACAATGTTGCCAAGTGCTGTTGGGATCATTGATTTCCAGATGTAGTATGACACAGATATTGGTGCGCCCGCCCAGATTCCTCTATATCATGTAATTAGTGATATACCGAATAGACAGATGAATACGGCCTACGTCGGTATAAAGAACATATTTGCAACGACGTGATCGAGCGCCAGCCCAACGAAACATGCACATGGCCACCATATCGCCAGTATCTTACTTGCAATCTCGCGACTACTAATACTCGTAAATACGGCAAAACAGACAAGCCAGTTCGCGCCTATCGCACGTAGGAAGATCTGATGCCAGCCTGGGTTGACCGCCTTCTGCGTCGCCAATCGAATCGCTGCGTCGGTGTACGCTTGGGACTCCTCGAAGACGCCGCCATAGCCAGTGATGACGGTCACGAAGAATAAGGTACCGGCGAGGTTGCCGAAGAACGAGACAAACCAGTTTATTGCGAGGTCTTTGAGGGTGATCCGCCGATGGAGCAGAGCTGTCGTCATGAACATGATGTTGCTGGTGAATAAGTCGCTACCGCTGAGAACGATCATGATCAGGGCGACAGGGAACACGAAGCCACCCAGTGTGCGGATAAGGCCTGGGGCATTCTCCTGATACCAGGGAGCGGCGTTGGTTGAAAGGAGCCATGCCCTAGAATATTCCAAAAATTAGTCCTAAATGATGAAGGAACACCCATGTACTGACCCTCCAAAGCCGACAAACGGACCTGTAGCTACGCTATTGAAGAACAGCTTGTCGAGCCGCATATGAGCTTTCTTAGTTCCTATTCTCGAGACCAACTCGATCGTCTGCTGCGGAGTGAAAGCGTCCATGGCTAAGATAGGGCACTGTAACGGACTAGAAATGTTCGTAGACAGGTACACGGAGGACTTGATAATAGAGAGCACGAGGAACATTGTAGCAGATAACGCATGTTTAGTACTTTGGGAGCGCCGAGGAGATGCAACACTTAGCCTTAGATATGCCGCCTGTTTCATCGGCGCCGTCTCAGGGACGGCATGCTATAGTAGTAGACACTGGAGCCATGCAGACCCATCAATCGCTAGTAGCACATCGATCTTCCGACTGCCGGATAGTGGTACGGGAATGTTCGAGGTGTAGAGTGCTGATGACGTGCGTATCGATACTGTTATCTGATCGTCATGGTATTTTGATATGACAAATTGTACCGTGGATCAAAACCCTGAGGGACCACAGGACATCATTGATCCTTACGACTACTTGAGAGATAGAATCAGTCAACATGAAGATATACCCAAGTAGGAGATCTCGATTATCTGATGTGAGACTTAAACGATACGACTGTGAGGGTTATAATACGGTCCAGATAAGCTTCAGGCCGAGGGGCGCGCGGCATCGGCAGTACGGCGCACCGTTCCTATCAGAAGCGCCATTTGATATAGACCAGAAAAAGGGTCCAGCAAGGTAAATTATGTCATAATTTTCCACCCCGCCTGCAAGTAAAAGTTCGACGACATCTGCTAAGCAAAAAACTACTATAACGCGCCCACCGTAACATAGCACGAAATCGCCATCATGGAACTTACCGAAGAGCAGAAGGGAAATTTTGAAGATGTGAGCACCCATATGCACGTCCAATACCGCGAAACTAATTGTGACATACCATAGATCGAGAAGCAGTTCGCCGTCAAAGGTACGAGCACTACTTCACACCTCCTCTCGACTAGTACCCTCTGACGCGAAGGTTCCAGTTGTTCAGCATATGTCAACGTACTGGGGCATTCTCGAGAAAGTCCGTGGCTCGAAGCTTAAGCTCACAAAGATCGACGACGAAATTTACGAGCATTTCAAGCAAGAATTCCCTGAGTTCGATCCGACGGCAACGATAAATGAGGATGATATGAAAAGCAAAGCCGGCAAGGAGAAATGGCGCAACTTCATCATGCAATACGAGAAGAAGGTGGATGACTTCAACTTTGGCACGATGCTGCGGGCGAATCCGAAGTTTGACTATGGGGAGAAGGAGACCATATTCGGTGCGTATATATCTTCTGTGAAGTGACGCGGATAGCTGATAATAGTCTCAAGCTGTACGAATGCAGTTCTACGCGGTAGAGATTGTTCGGTATTAGATTTGCGCTCCCAATGTTTAATACTGACGCTGACCAACGGTTGTAGCAACAAAGAAGGTTTAAACGACTGGATATACGAGAAAAATCACCCAGATGAAGCCAAATCTTCATGAACAGGTTACAGGAGGTACTATCAGATCGGTGGCGAGGATTTCATGAGTATTCTCTTCTTGACTGAGAGAATTTTCATATGACCCGCACCAGCTGTCCCCCTACACAGAAGCCAACGGCATTGATGAATAATTTGCTTTAGCGTATCAAGCTGCTCAGGGATCCGCTTGAGGCTCACGAACGCTCACGTTGCGTGATGGAGGAATCTCGCGAATAGTAGACTCATAGATAATAGCCAGGTATCACACAGTGCAGAGGTGCCAAATGGAATCAAATGAGGACTCTCTGCGCCCCTATTTCACTGGGAAACTATAAGCTTTGCACAGAGATACATCCACTCTAACCAGCGTAGGAAGTCGCTTCGAGCTCTGATGGCTACACAATATGCAGCTGCTTTGTCCATACTTATCATTCGTCTTTCAGTATCCCACAAGCATGTGCTCTGTAGTTATTAGCAGAGAATCATGTGGAGTTCTGTTGGATACGCGATTTTTGACTATGATGTCGGCGTCAATCTGCACGTGTGTCCAGTCCCTCAATAATTAGTGTCAGTCATAAGGACAGCTCATTCGCTTCAGTCCCTAGTGGAGCTGCGGGTTCATCATTTCAAGCTACCGATCAAGGATTACTATGTTTCCAGGCATAAATATATTCAGCGCTATCAAGACAGAGGAATTGCGAAACCGTCTGTTTAATATCGCCAAATTAGTACTTTCCTTAAACAAGATCTCCGAAAACTTCATCCAGCTCAATTACTCTAGCATCTCGAGGATCACAGTTTATGAGATTGTTCTGCTAGGAAACAAGGACTGACATTGGGTTCCACAATGAAACCTCTTGGACTATCCACTCTATCGCGACGACTCCAAGTCCATGATAGGTCGAATCTACGAATTCATGTAACGGGCATTTGTAGAATCAACACTGTCAAGGACTGGAGTCTCGTGAACATGTATTTTGACGTCAATGGTTACTACCAAATTAAGGAGCAATACAAGTTTTTTCAAGTATTTGGGGTGCGGAAGACAGTCAACTAACTGCTATCTTTGTGTCTCCCTACTACAGCGTAGTTTCTTTGAAGCGCTGAGATCATAGATCTTACAGTGCATATCGACGAATCAGTGCTCTTCTCTAGCTAGAACCTTCGGATCTTCTCCCTGATATGAATAGACACATACCTTTAGTAATGTTACTACTCCAGATCTCATAGTGTATATCGATGACTATGTGCTATTCTTAAGGTAGGACCTCCGGATCTCCTACTTGATATAATGAAACACATACCTTTGCTACTATAACTATTCCAGATCTTATGGTTCATATCAAGGTTTAGCTGCTCCTTCCTAGTCGGAATCTCCACATCGTGCTTTAGATTCCAGCTTCTCATTGTTCAAACATATCTTATTCAGAAAATTATCTGTTGGCAATGCGAATCTTTGACTGCTCAGTGCATTTTGTGTCTCATTTGCTTCCCTCCTCATCAACTATACGGCATATAGCCATCTGCCTAACCCAGTGCCTTTCTATGATACATTTTTCTAGCTGCTCTAGCAGCCTCCGAAACCATGCTGGAGGCATCTCGCTACAGCTTTCATCCTTTATAGAGTCTCAGATATCCCAGAGCCGCAGTGAGCTCTAGCTCTTCCTCCTCCTTTCTCTCAATCCAAGGCTGTAGCTGGTTAAACAGCTTCTCCGTCACGAACCCCAGACCCGGCCTGGTGAAGTGTAGTTTGTCGATGTGTATGAAGATCGGGCGGATCTCTGCTGCAAAATCTCTGTCCAATGTTCCATCTATATCTAGAATGGTGATCTAGGAGATTAGTGGTCTGTTAGAAGGTCCAACCTGCTTCAAGACTTGTTGGAGTTCCACGATGTTCTCGAAGACAAATTAACCTTTATAGAGGAAGGAGGAGGCTTCGTAGTGGATTTGATGACAAGTTTGTAGGAAGCCTGCCGCCATCCACTCTCTCATCGCTGTGCTGTTCTAGAGTCCATTTGAAGCTGAAGTCGCTTTTGTCTTAATATAGAGGCCTCTGAAGTTCTTAATCTTTCGAGATGAAGCTATGCGGCGGAATATTATTCGATGACGTGGAACTAGTGCATACTCGTAGATACGATTTCTCACTTCTCCTGGAAGTTTGAGAAAGGGGAATTGCTGGGATGGCTTGACAAGCTTTGTTTCAGGCTTGACCGTGAAGGGGATATCAAATCGCGTAAGAGTGTTCTCGACTTGGGACACTGACGACATTGTGTATCGATGTTTCTCCGTTGAAATGTCGCAGTTCTCCTTTCAGGGAGCTAGACAATAGACAGTCTGCTGTGTAATATGTGAAAATAGTTTCAAGACTTCGCTTGACAGTCTTGGGCACAATGAGGATCTGATAGTTGTGCTTGTAGAAACCAGCTCTCGGGTAAACAGAACGTGTAAGAGCTGCCTGAAGATCTTTGCTGCCGCAAATGGCCTGTTTACATTCACCAAGGGGCCCTGAGTGACCGACTTGCCGACATCCAATAGCTATTTAAGCAGAGTTTTTCTTCACTTCCTTCTTACACTCTTTGCTACATGCCAAAGACTCAACTTGCGTGCACATCTTCAGCTTTCAAAACCTACACTCCCTTTAAAGACCATTCATTGTCAATCATTCCAGATCTATCATATCCACGATGAGCTCTGGTTTCTTCCAAAACCTGACTATACGGCCCAAGGTTTCAGCTGTTGACGAAGACCCCTCTCTCTCCTCCGCCAGGCACATCACAGATCCTCACACTGGTACACCTCTCAACCCTCCAAGCACCAGTATCACCGCCAGTGCATCTACTGGCTACACTCACCCTCAAGGGAGCAAGGGAGCACAGCTTCAAGAAGCTCCCTACACCTCATACACAACAAGTAATCTCCTCGAGCTTGGCAATTTGGAGGTTAGAGCGGCCATCTGGGGCCATGTTTTGTCTCTCCCTCTGGACAAAACACTGATTCTACAACGTCACGTCAGGGATCTGGGCCGCCCCAGCACCGACCGAACCGCTTTGCTCCGAGTGTGCAAGGAGGTCTACGCAGAAGCAGTCCCACTTCTGTACGCCCAGTCCCTTGTCTTCTACTCCATCAACACCCTCCGATCGTGGGTAATCAAAGTCGACATCAACGTCGACCATCTCTCCTCCATTGTCCTTCGCCTGCAGACCCAACTGGGTCGGGGCCATTACACCATTTCCGGAGAGCTCAAGAGCGCCTTGGGCGTTTCTGGCCTCAGCAGAGCCGGCTTTCTTGGGTCCTTGGCGCTCGATGGCCAAACCCCAGCCCTCCTCGACAATCAGTTCCCTCAGTACCAGGAGGAGGGGACTGAACGAGCCGACATGAGGCTCGTTCATATTGTGCGGAGGAGGGGGGCGGCGGCAGAGTGGCCGTGTGTGTGGGACGTCGAAGTGAGGACTCTCGGCAGAGCCTTTCGGAGATTCAAGGAGCGCCAGGCTCGACAAGATGGTCCTACAGAGGCGTGGGCAGAGTATAGGAACTTCTTCGAAATCATGTAACATAGTTGATGGAAGCTCAATACATGATGACCACTGTAGTGTGGTACTACATTTTTTCGTTCAATGTGTGACTGATTGAAGATCTGAACAGTGACGCAATCAAAATTCGTGCCTCTGAATAATACTGTTGATACAGTCTCGTAGCGAAGAACTTAGAGTCGTATTAATTTCTTTCCACACGATACATTTTCAAGACCTTCAAGGACATGCAAACCACAGTTACACTACCGCAAAACATGATTCGATGTCAACAGTACTCTCTCATTACAACACCATGATAGATGATATAATGTATCAGCTATGTCAATGCTGCTTAAAAACATACTATAATCCCAATGGACTGCAGTTCTTAAACGTTGTGGGTCGTTAACACCCCACTTGAATCTGGTGATACGTTGTGTCTAAGCCGTTCAAAGGCTTCTAATTGCAGTTCCGAGTACAGTTTAAAATATTTCCACCTGATGTAGCCACCCCTATTCCTTATCCCCATTGGCGTTTTCGATTGTTCTTGACGAATTGTAAGTAGGCAGATCTCGCTCATGTCTGCATAAATCCGGATTTCAAGACTTCAGAGATACCGACCAAATAGTAAGCTTTTATAATATTTGATGGATTCACACCTTGAGTATATGTCATTAATAAATGAGATCTACTCCTGGGCTGCCAATATAGCTACAAACGTAAATGATGTCAATGCGTCGCAGGGGCTAATTAGACATATTGACCTGGTTATATTGCATAGTATAATAGCTCTCTGTTGTGCAAAATCGCGATTTTTACCTATCATACCCTTGAAAATTTGATACAGCGGGGTTAGTATAGCAATTCTGCCAACTTGATCGACCCAATCTACTCACTATTATTTCAAACGACTACAATTCTACTCTCATCGAGGGCCTCAAGGTCGTGTATCCAGAACAGCGTCGAGAAATATCACCAAGATCAAGGAACCGATTAATTCATTGCCATACGGCCGACTCAAAGTTTATATCCGCATTCTGGCCTCGATTTTTTATACACGGGCGATATATCATCGATACTATCTGGTCTCGGGATGTGGTATATCTACTCTCAGTCTGAAGAATTGCGATTCTGTTCTCCGGGTATTGTGTGAAGGACGTGATTGACGTGGCGGTAAGCAACAGCACTGTCTAAAACCTCACTTTCGTAATCTCTCTCTGTGTCCGCCAACACAGTGGATCGATGAGTTCTATGACTTCATTTTAACTCTTTCCGTAGATTATGAATCGGGAGCTTCAATGAACACTCAATGTTATCGAATGCGAGAACTTCCATCGCCTGATCTTCCGCGTCATACCTTACCTCCACAATCAGCGTCGATAAACAACTTAGGTTCTCGGAGTCCTACGGTAACGGAAACAAAAGAAGAACAAGAGAAGAAGATACAAGAGATACAAGAGATACAAGAGATACAAGAGATACAAAATCGTAGCAAGAGCTAGAGGTAGGAGGGGACTATGTAGCAGGATTGGATGATATGAGCGTGCCTTCCGCGTCGATCGACCATAAGAAAGGGTTGTAGATAACCTCCAATCCTTCCTTATCCACCATATAAACCAAACATTTCTTACAAGACTCTCGTCTGGCGACGTGCACCGGAGAATAAAGGGGCTGGGTTGACGTCGAACCAAGTCCTTGTGCTTTGGACGGATTGTGTCTCCAAAGTCCTATCGATGTAGTCCACGGAAAACGATAACGTATACCCAGCTAAACGCATCAAAGTGAGTCGTGAATCACAGTCCTACAGTCTACCTACAGTCTATCTATACAAATCGATACACATCATGACAGTAAACCTGAAAAACAGATTTCCCAAAGACTTTCTGTCAACAATAGTGCTTTGAATCCTCCACTTCTTCCATTGCTCTTCTACTGCATGAATGAAAATCACAATCGATACCACATTCGGAATCTCCATTTAACGCCTGATTCATGCAGGCCACTCACTATCCATCAATCCGTCACAGGCATATCGTCCGTATACAGAAATGATCGCTAGCGCTTGATATTTCGGTGCAACGGAAGCTTATGAGAGAGAGCTAGCTTCCGTCAAATCAGGCCTGGAGGAGGTCTAGACGGTGTCAGAACCTCGACACTGTACTGTACAGTAATTAGCACCGACGCGACAGCAGCACCCGTAGACTTAGCCATGAAGATTCATGGTTTGCTAGGATAGATCCCCCTAGCCATCCATCCGCGAGAGCTGTGGAGACGAGCAACCTTGGGATTAAACCTCCGAACACTCTAGACGTTATGCATGCTATGCTGCACAAAATTGCAATCAGGTACATACTCAGCTGTACTAGGAGATATACTGTATCCTTCGGGATGTTTAGCCCACGTGGTTCGGGGGTCTTTGGGGGGGGGACGTTGAGACGTCTTGAGTAAAGATTACAATACACGCACCCAACTTCGCTGTTTAAGAGCTAGGCAGCTCGGAACGTACATCCCGAAGTAGCCCCCCTCCCCTCCCCCTTTGCGAGAGATATGCTTAAGTGTCGAGCTCATGCGCCATGCATGCTAAGATTCTATATGCAAGGTCGATCAGTTTGAGTCGGACGTAGTTATTCCCCCCTAAATTGCCAGAAAGAGCTTGGAGACAGGCACATGCAAAATACGAAAGATAATACTGCGCGTCTGATGATTGGTGGGAAGGGGCTTCATATTTCTGTTTTGGGCAGGATTGCTTAGAGAAGTGGCTTGGAGTGTGACCAATGGTGAGGAAGGAACCCTTGGACGTTCCTCGGCTTAAAATCACGACGAAGGCACTAGACGTTGTGACGAGGCCTTCAGTGGGACCGGTCGGGTTGGGATAGCTTCAGATATTGGTGACCATGGCTGGGACGAACACCACTAGCTGGTTGTCGAGTAAACGCTTTATATACTAGGGCTCTGTCAATATGTGGGCCTAGATGACCGCTCTGCCCACCTGGTCATTCGTACCCCGGAGTCCCTTGTAGCTCCATAACGGATATTTATTGACATGAATAAGAGCTGCCCGGGCTGTAGTCCGGCGTCACCAAGTGCATGTCTCCAGCTTGCCGGGTTGCAGATGCCTCTGAGACTGACGTCCACTTGTTTGACTTATGCGGACAGCTGAATCTTAGCTAGAGCATCGCCTGCTACTGTCGGACTTGATGCCCAACTCGAAATATGATTGGGTATAAATGTTAAGTAAGGCCCAAAAGGCAGGGGACTACAAACATGGTCTATAAATGCTCTCAGGATTTCAATGCTGATATGCCCTGAAAAGAGGTGCCAAAACGAATAGAGTGGCTATACACATCCTAGGAGAAACATTGAAATGTATAGACACATAGAGCTCCAACAGAGAAAGAATTTCAAAGGGTATTTGATCGCTTTTCGCAAACGCCGGGCAATCCTTGGCCCAAATACAAACATCTTGGTATAATTTCCATTCAAATAAAAACGCCTACTTGCCTTTTGTGAATGCCCAGAATGATCCATTATACTCTATCCGCTCCTCATATCTTGACATCATGTAAAGGATCCGCATTTTATAATTCAGTGACTACGAGTCTCGGTGAGCCGAGTACGGCGGCTGGTAGAAGATCATGGCAGGCCACTGTGTTTGTGAGTCCATAGCTGGCACTCCTGTATGTATCGCAGTCGTCGGAGGCCCGGAGTGCATCGGCCCTGGTCCAGGAGCTGTAGAGCTTCTTCTGTTACCCCCGAGAGCCATTAATGCGTTCGCGGATGTCAGATTTGGATGTTGCTGTGGTGCAGAGGTAACAGCGATGCCGTATCCCGGACCCGAGTGATGAGACGGATGATGCTGGGCGTGGTCATTGAGATTGTTGACAACGTGTTGACGTGTCCACTCTTGCCAGGCAGCGGTAAAGTGGTTTTCGCGATCGGGAGCAGGATGCTGCATCATGACCGGTGCGTGAACGCTATACATGGCATGATGATGAGGTGCCTGCGCTTGTGTTGAAGCCTGGAGTGCCTGAAGGACACGCTCGTCGTCCGTCAGACTGGTTCTGTCTGTTACCGTGGCAGAAAAAGAAACCGGAGCAGAATGAGCTGGACTATGGTAGCCTTGTGAGTGCTGCTGTGTGTAATGAGATGGTTGGTAATGACCAGCTTGATGAGGAGAACCCCCGAGATACTGCTGTCTCGACTTTGCTTCGACATCCGTTCGTGTTGGAGGATAGTGATCTTGATAGACTATCTCCGGAGTCCGATCAGCGGAGGTTATTTGGCCAACAGACTGATCGACTGCTGCATTGGCTGATGTCTGGACAACACGAGCACTGATGGCAGCCATGCTAGGGTCGATGATCTTTTGAACTGCTGAAGGCAGTCGATCACCCGTACCTGAAACGTGTGAGACAAATGGTGCAAATTATCAAAATGAATGTTGGTCTTACCATATATCTCACCAATAGCCTCCAATACCTGAATCCAAACGTCCATATCGGCTTGCAGGTCTGTGACCTCCTGAGATGTGACTGTTTTTTTGTGTTGTGTATATATGTACAACGTAGTGAAAATTGCTGCAAGATATACTATGACGTTCACCCATGGTATATCCAAGCTCTTGTACTGCCGAAGCTCATCGACAACATGGACAAGATCTCTTGCTGCTTGCAAGCAAGCAGACATATTGTACTCGGCAAAATCTGGATTGGTAGAGGTGCATACTGCAGGATGGTGGAGGAGCAGCTTGACTTCCTGTTCCCAGCACAATGTATAGCGTGCGAATATGTAATGCTCACCCCCGTCGACGTCGGCGGCAAACTCCTTGGGCATACTTTCACGCCATTTAGCAAGTTCTGTTTCGATGTTTCTGACCGTTCTCTCGTAAGTCTGCGGGCTCTGACGGATTGAGTAGATTGTGCTATACATCTTGTGGACGACGTTAGCAAGTCCTGGCGTGCGCAGTCCGATCTGGAAAGAGCAGTCGCTGAACTTCTCCAGAGGTTTGCCGTCACCTTCATCGGTGTCGTTTAGTGGAAGAGGGAACTCGACATCGATGTCTTCCGGGCGGAGAGGCATCGGCCGACCAAGTCTGCCACTTAAGCCTATGAGAAGCGCAAAAAGTGCCCAGAAGACACGCTTTCGTAGCTCGACCATCTGTTGACTCATTTGAGTCGATTCTACCCACGACTTTGTTGAACGATGTAAGCCAAGCTCGATCGCTACGGTAAACGCGATACTCGTGACTAGCCATGCTGCTCCAGGTTTAGGGAGGTTGCGCATATGGATAGACAATAACGCCAGTGCTTGAACATCCTCTAAAGTATGACTGAGAAGGAGATCCGGGAAATGACTGATGGCAAACAGATAGTGTTTATGAGCTTCTCCCAGAAGGTCGGGTTGTGTATTTCGTGTCGATATCTGGTATTTGATCATGGCAAGAATCATGTGAATGATGGCAGTCTGTGCCGCAGTAGGTTGGAATGAACTGTCATTGTATACTTTCCACACCTAGCATTCGTGAGCCTATTGTAATAAAGAATGGTCCGTCAAGACTTACGAGGTTCATAATGGCAGGCTTATGGAATACAGGCATATAAGGATGTAGTGAACGGAAGTACCATGTCATGAATTGACGCAGCTCCTTTTCTTCTGGAAAGTTTAATTTGTCAACATGTGCTCGACCGAGGGCAACTCGTAGGAAAGTCTGGTACGAAGTCGGTGAAGCCTCCTCATCTTCGTCTTGTGGTACGAAGTCTGTCAGATTGAGCTCAACTCCGAATATAGATAAGGAGGTGCCTTTGATAGGGCTAAGTACAGAATCTGTTGACGATATGCCCAGATAGTTATCCCCATAGCATCCTGTTCTGAATGTGGGTAAACCACCTGAGGCTAGGCCATCTGGTTGAGATGTCTTAGTTCCTTCGGAACTTGGGTCCTCGTACGAATATGATGGTGTGAGATGTCGAGTCGCTTGGTCTCCTACATTGCCAGTGCGATCTGGGTGTGCCCACGAAACATGCTGTGTCTGCGCCGATGGTTCAACGTATGCAGGGAAGGGCTGAAGCGGCTTGACATCAGCTCCTGTGTCCCTCAGCTGAGATTGAAGGTCGGCGATTATACGCTTCAGATAGTCGTTTTCTGCTTCGAGATGTTCAGTATGGCCTCGAGTAGTCGCTCGGCCGGTGATGCGATCTGTAGTTTTACACGGCGTGTTGTTTTGCGCACAAGGCGAGCAGGCACCAGGTCTGCCGTCACATCGTATCTTGCGTACCTAAATGAAGGATATGAATCAGTCGCGTGTCGTGTAAGGTGGTACTGTGGTAGCCGTGTGACGTGAGTCTGTGATACATACCTTGCAACGGTCGCAGGCTTGCCCAGTCCGTGTGGAACTGGACAACTTCTTTTTGACCGAATTGGAGGAGTCCTGGGGGTGAGAGTCCGGGGAGTGTTCAATTTTGAGGCTCTTTTGAGGAGAGGTAGGGCTTTCATCCCCCTGCGAGCGCTTTGGAGCCATATCCTAGTGTAGATGGAAAGTTCCGTGATCACACCTCAGTTTGCCGAGAGAGGCACCGCTTCGGGCTTCCCGTGAGCTTGAAAGCCTCAATCGAAATGGCGTTACATTGAGGGCTCAGTACGAGCACGATCTTGTTCCTGTGAGAGTCGAAGGGTGTATTTGAGAAAAGGCGTACAGCAGAGCTGGAGAACTTGAAGCCCGGCCATGAGGATGGGCGACCAGAGATGGAGCGAGAAGAGGGCAAGTAATATTTCGTAGCTTTTCTTCGGGGGGAGGGAGGGGGGGTGTATAATGGGTGAGTAGTTTTGGTTTAGGGGAGGTTAAGTTAGGTAGTAGGGTAGAAGAGAATTCGGTAGGCCGCTGCGCCCGGCTTTGAGATGGGGGGAGTTCTTTAGCTGCAGGTCCAGCGGCCATCGTTCACGCCCACAAACGTTACCGAGCCAGTCTAGCTTTGCACCTCAAATGCACCCCGGACTCTCCGAACACGTGCATTGTCGTCGTTCTGCTCAAGGCTCGACCGATCGACCATTCCCGCTCCGCAGATCTACCTTCTCGTACCACAGCCTCCGAAAGAAAACCTCACCTCAATCAGTCTGCAGGTGAAACATCCTGGACAAGGGACAAGGGACAAGGGACCAGGGAACTAGGGATAAAAAGAAAGGCTCTGGCGAGTCTGCAAGCCCAATACGCCCCCAGAACGTGGCACCCGTCCCACTAACGTCATATTTTCTCTGATCCAGCTTTTGTGCCTTGGTGGCAGACCGCAGATCGACTTGTATCAAGTCTCAGCCTCATCTCGCTTAGACCAAACCATTCGGGTTACAAACCTCAGACAAGCAGACAATGATGGCGCCTATCGCGGTTGAGACGTTGCACCTTTCACATCTGCCTGAGCAGCCAGTCTACGTTGCGCTGTTCACAGGCGTCACGAATGCATCCCAACTATTGGACAGAGTGCAGGCCGCTGGTAGAGACGAATTCAATGTACAAGAAAGGGCGGACCTTGAGTACGCTTTCCTAGACGCCGCTTCAGTATGTTGACCTAATATGTGCATTATTCATCGATACGCCAACTTGTACCCGACACAAGTGCGGATCACCATATCAGGATACTGAGCTGATGGCCACTCCTGAGCAGATACTCTCTACTACACATCTTCTATCTGCAGTTTTTCGAGCGCTAAATGATCAGAGTAAGAATCGTCTGAAAAGCAAAAACATTCACTCCGAAATCGTTTTCTGTCTGAGTCCTAACAACAACGTAAGCTTGTGATTTCATGTTCTGTGCCTGGAGACTCATCGACTTCCCACTCTTACACAACACTGCAGATCGGCGAAAGCTTCCGGCGTTTTGGTGTCGCCAAATCCACGACAAATCTGCTTGTGGTTAAGGTACCGGATCATGATTCGACAGTGACTGCACAATCGATTGCTGAGCATCTCGACACGCGTATTGACATCAAAGGCAGTTCAGTTGCGTTCTCAAACGAAACCTTGGCCGCATGCTCTCATATCGATAATATCAAGAAGATTTATAAAATTACTGATGACAGCCCCACCCAGCAGGCCAAGAGGAAGAGAAATGATAAGCTTCACGTGAATGGGGACTCGTCCAGCGACGCTCCAAAGATCGAAAATTTACAAAATATCGAGAGCATTATCTTAGGCACTATGGCGCTCAGAGGTTCTTAAGCACGTTAGCCATGCACACCTGCATTGAGATTCCAGGCTACAAGAGCGTCTAGGCGCAGTGGTAACAACGTCCAATACTTCACTGTTACATCCACTATTCTACATATTGAACTCCCCAGTCTATCGATGAGCGGCTGCAATGCAAATCCAATTCTACTTGTAGTAATATTCGGGCTTGACGTAATCAGAAAATGTCTTTGGTTCCTCATAGCCATGGTGGTCGTCATCTGCGCAGATAGTCTTAGTAACGAAGTACATAGCAATGAAGATTTTGACTTACGACCGTGTTCGTTGTCGTGCGGGTCATCTGGAGGGCCAACATATGCCATCTTGTATACAGATCCGCATTCAGGGCATCGGGCAATGGGCCTTTTGCGGGTCATCTATGGGATTTTAGCATCACGGTCTTCCTTGTAGAGCACATTCTCATACCAGTTGCCAAAGCACATTATGCGAGCCGGCCGGAAATCCTGTACATCCGGCGTATTGCTCCTCTCCAGCGGATCTGACCATAATAGGGTTTTCCATCGTTCCTACCATTCAGATTAGTATCCTATGAGGCAAATATGAACCATATACCACGGAGACTTCAGCGGCTAGATATGTGTGGTAGAGAGGCTGTAGATTCAAGGATGCGCACCTAACCGCGAAGCGTCCAGAGGCTTCATGTCGAAGATATCGACACCCTGCATCTTTCCGATAAGCTCCAAGCGTTCGAGACCGGTAGCTTGTTCTGCATCAGTGGGAACGGTACCAGGCGCGGCACCGGGGGGAAGGAGGTCTTCCATCGTTCTGATCTCTGCAGGCCTCGTCAGTGCTGGCCCATGGGCTGTGTACAGGTATGGTATTTACCCTCAAGCTTCTTGGTGCCTTCCGGGAGGGTAGGTGGCTTGATGTCCATGGAGACCTCTATATTGATATCGCGTCAGTCCTCATATCCTCTGACCCCAACGTCGGGCTTCTAGAAACGTACTGCGAGCAATGGAGACTGCAAAAGTCCGCTTGACAGGAGCACGCACAATGGCGCTGCGCGCCAAGGCGACGGTAGATCGCTGAAGGAACATATCGAATGTCAATTGGCGACGGAGTGGAGAGGCGTGAGGTTTGAGACGTGGTCGACAGCTTGCCTAGGGGAGGTGAGGTCGAGGAGCTCCGCAAATTCCTCGGTCTACAAAAGGCTTGGCGTGTTCTACTTTCCAACCTCAACCTTTAATCTGCCCTGATATTTCTAGCGTCGTGATATCATATTCCACACAAACGTCAATTCACATCATAAATTCTCAACTATTCAATCATGAGCTTTGCGTCCATACGCATTTTCCAAGACCAGGATACAGCAACTTCACGCACTACGCAGGACCAATCAGGAGCTCCTTAGATCCAGCTGAGTCATCTGCCCTAGCCAAACTTGACCAGGTTATCGATGGTGATATTGTATGCCACGCACGCAGGACAGAAGGCACAGATTGGTATTCCATGGTCGTGAGATCTTCACAATACATGCATCAGTACAAATGTAAGATTCCCTACTAAGTAAGTTGCATGCCGCTTGCACCTGAGAGCGTTAAGAGACAATGCTGCACCGAGAGACGTTAAACAGCATGAGAACCAAGGAGATAGTCGCGACTATAGTTGAGCGAACTCAGCGATGAGAAAACAAGAAGATGTATTGCAAAATCTTATGAAGGCGACAGCACTCATATACACGAGGTACATGTTTAAGAGATGCTAAGATAGATCATTGCATGGTACACTAATTTATGCACAAAATTGTGGTCAGCAGTAGTAATATGAAGATGTATTAAGCTACCAGCAAGTATACATGTTTACCAGCATCAGGACTCCCAATCGCTATCTCTTCGTTAGTCGTATCCTTTCCAAAAAGTTCCTCCTACTCGCCGACATTCGACAAATTTGCTGTGATAATTATCTGGAGTGCTGCCACTACGACAAGCACGCTAACAATTCAGACACAATCTTTATCATCTGTGAATCAATCGCCTTCTGATAACATGGTCAGAGTCGTATTCATCCAGTATGACTACAATCTTGACTAAGACCTTCATAGCGACGTCCGAGCGCGAACAAAAAGTCCGGAAAAGTATTTATAGACGTCCAAGCTTGGATTTAGACAGGTTCCTTGATTAGTGAACTAGTCCAGTTCGGCCTGCCAGTGCCGACAACCCCCTTAGCCGTCAAACCATTCACAATAACCGTAATATAACGTCAGCAGCATCAAGACGCAACATACAAAGAATATGACCGTTTCCAACTCACATCTAGTATGAATATGACGTAAGCGCTCCGGAGAGTGCTACTGCATAGGGAAGCTATGCTCACTCGCGTGAGTACCATGCAAGTCGATGCACTTTCTGCAAGAGACATAACATTGGTGGCTTATCCTAACACTGTTTGGGCTTCTGAGGCCGAGATGCTGATACATAGTCGGGCAGCAATACCACAGAGCCATAAGTGCCGGTGCCAGGCGGTGCGGCGCCACCGGACCGATACGCACAATCTTGCAACGTAGTCTCTCTTGCTATAATTAAATTCGATCGCCTCGATTACTTCCGATGGCTAGAATCATTCACACTCGGCCGCAGTGTAGCCAGTATGAACGTCCGTTTCCAAAGAACAGAACAGAAGACTACACGACATGAACACATAACCTTAATCGCCAGCAAGCGCTTTTTCGAATGCACCGGAAATCCCAATCGACATGTCCACGGAGGTACTTTGACCTGGCCCGGGACAGATCTTGGTAACGCTCACTCCACGTGGGCTTTAGCGTCAGATTAACCTTCGGTGGACGGATCGCCACAGTCGGAACGCGCCTGTTCACAACCACAGTACCAGGTGTCGCAGCGTCATACAAGTCGAACCGTCCGAACTTTATGCTCATCGCTTAGCACGAGCGATCGACTGTCATGACCTATCGTTTCATCGCTAGATCTAATTGTGCGTTCCGTTGTTTCATGCTTCTTCGGCAGGCAACACGGCATATTGTAGTACTGATACATGTAGTGAATCCTCGTTCTCGTTTCCGCGAGAAGGTATAGAGGCTCCCCCTTGGTTGGCTCTTACATGGTAGCCTCGAGAGATCCGCCGGCTTAGTGTCCCCCCTTCAGGAGAACTCGCAAAAAGTGACTTTGGGACTACAGTCTCAGCAGTAACCGGCTGCATGATACGAGCTTATGCGACGCAGCCCGTGAATTCTCCGAAGAATACGATGGGAGATTCTTGACTAGTCGACGTGCGGAATATCTAATTAGATTGAGGGTGGGATGGAAAGCCGGCCCAGCTCATTGGCGAGATCGGTGCTTGACAGACGTCGGTCGCTGTCTGGGGAGTAGAATGAGCAAGGAGGGACGGTGCGTGGCTGTCTGTTCTGGACAGTGGAAAGAGTTTGAGGTGTAGAGATGGATTGTAGGAGGGACAGGAGGGGTATCATGGTAGGTTCGGTCTACGTGATATGAAATCCAGAGTTTTGGGTTATCATCATCTACCTGAACTTCTCTGAACATCTGTCTTGAAAGTGCTGTTATGCTCAAGTATCCGGGTGATTGAGACCTTCCAGCTATGATCTCAATAGCCTATCTAGGGACTCACAATCCAGGCGGTGAAGCAGCGTCACCCGAGGAACGACTTGGAGCTATGTGTCAAAAGTGCAAGGTGAGAATCTCCCGAAGTGGTAGTTTCCAAGGGGTTATTGGGTCGTGCAGCGAAATATATCGAAGATATACAGAAAACAGAGAACTCCAAGATCATGACCCTCAGATAGCCTAACCATGCGCAGAAGATCCGGATACAGCTCGTGTCTCTATACATCTGAACAGTAATAGTAACAGGTGTTTTGTCAGTCAAGTCCTCGTTGCTATATGTTCAGAGCCGAAAACTCGTGATTACATCAAATAGGTCCTCGAAGTCTCCAAACGTGCCCCTTGCCAGAGTCCGGAATAAGGTAAAGACGTCAAGAATGCTATGCTGATACGAGTTTCTTGTAGTGTTCTTTATGTAGTCGTTTATGATTTGATAAGGCTTCAATCGGTACAAAGTGTCCATAGTAGTGCAAGTAATGAGATTCCAGAGTCATGATAGCTGGAGTCTACGTTCCGACGCACTTGTCTTCTTTTCGGGTGTAGACGCATCTAGATTGGGCGTCGCACGCCATGCTCGTACTTCTCGGTAACAAGTCTGACCCTGTAGAGATCAATCCATGAAAAACTCCATTGCCATTGAATGCCCATAGTCCTTTCTGATATTGGTATTCCGCTCTCACGTCGGACTCATCTAGCCTTCCTCCCCCTCCCCCTCTTCGGCCGCACCTCCTCCACCACTTTCTCCTCCACTTGTTCCACCTCTTCCTCCTGTCCCTCCACATCCCCTTCTTGCTCCTCTTCCCGTTGTTCATCCTCATCCATACCCCCCTGTCCCTCTGCCCCATCCACATCCATCTGATCACCCCCAGCATCCCCATCCCCATCCTCCTCATCCCCACCCATCTCCGTATTCTCCCCACCAGCAGCAACCCAGCCCTCCCCCTCACCATCCCCACCAGCACCCTTCTTCACAGCCCCATGCAACCCATCAAGCGTCGCCTGACCATTCGCACGCGCCAGCTTCGCCGCCGCCCTCCTCGCCTCCTTGACCTTCCGCACCGTCGTCGTCCTGGGCACCACATCAGCCAAGAAATTCAGATTATCGATGCGGGACACCGCGTTCGCTACGTCGCGGTAGTGGATCTGGCGGCGCTGTTTGCGCTCCGTCTTCACGACGGTGTGGGTCTGCTCGACGAGGTGGTGGATGAACATCTCGGCGGCGATGGTCAGGATGAAGGCGGCGTTGTTGGAGCATGACGCGATGTCTTCGTCGGCGGAGAGGATTTTCTTGACGCGTGCGACTGGAGTGAGGGGGTTAGTTGCTGGGCTAGTGATTTGGGGGAGTGAGGGGAGCGTACGTGGGAGGTTTGCTGTGCCGGTTGCGACGGCAGAAGGCGTGATTGGGGTGTTGTTGTATGGCATTGTGGCGATGAAGGGTGTCCAAAAAGGGGGTTAGAAGGTGGAAGTCTGAAGTGAAAGGTAGACAGACGTGGTTTCAATGAGAAATGTGTGGCATGCAGGCGTCCTTCGACATGAGACGCGAGGTGAAAGCGAGACGCGTCGAGTGGGGCGCGCTAACGTGGGTGAGTGTAAAGTGGTTTTTGCTCTCACTGCACTGCTGCACACTCACAATACCAGACCAGCGAACAAAATAATATCACATGCACCAGGCAAAGCCAGATGAGTACAGCATATTTCTCCCAGGTCTAATGTATCAACAATTTGAAGAACTTTGGTATGGCAAAATACACTAAGACTATACAAAACACCAATGAATCGTCACCTGCATGCTAATCAAAACAAATCGGGTATCACACTCTCACCACCTAAAAGGAACCTGCAGCAGCAGTCGCTGTATAAGCCGGAGGTAGCTGCTGCTCACTCCCAACCTTCTCGAATATCGCCTGTCTGGCGAGCTGCAGATCCCTCCTGGCGCTGCCCAGTCTCTGCGCAAGCCCATCTAATTCTCCCTTCTGTCTCCTCTCCTCAGCCTTGACTTGGTCCGCACGCTGCATCAGCGTCCTGGCAACATTGTTGAGTTGCGCCGCAGAGTCCTTGATCTTGTCGTGGAAAGCCATGTCAGAGAAGATATTGTCGAAGAGCACATCGCTCATCATATTGCCCTGGGCAATGCTGACGGGCCCGATAGGCTGGAGCTCAGGATACATCCGTCGCGCCTGGTCGACTGCGCTCTGCAACTGGGATGCCTCGGATTGGGCTTTGCTGAGGGCGTCGCGCTCCGCCATGTCGGCCATCATTCCGCCGCCAAACATGTCTAGGCGCGAGGCATCAAGAGCATCCTCGATGTGTGCCTTTGCTCGCATGCAACGTTTGTTAGCGTCGGAGAGGCAATGCGAAGCCTGCACGATAGCCTGGTAGTGCTGTTCGGCCGTGTTGAATGCTTCACGAGCCTGCGAGTAGGGCCATTCTTTCTGGTCTTCTTCGGGGAAAGCAGGCGTGGGACCGGCAAAGATCATGTGATAGAGGTTGTCGAGTTCCTGCTGTGCTGCGGCATTTGCGTTTGCGTCGCGCTGGTATTGGTCTTTCACTGGACGAGCCTCGCCCAGTGCTGACTCGATGCTTTCGAGGGAGTCTTTGCTTTGGCGTTCGGCCTGGAGCGCTTCGTAGTATTCCTTTTCTTCCTTTTCAGTCTTGCTGGCGAACTTTTCTTTGCCCTTGCTGCCTCCCATCTTGTGCATGAAGCGTTTCATGGTGGAATCGCGGTACTTTCCGAACTCGCCCTTTTCGATTCTGGTCTTCCATTGGTAGTGCTGGTAGTCTTTCTTGGTCTTTTCGAGCTGGCTTTCTAGATCTTTGATGTAGAGGGCCTGCTGCTTGAGGGATGCGGGTGCATAGTCTGTCTTGGAAAGAGTCGCGAGAAGTTCCTCGTTCTTGGGGCCAAAGTTGGCAATCTGGTTCTTGATGTCTGACATGATGGAATTGTTGAAGTATGGATGGTGTTTACTGCGCGATGGTGCGGTTGTGCAGGAGCATTCTTGTGTATGGTGAGACCTTATACTTATACTCACACTTGTCGACCATGCGAGTCCATATCCCAGGCACAGCACGAGGCTGTGTGGCGTCAATGAGGTGGGCCAAGAGCAAGCGTCAGCATGCCAAGCATATTTTCGAACGTGTAACGACATAGTAGAACATCATCTTCTCTTTCGAGCATGACGGGAGGCCAGAGACTTGTTCCTTCGCCCCCATTTCTAGACGAATGTATGGAGCAGTTCGGTTGGTTTCTGGTTCGCTGATTCCAAGCGCAGTTAGCTTCAGGTAAATCTCCATTCACAGCACACAGCCACGGATTTTCATGGCCATGTGTCGAATGGGAAAGTGATGAGCCAACGAAGAAAGATGATCTTACTTATTTGACGGAGCGGTTGGCAAGAAGAGTACATGCATATACAGATGTTGTCAGTTTAGGCAGTGCTGCGCCATACTGTGGCTTGACCCTCCATACAGGAATGACATCATTTGGACATGCCATCCCCGCAATTCACTTTTGTCTTCTTCCGGTAGTCCATGCGAGCAAGGGTTTTCAAGAATTCATTAGTCCTCAAGGATCTTTGGTAAGCAAGGGAATGATGTAAACAGACGTCTGACAGCGAAAACACTTGCTAGTCTCAGCTTCTAGAGCAACACGTCGCCATGCGATCATAACCATACTAAAGACTATCTATGCGCATATGTACTGCGGTGTCTGCACCGATTGTTTCATCCTACCTCAACGTTACACAAAACCAGGGACCTCGGCAAGAACTAACATGTTGACAAACATGTAATTAGCAGTCTCTCTCATTGGTTCAAGTATATATAATTAGCACCGATCTAGATCCAAAGGAGTCATTCAAGCGAGATAATTTACCCTTCGGAACCGACTTCCGAACTCTGTTTCTCCTCGACACTTCAATAACATCTCCATAACCGTTTCACATCGCATTCAACGCATCTCTACTTCTTCATCTGCCCTCTAAACACTATGCAGCAGGTACGCGCGCGTATGCGATGTGACACAAGGCGATGAAAAGAAAGCAGCACGTCCTGCGAGCAGCCTATCAGGAGTCTTACTGTGCCGCCGCCCCTTGGACCACCCATCCCATTCCATCACCCGGAACAGGACGTTAGCTCGAAACTACATAATTACGCCCCCCAAAATCCCCGTTAGATTCTTATGGTCAATCCATAGTAAAACTTTCTTAGCTAGCTACATCCCATTGGAGATGCTTGCGCCGCACTCCTCCTTTATAAAGCTGTAATTTCTCTCTGCTTGCTTGGTTAAGGCATAACGTGCATGGTTCTAGGTACACATTCGTTTCGAAAGACACTTACTTTTCATTCATTGCTGTGATATATATTTAGCTGTGTCACTTTCTCGTTATATCGTGCTGTTAACCTGCGGGACCCCCGGTCGTGGGAGGGCACTTCTCTCGTCCACGTCTCTTTGTTTTTTTGACGATACAGATCGGTATCCCGGACGCGTTGGTCTCTGAAGACTGTGTATAAGCAAAAACCTCAACTGTTACCATTGCTGTCACCGAGATGAAGTTCCCAGGCTGCTACAACAACAACAACAACAAGCAGCGCGTCCTCGGACTCGCGCTCGTCCTAACAACCTGCACACAAGCCATAGACCTCGACGTAAACGACGCAGGTAAGTAACAAACTACCTATCAACCATCCACTAACACACCCAACAGCATCCATCAAAGCCACCACCCGCACCATCGCCCAAACCCTCACAAGCTACTACACCAGCCCAGACAACGAAAACCGCGACATCCCCGGCCTCCTCCCGGACAAATACTACTGGTACGAAGCCGGCGCCCTCTTCAACAGCCTAATCACATACTGGCACTACACCAGCGACACCCAGTACAACACCCTCACCCGCCTCGCCCTGCGCCATCAATCCGGCGACAAGGAAAACTTCATGCCCCTCAACCAGACCAACACCATCGCCAACGACGACCAGGCATACTGGGCCCACGCCGCCATGACCGCCGCCGAAACACGCTTTCCCACCCACGACGATGACAACAACAACGACGACGACAGCGATCCCTCCTGGCTCGACCTCGCACGCGCCGCATTCGACACCCAGACCGCACGCTGGGACAACACCACCTGCGACGGCGGCCTGCGCTGGCAAATCTACACGTTTGGCGCGGGGTACAACTACAAGAACAGTGCGTCGAACGGGGCGTTTTTCGCGCTTGCGGCGCGGCTGGCGCGCTATGCGGGCGCCAACGACGAGACGTATGCGCGCTGGGCGGACGCGGCGTGGGAGTGGTCGACGCGGGTTGGGCTTGTGGTGGAGGAGGATGAAGAAGGGGATGGGAACGGGAATGGGAATGGGACGTATGTGTATGATGGGGCGAGCGCGGTGGAGGATTGCGGGTCGGTGAATCGGTTGCAGTGGACGGCGTATGCGGGGTGGTATGTTTTGGGTGCGGCGTATATGTATAATCGCGTATGTCCTTCTCCTCCTTTTTCTCGCCCTATCCCCTTTCTCCCCTCCCATATCCCATATCCCCTCCCATATCCCCTATCCCCTACCCCAAACCCCCAAACCTAACCCCACCCCACAGACAAACCACCCAACATGGCGCACCCGCCTCCAATCCCTCACAACCGGCCTCTCAATCTTCTACCCCGACAACGACACCAACCCCAACGAACCCAACGAACCCACCAACCAAATCCTCACCGAACCCGCCTGCGAACCCCAAAACACCTGCACCACGGACCAGAAATCCTATAAGGCATCCCTCGCCCACACCCTCGGCACCACCCTCCAGCTCGCACCCTTTCTCGAATCCGCGCTTCTGCCGCGCATGCGTGCTTCTGCCGTCGCGGCGGCGCGGACGTGTGTTCGTGGGGAGGAGGAGGAGGAGGAGGAGGAGGCGCGCGAGTGTGGGTTTGTGTGGACTGCTAGTAGTGGGAACGAGACGTATGGGGTTGGGGAGCAGATGGGGGCGTTGAATGCTGTGCAGAGTTTGTTGGCTTTGGGGAGTGCGGGGCCGGGGGTTGGGGGGGAGGGGGACGGGGAGGGGGACGGGGAGGGAGGTGATAACAACAACGACAACAACAATGACGGGGGAGATAATAACAACGATGGTGATGGACAGGGCGGCGACGACGGAGGGAATAACGCAGGGAATGGGACTGACAATACGCCTGGCACTGGTATGGCTGCGAGGAACGGGTCGGGCGGCGTGTGGGCTACGGTTGTGCTCAGTGTGCTTCTTGCCACCGTGTGTACGGCGATGTACTTGTAACTGACGATGACGATGACGTAGGCTGAATTGAAACATGTACATTCCTGGCGTGGAGTTGAGGAATTCTGTCTGGTTGTTTGTTCGGCCTGTGTGTGTGTGTACCTTATATATGTCGCAGTGTGCGATGCTCGTGGTCTGTAGCTTCCAAGCAAGCCTGCCACTGCAGCCAGGTCAGTCTGACTTCTCTCACTCAATGGTGTCCGATCACTTACGTAAGAAGAACAGCGGTGGAATGAGACACGTTGGATGCATATCAAACGGCTCGCCAGAAAGCTCCATCTTGCATTCATCCAATTATTAGTGCTATGGGTATCTAGTATTCAAAGACTTGCCACCGGACTTCTCTGTGTCCCGCAGGACTCAATATAGCCGCAACGTCGAATTATAAAAGGAAAGAAACACTCCACTGTTGTCACCATTCAATTCAGTCCATTCCTCCATGCTTTTTGCCTGCCAACGCCGTCATTGCGCCCCAAAAAAACTCCGTGCATCAAAAAAAGAGGTAATATATCGCCACAAAGACACGGAGCTGCAGAAACTTTCTTCAATACGACGGCACCCCAGGGTTGAAAAGCGCATTGCTTTGCTCAATCATTGTGTCGATCTGACCTGTACCCGTCGTTTCCAGACTCTGCATCAGCTCGACCTGTTGCTCTTGCGTCAGTCCAGAGTCCGGCTTGCCCAGACCCCAGTTTTGACTAGACAAGAAGTCTGCGGCTGGCAGGATATCCATGTTGTCAAAGTTGTACTGTTGCTCTGGGCTGAATCCGCCCAGCGCTTGCGAACCATTCGAAAAGCCAAGCGAATCCTGCGGTGGCATCGAGAATGCAGGATTCCATTGTGACATGTCAGGAAACGTAGTAGGCAGAGGATTAAATCCCGTGTTAGATTCAAACTCCGACCCCGTATAGGTGTCTTGATAAGGTTGATGAGGGTGGGGACTTGTCCTGTATGGGTCGCTTGGCGGCGGGTCTTGAAAATGGATGTGTCTGGTGGTTCCTACCAAGGAATATGGAGAGTTGTTATTACCATAGCCAAGTGTACTGTTAAGTTGCTCCGGTGGAGTGTTCAGCGATGAGGTTGACACGGTGGCAGCAGGACTGGTCGTCCTCGATCGATTGACGTTTGAACCCTCGATAGACGTGCTGTCGGATGGTGAGCTTGCAGCGATAGGAATGTCTCCATCCTTTTCATATATCTTCATACAGGCCTGTGTGAGATGTCTGTACAGCTCCAGAGCTGAAGTCACTCCAGGCCATCGGGTCGAGGCTGACTCGATAATATCCAGGGCTGTTTTTAGGTGGTGCTCTACATCCGTGCGTGGATGTAGTCGGCGGACCTCCGAGTACGAAAGACTCCAGAGCAAAGTGTTGATAGCCATGAAGATGGACTGCGCAAAGACCCAGGTAATGTCGACGCTGCCCGTTTCGATTTGCTTGCGTTGCAGGTGTATGTTGTACTCACATGCATCATAGCACTGCAGAGCAGCTCTTTGCGAGGGTCTTGGTACTTGAGGAGAGGGACGATATAAAAAGACTCTCATGGTGTTATACCTTCCAATAAACCTGTACAGTCGTTAGCCTTGCGTAAAATGACATCTATGTAGAGATACTGACCAGGTCTTCGTAAGCCCCGATCCAGCATCCATCTCAGGGCTCGTGTCACGCCACGCAATCAGCTTCGCCTCCATCTCTCGGAACCATGGATCTTGGTCGGACTTGGGGTCACGTCGCTTTCTCTGGTAAAGCTTTCGTCTGATTTCGACTTGCAGTAACCGCATCTTGCAAAAGTGTATCGAGATCCATTTCCGCAAGGATGTCTGGGGTGCTGGAAGTATGCCATCCTTTGTGATGTACTGATCGTCCACCAGTTCTGGGAAATTCACGTCAATGTGATCACGTCCGGTGGAAAAGGTAGCAGGACGACCAAGACCGTGTGCAAGGCCAAAATCCATAGTGGCCAGGCACCAGAATAGCCTACGTCTCATGTCAATCTGCAGAGGGTCGGCCAGCTGTCCGCCTCTGCCCCGCACCAGAGTTTTCTCTTCACTGATACCCAATGCTTGAGCAAGCCGCACAGCAAGACCGATTTGATAATAGACAGCCGTGCGAGTTGGTGTCAGGAGCGAATAGCCACCTACGAGGGCAAAACACTGTAGAGTGCTGAGGTTCATTGGGCGGATGGCTGGTTCCATGAACTTCAGGGCGGCTAGATAGTAACTATCAGCAAGTCCGGCGTACTGAGCATCCATTTTCTGTAAGCTGATTGCAATGACCATCCTTAGGCAGAAGTTTTTGTGAGGATCCGACGAGCCATTGTATATGTCTTCTACGTCTTGCGTAAAGGTGGGCTCATGGAAGAGCGGATACAAGGGATGCACTGGCTGCTTGTCAGCGTATGATTTCTTTATGTTTGCCTTGGGGAGAGTTTGCAAACTAATTGTTCAAGGCGAATTACCTTTCATGTAGAAAAGTTGGACCAGCCGGTTGGTCAGGTCTCGTGTAGGCAGTTCTTCCGCGGCGACATTGCTGATGAGCGGGTATATTTTTGAAGTTGGCTTTTCTGTCTCCTTGGATGTCTGCTCCTTGATCATACGCTGTCGCGCATTCGGCACGATTTCTGATATACTTTTCGAATCGGTGAATTGCTTTGCGAGCTGCATCACTAATCGAGTGAGAGTTGTGCCGCTTGCAGAACCCAGGTATTTTGACTCGTTGGTCTCGAGGATGTGCACAGAGGCAGCATTACGCACGGTATCTTCGGGATCTGGATCTCCATCGTCTTTCTCCAAGTCAGCGAGCTGCTTCTCCAGATCGCGGACCTTGTGCTGTAGATGGACGACGTAATTGCGGGGAATGCGGGTGCCTTTGGTAGGGTCGTAGTATTCGCAATGAGAATTGGTGCGCTCGCAAGGGCCGCAACGAGGGATGCCTGGATCGCAACGTGTTTTTCTCTACGACGGACGTCTCATTAGCTATGACTGAGCGTGTTGTGAGGATATCTGAGGATGACAAGTAGTGCTCACAGTTCTGCAACGGCAACAGGCGGTTAAGGTATGTGCGACACGAGGCGATGGGTCTTGATTGCCGTCGGGCTTTGTCTGCGGCTTTCCGCCAGGATCCATATTTAAGGTGTTACAAGGAGCAAGGAATTATGGAGCGGAACGGACTGGTGGGTCGAGTAATTGGGTGGTAGTGTGTCTTCCATGCCACAGAGACAGGCGCAAGTTTAATGAGGTTCTGTAGAGATGTGGGACGGTTGGACGAGAAGCAAAACGCGGCAACGAGAGAGGCCAAAGTGGCAGCGTGGAGTGGAGAGAGAGGATGAAGGATGGGCGAGTGTCGAGTCGAGGAGTATTCAGAGTTGGATGCTGGAAGGATTGGGAGTCGCGGCAGGGATAGAGGAATCGATCAATGGGTAATAGAGCAGAGCACAGGCTTCCGATGTTCTGTTGTGAAGTAGTAATGAGTAGTAGTAGGATGGAGGAAGCAGGACGATGCACACGACGACGACGATACACGACGTTGCAGTTGTTGAGTAGTCTCCAAGGAAGAGCCCACACCCGAGCCAACTAAACTACGTATTCCTATTACCCTAGAGATTAGACTAACTGGATAGATAGCAGCATCAAACGATTCGAATTCCAGTGGATGTCTAGAGGGAGATCTGTGAAGATTAGTGGGGCAATACCATGAATGCAGATGCCGCTGCTTGTGCCGTTCCGTCTGTCAGCGTCTCGCCTACATTTAACGTTAATTATCCTGACCTCGGGCCCAAGTGAACAAACAGCAAGCCAAACAAGTCTTGTAAAGGAAAAGCTTCCCGCCATAGTTTGTTTGTGTGCGGCCTCGGCTGATCATTTCAACTCATTTCTGGTTCGCAGGGCTGGCTTAGGCCTGAGGGTGGGCTGGGCGAGTTGGCGGTGGCAACGGTGTAGATAGACTATACAGGCTGTGACTACAGGACTGCAGAATCACAGGTAATCCAGGTAATCCATTTGCTCAAGCTCCAATCACCAATGTACATACACACTACATACTGCATACAACATGGCTTGCTATTAATGCCCGAATGGTGCCACATGGTAGGGCATGCATACATATGTAGTCGGTAGGGAGATATTGATGCCTGTCTGACAAAAGATACTTATGTAGTAGTATTACACCTTGGGTAACCAGCGATAATATAATATTAATAATCAGCAATACGCAGATTATACCCGTGCATGTCCAGAATTGGCGTGTAGATCGTAGCCACCGCTGCCGAACAGGTACCCGATCATCTCCACAGTGCACAGCCACTTGGCAGCAGTAAGCAGCTGATTAATAATACCTTACCAGCCAGCCTTACGTACGAATACTTACTGTGTATCCGTAACATAGCATAACCGGGATAATGTCTACTCGGTCCCGCGTCCGAGCTCTCCAATATCGTCATATCAACTGCTTACACTACTAATACCCACTAATTACTGCTGCTGCCCTGTACACAACATCTTCACTCTATACACCTCCATACTTATAACCACTTTTCGAGATACGTCGGCCTACATGATAGCCACCCGACTCCAGAAACAATTGCAACCGTCATAACAACAATCAATCAAACCGATCATAACGACTAATTACCACCACCACGCCTTCGCTCATCAGCTTGCGGCTGCGGCTTTGCAATCCCCACCTTGGCCCTCCGCCATCTCCTCCACCCTCCCTCATCCCTCCTCCCACCGTCCGATGGTCCAGGGAAGTGAAACCAGATCCACTTTCAGCGCCCCGTCGCGTTCGCAAGGCTGCAAGTAATTTATTAACAGACTGCTCCATTCGTCTCTGACTGGATAGTCTTGTCGCTGTAGTTTCAGATCCAGTCTCCCTCCTCCTCCCCTCCGATCCTCTCACGGACCCTCCTTACTGACTGACTCCTCTCCACCCTTCAGCCGCTTCTCGACTTCAGGTAAGTGCGCGATCATCTAATTATATCACACACAAGCGAACTGCTCTTCAACTCTTCTTCTGCTGCCAGGGGCTTTGCTACCCGTCGCGTGGCCATGCTGCTATCCTTGCGACTTGTTATGCATGCATGAGCACTGCTGCTGATCTAATAAGATGATCGACCTCCACTGTACTTCTATTCAATACTTTTTCAGTCCTCTTCAGCTCCATTACTCTTTTTTTCTCTTTACATTCTGTCCTTGATATCTGTTCCCTTTGCCAATGTGCCAGAAATCACACGTCGTTGCCTTTTTTTTACTGTCCGACACACGGACACTGGGTTGACTTCGCGCCATGCCTGCAGACACCACTGCATCATCATCACCCTTCACCTTTCCACACGCTGGACACCTCATGGTCCTGGAAACTCCGCTGTTGCGCGTGAGTCGCCCAGTGGCTGCTTGCTCACGATGTAGAGCTGCCAAAGTCAAATGTGACGGCAAACTGCCCGCCTGCACTGCCTGCGAAAAGTCAAACAAAGCCGCCGAATGTAGCTCCACCAACGACCAATTCGCTCGCGGCAAGGAACGAAGCTATGTCGCCACGCTCGAGACGAGGGTGGAGAAGCTCGAAAGGAGGATTGCTGAAGCTCGGGCTAGACGAAAGTCTTCCACCACTGGCATGACCGACTTTGACGATGCTTTCACCTCTCCAAAACTATCAACGGATTTGCCTGGCAGAAACAAGACGACGAGCGCTCGTGCTGCTCGCCGGAAAGAGGCCAGTGACATTGATAATCTGGTCTCGGACTTTGGTCTCTTGTAAGTGTCTGCGTGTACTGCATCCACCTCCGTATCTCTCTCTATATGCTCACGTGCTCTCAGAGCTGTCAATGCTACTGCACGCGATTTCCACGGTTTCACCACTCCCATGTCTTATGCACGCCTCATACTCTCTACTTGTACAAAGGAACCTCTGCCGAATACCACACCTCAAGATCTACCACCACGTTATGCCGCGACTCCCCTGATCCAGCACTATCTCAATAACGTCTTTGTACTATTACCCGTCTTTGAAGAGGCAAGTTTCTGGTCTTCGGTCGACGCGGTGTACAATCCAGAAGTACGGAAACCCTTGCCTTTCGACTACTGGACTGTAAGAATGGTTCTAGCCTTATCATCCATTTCGCTGTCTCAGCAGCGGGGCGATGCGCAGTATTTCGATGCTGTGGGTCATGTGACTGCTGCTTTGGAGTTCGCTGAAGATGTGCTTCATCCTGGCTTCGTCGCTACTATCCAGGCTTTGGTGCTGCTTGTGGAATTTGCTATGATGGATCCGCACCACTTTGACAGCTGGCATCTGATCGGAGCCGCCTCACGAGCCATGGTGGATATTGGCATGCATCAGGATCCCCTGAAAGCTCTCCACTCCGGCAAGTCAAAACTCGAGCTCCGACGGCGCGTTTACTGGTGTGTCTTTGCTTTGGATAGGTGTGTCATTTCAAGATTAACTTCCGTATTGAGTCCAGTTCTTATACCTTCTAGGTCAACTTCGCTGGTACAGACCAGAGCGTTCTCTTTCTCGGACGATTCAGCAACCGTTGCTCATCCTTTCGCCGCCTCCATATCCTCGCCGAGCACGAAAACGCAAAAGACCCAGTTCTGGCTGCAGAATTTCGACACAGCCGCCCAGTTCTTCAAGATCCGTCAACTACAGTCGGAATGGTACACCAAACTCTTCCAGTCGGGTCGAGAACCCTGGCCAGACGCGTATGGCTACATATGGAAGACCTACCGGCAGATGACCGATTGGTACAACAACATCTCAAAGAACACGTTGCCAAACACACAGGCCTTCTTCGAGCTCGAAGTACTGTACAGCTACGTCTACGTGCTCTCCCCGAGCCCTCGCTGCCCGGCAATCAGCAACTACGCCCAACGCCTCATCTTCGAGCACTGCATCGCCTACGCCATCAACCTCCGCGCAATCATGAGAGACAAATCCTCCCCGACAACCAAGATCCCCCTCACTTTCTACGACGCCATGCGCGCCTACATGACCGGCCGCCAATTCGTCGACGTCCTCCAGCGCAACCTCGACGTCCTCCTCAACCCAATCCCGCCCACCCCGCCCGCCTCCTCCGGGCCCCTCACCTCCTCCGAACCCATCGACCCCTTTGCCGCTCCCCCCGAAATCAACCCGCCCTCCTTCCCAACCCCGGCAATCCCCCAACCCTCCTCCTCCCTCGACGGCACAGAACATCCCCCCTCGCTCAACGACCCGCCCGCAAGAGCCCTCCGCGCCATCAACGACTTCACCGACATCCTCGCACGCTTCGGCATGCGCTTCGGCTACATCAACTGGCGCGACCGCTTCCAGAAGGAGAGCGCCTCGGTCGTCAACCAGCTCTATGCCCGCTCGTCGGTCTCGCCGCCGCCATCCACGTCGCCTGTATACGGCGGTCATGGCCATTCCTTACAACAACATACGCAACATGCACAACAACATACGCAACATACCCAACACACACAACAAGACTACCACCAAACAACAAGTCTACACTCATCCATGCACCTACAACAACAACAACAACAACAACAACAACAACAACAACAACAACAACAACAACAACAACAACAACAACAACAACAACAACAACAACAACAACAAC